GGCAAAGGAATTTGCTCAAAAGTCGAACATCTTATGATCTCTTGGGAAAGCGCGCTCAGTTGGTTCGTTTTTTGTTCGTGGCGCGCACTTTTTCCAAGAGAGCGAACCTGGTGAAAAACATCAGTACCAATCAGAGCCATTCCCGCATGGAGAAATTGTTGAATTGTTGAACGCGCTTCCGAGCGGGTTGTCCGGAACCGAAACCCAGGAGAAGGTACAGTCCCGCAAGCATCCGCAAAATGCGGACAAAGTCAGCGGCGCAAACAGTATTAAAAAAAACACCGAGGGTATTGAGAGCTTGCGCTGGCTTGAATTTGGTTGCGACACTGTGGCCTAAATGCAACGTTCTAATGACAGACAAACAATAGATAACCGGGTGCAAAGGAGGCACGCATTCCTGGTGGGAACGAAGCGTCGCAATGAATATGGCTTAGCCATTTGCCCGAAAAACGAAGGCACCAATTGTAGGACATGTTGTCGACAATGGGGGCTACTAAGTACAAATTTGACCTCATGAATAGGCACGCGGTCGATGTCAAAAGTTTGCACGTCTAAACATGTTAACGTTTGGGTGGCATCCTATTCAATAAGCGTTCCCCTTACACATAAAAAATATGTAAGCGCTGGACTGACATCCTGGGTCTTGTTTGGTTATGCCAGATGGCCATCAGACGGAATTACCCGCCACACCATGAAAACACGAGGCTGACATCCTGCATTTTTTCGGCCATACCCAGTAGCCATACGACGACATTCGCGCATCGAAAGATGTCAGCGCCTGAATTGGCATCCTAAGTTTTTCGGGTTTTGCTTGCTCAAGCGTCGACGGGTGTTTATGCAACCCGGCCTGACTGCAGCACCATGAGCACCTATGAGGGCCTGAGCCTTTAAGTGGTCAACCATGCGTTGAAGCATTTGGATTTGCCACCTCTTCCAAGCAAACCCAAAGGGGTACAGCCAGCCTGCAAAGTTTTTGAAATTGCAACCCAGGTTCATTATAGTTTCATGGTCCTCTTGGAAAAGTAAAGTGCGGTCCTCTTGGGTAAAATGCGGTCCCCTTCCTATGGCTCACCTTCACCTTTCAAAACTGGTGCCTCCTCTGGTTCAGGGTCTGGTGCAATGCTGGGGCCATAACCTTCTCATCATCAAGTGTTGGTGGCAAATTTGCTCTGTCGTACATGTAGAACCCAAGCTCATGATCTTGAACTGCGTACTTGTGAGTAAGTGCAATCACTTCCCAAACTGTCTCTGGAAAATGAAAGTTAAGTCCTCCTCCAAGTTGCGACGCAAGCCTGCAATGGGCTGACAATACTCATCCACCTCTTATCATGCGCCTTCCCTAAAAACCAGGGTTGTCTTCAACCACATGAGCCCATCACTTGGCGCCAATGTTGTGTCAACGTATTTTGCCAGTGTCGTTTTTCGTTGCCAAAAGATGTGGGTGAATCCTGTTCCAACGTTCTGCAAGACACCGCAAAACCATGCCCAGCTGTACCACGCGTATGGCAGGTTGCAACAACGTATTGGGCTCAACTTGGCTGACCACTGAAGTACGTCCTTTGGCACCAAGGGAGTTGTTCCTGTAGATGATTTTCACACACTTGTCATCCTTCAAAAGAAATGGCAGGCCATCTTCGTGAACAATGTTCCACTTGCAGTCGTGGAATGAATGTCTTGCTTGGAGCCCACAATGTCTCCAGCACCAACAGCTCAGACCTGCTGCTGCTGCTGCTGCTGCATATCTGACTGTCGTTTCCCGCAGTCACGTTGCCAACGTTTCTGTGTGCCGCAGTATGCACAAACGTTGCCATCAAGTTTTGTCTGCTGCTGCTGCTGCTGCTCACCATTGTAACCATTACTGGTGCATCCAGTGTTGTAACCCTTCTGTTGTCCCTTAAGTGCAGACTGGCCTTTACTTTTTCCCTTGTCGGCACTCTTGCCCCTTACCTTCGGGCCTTACAAGGATTGGTGTTCCTTGCTTTGTTCAATAGAAAGCAAGACAGGATGCTCACCCATCAAGTGATCACAGCAACAGCGGTCACCCTTTTTTGCCTGAATGGACTTTGGCTTTTGCAGTCGCATAGAGGATGAAAGCGACGAACAAATTTGTCTCTTCATGTATGATCGGGCCACCAAGCTTATGGCAGCAGTTCCAACCCCTCAAGAGGGAGGACGTGCTTTGCAACACTTAGTGACAGAAGCCACACGTTCACTCAACACAAAGAACTTGCTGTCAGGTCTGATCGCGAGCCGTCCGTCCATTCTTGCAAAAACCTACAGTCCATGATGAAGGTTCTCCAGTCATGGACCATCAATCAAACGGTGCTGCTGAAGTGATGGTTCATATGTTGAAGTTAAGAGCAAGTCCTTTGGTGCAACAAATCAAAAACAAAATTGCTGGTGGAAATTTGGTTTTTGGAATGCAACGTACAGCAACATATTATCACAGAAAAACACGGTGGTTCTCAAGCACCTTGCGGGGTACCGAACCAGCCATGAAGACATCTGCATCTCCCTCAAATGGAAAGGTCGTGCAGTTGGTCTCTTTCACAGCTACAATTTGGAACCTGGAGAAGTGGCTATAGAAGTTTTCACTGACGCTGATGAGGCCAGCGACTGTAGCAATCGAAGGTCCATATCATGCTGCACGATATTCATGGGAGGTTGCCTGTTATTTTCTTCGAGCTGCACTCAAAGTTGGTGTCAGTGTCATCAGCAGAGGTTGATGTTTATGCATGCTCATCAGGAAGCTGAGACGCGATCCTACTGGCAAGGTTGGTGTGGTGGTTGACCAACAAACCAACAACCACCTACAGATAGTTCAGGTGCTTGTGGCATCATTCAACATCAAGGTGTTGGTCGCTTGAGACATTGTCCTGCAGAGTGCTTTGGTTGCAGGCCCCGGTTCAGAACGGCATGGCGCGGTTTTCGACAGTGCCAGGAGCATCCAACCCAGCTGACGTGGGTACGAACAGGCTGCCAGCACCTAGACGGTATGTATGATTTGAAACGCGGTTGTTTGGAGGGTCTCGAAGACCCAGGTGGCATCTTCAAGACGAAACAAAACATGATTTCTCTGTTGAGCGCCTTGAGCCTCCTCCGCATTCAAGGTTGCCAAGGTGCCATCGAAAGCAGCGTTGAAATTTGTTTTTGGCATAGCGTTTTTTTTTACAGTGGTGCTTGGACTTGCAATTTACCTTGCGTTTTGGTTTGCAAATGGATTTCATGGTGTTGACGGCCCACAGGTCGAACCAGATGCAGAGCTTGAAACTGCAAACACAATTGGAGCTGACCATCCGCCAAATCACCAAAGAGCTGCAGTAGAGCTTACACCATACGGTTATGTTGCCTGGCTGATTGAGCGCTGTGAACGTTGTTATTTGCATACAGAATCAGCTGAAAGAAGAGCTCTTTACAGCGAACGCGTGACCATGTTGCATGGCCTCCAGTCGGCACTGACCTCTGTGCTTCGTCCTGCAGCCCTCAGATCCCTGGTGGGGATGAGTGACATAAATGATGATGAAAGTTCCCCGAATCACGCAGCAATCAATGCCCTTACTTCACTTGCTCACGCTTCTCGTGCCGCGCACTTCATAGCATCCATGCAGCCTGCTGGAAGTTCAAAGTTTCAGCGCAAACGTTGACATGGTGCACAGTGCATTGATGAGTGGTATCGACAGGCGTGCAACTGACATTGCAAGAGCTGCCGCAGGTGATGATGCCAGTGACAGCAGTCACGTCGAGACTGCATCAGAAGTGCGTGTGAGGTATCTCGATGCTGATCAAAGTGAGGTTTCAGATCCTGAGCTTTGGTTGTTGCTGAAATATAGAGAAGAGAGTGAAGAAGATTAAATCTTGGAAGGTTGAAGGAGGGACAATGAAAAAAATGTTTATGTCCAGAAAGAAGAGCTGGAGGCGAGCTCCAAACGTGCCTTAGCCTGAGCTAATGTGACCTCAGTTGGCACGTAGCAGTTTAGGTTTCACGCTGTGTCGAAGGTTTGTCCTGAAACGACTTTCCCAGTCGTGGCCTACCAACGAGTGCTCCATGCAGCACTTACCTTTTTTGACATTCTTGGCATTTTTACTTTTGGAGGCGACGTTCATTGGAAAAGTCAATGATGTCAAGGCGGGGTGCAAGTGATTTCATGCAGTAATCCAGCTGCCAATAGCGTATATACAGTTAGTCTCATGTGCAAATGCACAAATTGAGAAGTTTATGTTCCAAACGCTTTTGGCTGAGCGAAAATCAACTGGTCAACATCCCAAGTTGCAAAATTCTAGTCAAGCCCACTCAAAACACATTGCCGACACAGCTTAAATAAATTAGTTTGTTGGTACATGAGCGAAGCTGGAACAGAACAACAAATTTTAAACATGTTTGAAGCACAGTCCCTATTTGATATGCATGTTCCGCCATGTCAGCTTAGTATGATGGCCGCTGGGCAAAATCGAAAAGACATGTCAGTCTATACGTTTACATGGTTTGACGCCTGAATGTTGTCTGATGGCCACGGGGAAATGGTTAGGGGAAACAGTCACCTGTGTCACTGCGCTTGATGAACTTCATCCGTAAAGGGTTGAACAGAGCCAATGAACGGATGGAATTTGTGTAGAAAACCGAACAAACAAAACAGAACTTTGGCATATGCAATTTGCGAAAAATCGCACCTTGTTACAGTCTAGCATGCAAAGTGAAGCATTTTGAAAACAACCTTTGTGATCACACCCGCAGGGTTGCAAAATTTTCTAAATGATTCCTTGTGGGCATGGTTGGTTCGATGTGTATGTTCATTATCTGGCTACCTCGCCGGCGATTTTGCGCGGGCTTTTGTCAGAGAGCACCTAAACAAATTATGAATATCCAGTATCGAATGCAATATACACGGTTATGGTTGGACTTGAGCGGCTTTCGCATACCAACGGAACATTGTTGGAGCAGCATTGACGTCCCACAGCTGGCATGCAGGACGAAAAATCAAACAAAACAGTGTCCAAAAAACAAAAACCGTTGCTTGATGACGTTTTAGCGGTATGGTGGTGGAGGCGCTTGTGTTCAGAAGTTTGTGTGAGTCGGCATTTGGCCCTGCACGCGTTTTTTTAATTGTTACGTTGACCCTGTCAGGCAATAGGTTTCGCAAAGTCTGAACGCCGACGCTTCAACGTACATGGCTTAAATGCCTTGACGTGCTGAATTAGTTCAGTGGCGGTGGCTTGCATTTTGTGATGTAACTCGGCTGTGCCATGATCCCCGGCCAAAAGGATGCTGAATATGTCTTGTCGTTGGTGGGCGACACCGAATCCCTGAGCATCGAGGCAACCGTCCGGAAAGTTGGTTTCAATAGACTTGGTCTCGCTACAGTTTTCATTGAGGGCCAGGGCACTCACTTCGAGTGATTTCCATCTTCAGAAATCATGCCATATGTCAGGTAATGTTGTTAATAACATATATTTTGATGTTCTATTTGACTTAGATTGTGGCATATTACTATTATTTGCTTGCCTTCTGATGTTTCACATCCCACTTACACCATGGACAATTGTAGGATTTATTGGGCATGTATTTCAGGCATTTTAGTTGACATAATCTTGGACAATCGTGGCTAATATTTTAACGGCAGCCAAACCACTGTTTAGAACGCTCCTTTTTAGCTGGCTTGACCTGCAATTTCGAACGCACTATTTACAACAATTTCCCTGACATTTGCCAGAGCAAAGAGGTAGGGAGTAGGGCCGAGTGCGAAACACAACAGTCACAACAGTTCAGAAAGTGTTATTGGGTGGGGCCCGGCGCGAGATTTGCAGTTGTGCAAAAAAATATATATCAAATTACACACCTGACCCTTAGCTGGTATAATGTTTTTAATTGCACCAATGGATCATCGCTCTGTTGCAGGTGGAGCACGCAGAGGATATTTTTTTTCGACGTAGCATGCTGTGATGTGTGCTGTGTTCGAATTGTCTTCGTTTTTTTTCCCGGATGAATAGTTTTATTCAATCTTGAAGGTGGCTTGCTGTTTGCAGGACGGTCGGCGATGGCGTTCCCGGTTCGCTGCAAGTTTCGTGGAGGAAATCACGCGCCGAACGGGGAATGCCAAAAAGCATCGCCCCAAGGAAATTTCGCGATCTGTTGGAACTATGCTTTGCCAGTGTGTGCCGCCCAGGTTTGATGTATTTTGCCGGATGTTGCTTTCAGCATTGGCACAGGAGTGCGGTGCTCAGAACAGGTTCAATTGCAGTGTGCAGAAAAGCAAGAGGTTGAGGTGCTTCAACATGCTGTGCTCCAGTCAGCCGGTAAAATGTGTTCATGTGACGCCCTGATTAGGTCCGACTCTGTCTACTTAGACGTCCTCACTGCTCGCTGCCTGACTCAAGAAATCCATGCGCACTCTTGTGAAACATGTTCACCATATTTCACAGTGTCACACTACATGGATGACAAGAACATGGGCTGCATTGACCAAACAGGTGACCTGGAAATGCTCCGGCGTCATGCAAACCCACAGGCACGGAGTCTCGCAACCTTATCTGCGAGTACATGATGTTTACGGTAAACTTTGCTTCAAAATTCGAAACGAATCTGGGAGACCAAACATCCCAGTTAGTTGTACAAGTGATGTTCATGGGACTTGCAGGGACCGCCCACTGCAAATCCAGCCGCGGCTCAATCAGACAAGAGGCTTGTTGCAACTTGTTTCTTTGATTTTCTTTGTAATCATTCAAATTGGGGCGCAGATGGCGCAGCAGTGCACAAGTAAACTTAAGTAAACACACATGTTCGCAAGGTATGTGATCCTCACATACCGAGCGGAGTTTGACAAGGCTGATGGGATATCGGATATCGGTAGCAGGTACAGGATGGTACAGGCCACCGGAGTCAGGTCAGTGCTTTGAGCGCTCCATTTGACTGTACTCCTTTCAGGTGCACTATCCGTTGCCACTTCCGCTGGATGAGAGAAGCGAAGAGGAATGTCGATTGGTTTGCTCGTGTTTCTGCTTTTAGATACTGCAGTCAACCGTACAATGCCGTAGAAAGATGTAGAAAGTGGAAAAAACGTGAAATAGAAAGATGTTGTCAGGATGTCTTGCGAACAATGGTGGGGACCCCAACCTTTGTGTCGAAATGTGTTGAAACTGTTTGCGCAAGTGTTCCGGTTGGCTGCCCTGAGGTCACGCGCTTGAAATCTGAGCTTTCTCAAGCACAGGACACCGTAGCCAAACTGCAGGCAAGTGCTGGGGGTCATGGGCCAGTGATGGGCATGCTTTTGTAGAGGCATTCAGAATCAAAGTATTGTACGCTGGAGGATGCGGGTGGAAGGCTATTATATACATTGTATACATGAAATGAAATCTTCATCAAAATCAAAAAAGTATCTGGGATCCGGGGCATGCGTCATTGCCTCACTGAGGGTCCTCATCTTGTGGAGCCAGCCCGGCTCTCAGCGAATTTCATCCCATATCAACAAAAACAAGAGAACTTGAAACAGCATGAAGCATCACAAAACATCCATAGTATAACAATGTCGAAACATGTATCTATAAGACTTTGAGGGATGAAGCTCTGAAAAAAAACGTGCCAATGTAAACTACCGGGTGATCCCCGTAGGGATTCTCTCGAGCCTCGAGATGGAAGTGCATAGCTTTGTCGGCTGCGCCGGCTTTGCCCGATGCCCAGGACAATGAGCAGCTGCTGGCGCTGCAAAGGCAGAACAAACAGCTGCAGAGGGCTCAGCTCAATTTTCTGTGTCAAGATTTCAAGTTCCCCAAAAAAACACACATTACATTACATCATTGTACATTACGTACATTTTAATAGTGACCTGTACTTGGCCGCTTTCCGGCGTGCCAGGAGCGAAGGCATGCAAGCAATACAAAAGGACTCGGACGAAATGTGGTGCCGATTCCGATGCAGTTTCCTGAATGTTTCAGGTTGATTTCCTTCAAATATTTTCTTGAACCAGCACCATTCAGAATGGGTCCTCTATAAATTATCGAAGGAAGTTTAGAAGTCACACTTCCGACAACATGGACAGATGGAAAAGCAGAGGTGGGAAGAGTCAGAGAAGAGAAGAGAAGAAGAGAGAAGATCAGAGAAGAGAAAGAGTCAGAAGAAAGAAGATCCAGGTGCACACCATGTTCGGACCACTTTTAGATGTCGAAAAAGTGCAAGCCGTTGTGGCGCGAAGCACATTTCAAAGTCAAAATGTACAAAACACACCAGCTTCGGACCACTTTTGGAAGTTGCGCTGTCCAAAAAGTGCACGCCGTTGTGGCGCGAAGCACATTTCGAAGTCAAACTGTTAAAAACACCGCATGCTCGGACCACTTTTGGACGTTGAGATGTCGAAAAAGTGCACGCCGTTGTGGCGCGAAGCACATTTCAAGCGCAAAATGTACAAGAGCACCACATGCCCGGACCACTTTGGAAGGTTCAGATGTGGTTTTGCGTGGCAGGCGCAAGGGATTCTGCCCCTTGCATCCCCTTGCCAAAAATGAGCAAAACGTGAGGGTTTTGCAGCATTTCTAAAAATCGTGGCAGGTGTGGGAGACTTGCGCAGGATCTGCAAAGATGTCTTTCGCGTGGCAGGCACAGTACAAGAGACATGTTCATCAGAGATGTTAGGAGGTTCGGGCGCTGATTTCCTGAGAGGGGTTGAATTTTGGAGCAGATCGTCAGTTTTGGCAAGATGATTTTGGTGACAGGTGCAGCATTTTCGTGGCAAGCACAGTACTTTAGACAGGTGGAGTGGAAAAATCGCAAAACGCATTGGTACAAGGCCGTCAGCTCTGCACTCAGCTTTCCATTTTTGAAGGAAGTCTCGCAGAATTGCTTCATTTTTGATGTTGCCATCGTCAAAAATTGAGAAGTCTCGCAGAATTGCTTCGTTTTTCATGTTGCCAACTTCAAAACATTAAGGAAGTCTCGCAGAATTGCTTCCTCTTTGACGTTATCAAGTTCAAAAGTTGAGGAAGTCTCGCAGAATTGCTTCGTTTTCAAGCTTGCAGATTGCAGATAGACAGACAGACAGACAAACAGACAGATAGATATATAAATAAATAAATAAATTGATAGAGAGAGAGAGAGATAGATAGATAGATAGATAGATAGGTAGATAGACAGACAGACAGATAGATAGATAGATAAATTGATAGAGAGAGAGATAGAGAGAGAGAGAGAGATAGATAGATAGGTAGATAGATAGATAGATAGATAGACAACTACAACTACAACTACAACTACAACAGCAAGTACAACTACAACTACAACTACAACTAGAATTAAAACTACACTACACTACGCTACTACAACAAACTATAAATACAAATAAATTACTCTAATTAATTTCATTACACTACACTAACTACACTACACCACGCTACTTGCATCTAATTACTACCTACACTAATTACACTACAACTACAACAGCAACTACTACTACCACAGCTACACCAGCAATATCAACTACATCACATTACACTGCAGCGCACTGCAACTACAACTACAAATGCAACTACAACTACACTACATTACACGACACCATGCTACACTACACCACACCACGCTAATTACATTACATTACACTACGCTACAGCTACAACTGCGACGGCAGTTACGACTGCAGTTGCAACTACAAGTGTAACTGCCACTGCATTGCGCTACACGACGCTACACTAATTACCCCACATTTCACTACAGCTACAACTACAATACCTCACGTTAGACTACGCTACGCTACAGAACGCTACACCAGACTACACTACACTATACCACACTACAGTACGCAACACTACAGCACACTACAATACAATACGCTGATTACACCACACCACAACTACAACTACGACTACAACTGCAACTGTAACTGCACCACACTTATTACACATTACAGCTACAACTCCACTCCACCACAGTACAACTACAACACAACTACAACTGCGCGACACCACACTACATCCAACAGTTGTGGTGAGGTGACCACTGCAACCATTGCAACCGCGCCAACAAACACAACTTCGACCACCTTTCGGTCCATCAGTGGATTCGCTCTGCCATCCGTGATTCACAACAACCAGCCTCTCCTATAGGTTTCCTATTTTTGAAACTTCCGCCTCCGCCTTGTGCGGTACTATTGCCATCATTCCCTCAGCATGCTAAAAGAAGTCTAGGAACCCCGGAGTGATGTTTATAGATATAGATATAGATATAGATAGATAGATAGATAGATAGATATTTATACTATATACGTATGTTTGAGAACTGTTTGAGCCTGACCTTGATGCGGTTTGTGACAAAAGAACGGGGGCAGGAAGCGGAGCAGCTAAGAGCGGAGTTGCGGCTACGAGTCACCAGTTTGGATCTCAGGGTCATTGGGTCATTCAGAATTCATGTGACCACGAAGACGGCAACGACGGCAACGCCAAGGCCAAGGTCACCAGAACCATGCTCGTGACGATGAGGTGGCAGACCCAAGTGTGCAACATGTCGTATTTTCGAGGATGGAACGTTTGAAATGCGAAAACAAAAAGAACATTGGATTATTCCTGCAGAAAGGACAGCTAGCAGCTAGCAACCTTTTCTGGCAACATCTGGCAACCTTTTTAAGTCTGTGACTATTGTAAATTCTTCAGCACCGCTGCGTCGCAGGTAGGCAGGTCATAGCAGGAAACTCTGATTCGAAACTCGAAGATCTCGAAGATCTCTAAGGTGCTGCGACTGCGCAACGAGCTGACTCGCACCAAGGCAGAGGTGAAGAGCCTCAAAAACGAACTCCAACAACGGGAGTCTTTCGGCACAGTCGGCATGGTTGGCACGGGCAAGTCAAACAGAAAGGAAATCATTTTTTCTTCACTATTTGTTTGCTATTTTGTTCACTGTTGATTCTGTTTGATTCTTGGATACCTTAAAGCTAAAAACTGTTGGCTTGTTCCATTCTGATGATTTGGAATTTTTACAAGATCTTGTGAGTATAGTTGCTTGGCAGTGGGAAGAAGAACGGGTGGTTTCTTGTCCGTGTCAGGGACAGAGTCGCACCGTGGACACGGTCACACATGTACACAGATGGCTTGTTGTGGCCGCTGGCCGTGAACTTAGGCTTGCGCAAAAACGCACCCGTGAGAAGGAAGCTGCGGAGCTGCGGGCAGAGAGGCAGAAGGTGCAATGCATCGGCCAAGAGTTTTTTGCCCGTTGATTTTGATGTTTTTGGCCGCTATCAGGATCCGATGGATCCGACGCATTTGATGCATTTGATGCATTTGATGGCCAAGTTGATTATACGACTTTGTTTCATGGTGAGCTCTGCCTGAAGGCAGATCGCTTGCAGTCACAGCTCAAGAAAGTGGAGGAGGAGATCACAAGCCATGCTCAGCAAGTGCACTATCAGCTCCTCCATGCTCCTTTCCAAATGATTTTTAAGGCTTTTTCCTTCAAAGAATGACACTAATGACATCAGTTGATCCACTGAAGATTCGGCGTAGGAGAAGCGGAGTTTGGCTGCGCGCATTCGTGGTGACAGGTAGGGAGCCCATTCCTTTTCCACATCTTTTTCACATGTTTCGCTGAAAAGAATTGAAAAGATACTTTCGCTGCCAGGGTTTAAAAAAACAAAAAAAAAGGGTTCATGGCCTGGGTTCATTCGGTGCATTACTTCTTTGCTTCCGATTCCCAGTTCCAAGCGCTGAGGTCGCGACCTGCATCTCGCACCCCGAGTGCTGAGAGGGCCCGACCTCCATCCAGGCTTGAAGGATGAAGCTGGGAGCGTTTCATATTTGAATGTGACAGGTCAAAAATTGTCAGAATGTGATGTTTCATGATGTTTTCTGCACATGAATTTGACATACGCATAGATAGATACTGTAGATAAATCAATGAATATATTGAATATATAAATAATTACAAATATATGTGCACAATAAGACTGTAAAACTGTTGGTATTTGATATCCACTTTACCCACTTTATCCACTCATGACAGGCCACCGAGTCGTCCTCCGCCTCGGCCGATGAGGCGCCATGGAGATGGAATCGGGAATCGGTACTAAATCAGTTCAATTTGGTCTACAAAAATCTCCAAAAATCACAATTTCCACATTACATGGTGTGCATGTTGCTGGTTGCAAAGTTGGTAGGTTTGTTACAAGGTACATGCACGCGCATACACAAACATGTACACACATTAGACACATATCTACATCCATGTTTGCCACGTGTGACATCTGTGGATCCGATCGAAATATGGCATTGGCAAATGAATGAATGTACCTGCTTAAATGTAAAAAAATGATACCTTGCCAATGCAAACCAGTAAACCAGAAAAGCCCAAGATGGAAACTGCAGTTCGACAGGCCAACGAGCAGAGGTTCCTCTGTGGCATCATCACGAGAGTTGGTTGCCAAGAAATCATTATGCAATGGCCATACGCCAAACGCCATGCAGTGCGAAGATCGGTGGTGACGGTTGGAGCGAGGCGGACGCCGTCGCCCAGTTCCTTTTTACGCGGCAGGAGTGGTGTGGCACCGTGGCACTGTGGCACCATGGCACCATGGCACATTGGATCTGGCACATTTTGGGACCGATGTTACCATGTTCCTCCGCAAAGCTTGAAGGCCTGCGGATGGCAGAGACAGCAGACCGGCCCCCCCTCGCCAAGAAGCAAGGCTTCGGATGAGGGCTTCGGACTGTTGTGGTCTGTGGCTAGGTAACGCATGTCAATACCCAGCCACCGCCCTGTTTAGCAGCTTGAAGATGAAAAACATGATTGTGTGAGGTGGTGTGGTTGGCTTGAAGAATTAAGTTGAATGAAGTTGAAATAAGTTGAGCATGGGCAGAGCAGAATTCCAGGGACAGACGCACCTGACAGAATCTGATCAGCAAAACAATTAATTCCAAACCCTAGCGGGAATCAGTTGGCAACAGGGTCGCACAGCGGCAAACACTTTTTGCTACTGGAGTGGGTAGAGCATCTAAATCTAGATTATCGGAACCACCTGTGCATGAAATCCATCATGCACAAAGATAACCAACTCACTCAGCAACAACCTACCAACTAACAACAGGCTGTCCATGCACGCACTGACCATGCCACAAATTTGCACGAGGCCAACAACAGCCAAACATCAGATTCACTCATGCGCCCTAGTCCCCTTACGATAGAGGAGTCTACTCCACATTTCTGAGACCATGTCACGGTCACGCACGGCAGCATTTGGAGGCCCAGCTTGAAGTCGGGTTCACCAGGCGCGCGGAGCGCGAAAAGCTGGGAGATGTGCATTGGGCCGCAGGCCGTCGCAGGCTGACGAGTTCAGAAGTGCCGCATGCCGTGTGCTGCCAGGACGGAATGATGCCAGGAGTTACTCTCCAGGTTCCACGCTGTCACCCTACAGGCAGGATTGGACGGTTGGACTTTTCGGACCTTCGATTCTGGCACCATTTAAACATTTAAACATTGAACATCTTGAACTCCGGAAGATTGATTCATGAAAGGCAGGTTGAGATCTTATTTGACCAATTTTAAATACATTCATTGAATTTTTCTCCGCTTCAGACCTTTCTCTACGTTCACATGATTTCCCATGGCAATGCCACAATGCCGTCGGTTGCCGTCGGTTGCCGTCGGTTGCCGTCGGTTGCCGTCGGTTGCCGTTGGTTGCCAGCGGCGTTGCTGTCACGTGTTCCCTCCGTTTCCAGGCGTCCTGCGGGGCCAGGGAGTCGCAGTCGTGAGTGCACGCCTTCTCCACAGCTCGGAACTTGGATGTTGGATCCGTGTTGGATCCGTGTTGGATATGTTGGACCCATGCCGATGTTCCGATCCCTTGTTGATGTAACATGGAAACACGACGAAGCATGATGAAGTATGTATTAATATATATTAATGTATATTATATAAAGAAAGAATAAGAAAGATTAAAAAGACGCATGGATACATATGGATTTGATTCCTACGTCCATTTAGGGACCGTTCTTGGGATTGGAGACCTATTTTCTGCAGTGGCACTTCCTCACAGCACGGGCGGCCACAAAACGAAGGTCCCTGCGACGTGGACCGTCCAGCAATGGTGCAAGCAAAGTCACAGGCAGTGGGAACTTTGACGGAATTTGTATCAGCCAAACCCGGAGGGAAGGACCTTCGCAGCATTGGAAGCTGTTGTTTTTGAATTCTCATAATATCCTGCGGTCCTACGAGTATAACAGGTTCTGCCTTTACCCTCAGAGAGCGCCAGTGCCTTAACTGTACAGGCCATGCTGTAGCATGCTGTAGCATGCGGTAGCGCTATGTGACTATTTCATACATTTTATACTATGTCTTTGGATGTCTTTGGTATGTGACTTTTTGGATCTTTTGGGCCCAGGCAGCGGAGCCACACCAGGCCTTAGTGCCAAGCCTGTATCCACTCGGTATGGAGGCGAAGCGTTGCTCAGCAAGCTTCATGTGCAGGAAACTGAAATGCCAACGGAAAAAAGACGAAAATATCATAAAAGATCCATGTTCGTTCCATGGTGGTGTGGATGTGAAGGCGGAACAGCAGTTGCGCCGCCGGAGGTCCCTGATTCACACCAGTTGCGGCACTCGGCCTGCAATGTCCTGCGCAGTCTTTTCATCCAAAATAGTTACAACATGTTTAGACATGCTTAGACGTTCCCCAAATCTTGCAGGACAATCACATTTTCATGGCATCCCTTCTTGAAAGTCTTCACCCCTTTGCCGTCCCATGCCATCCCTTTCCTACTCCGAACAGAATCGAACAAATGACTTTCGCAATGTCTTGCAGTGTGAGGCCAGGGAGCCTGTTTGGACTGGCAGCAAATCTGGGCCTGGGAGGCTGCAACTTTCAGGATTTTTTCAGGAAGACTTCGATATTTTCGGATTTCGGATTTCGGATTTCGATGGCGTGGCGTGGAGGCGTGGCAGCTCCAGATGCCGAGGTGCTGGATTCTGGTTGGAACTTCAGTCGAAGCTGGGGTAGCGCAAGCGACACAAGGTATGCCAGGTATGCCAGGTCACAAGGGGTCGAAAATGATTCAAAATGATTCAGAATGATGGAACATGGTAGTGGAGCTAATTCTATGAAAAAAGGCATTGATCCCACCTATTCTTGAACAATGACATTGGATGAAATGAATCAACGGGCAAGCATTCTTCCCGCGACACAGCTATTTCCAGTGCTGAGGTATATATTGATATTGATCCATTTAGATCCATTTAGATCCATTTAGTCTCTAGTGACTCTAGTGACTCTAGTGGTGTCTCAAATTCGATTGCCAGCAGTGACAGGCCTGTGACATTGATGCCCGTCTCCAAGCCTTGCAGTGTGGAAGCTCGGGCAGTCGAAGGATGTCGAGGGTATTGAAATTTCGTGTTTTTGATAATTCATATAATTATCTTTTTAATGGCATCTTTTGAACACCGGACTGACGTGACATTAGAGTGACAAATTACATCAAATTACACAAATTTGTCCTCGGCATTGTGAGGTCCTTCCTAAAGCAGACGAAGAACATAGCTGCTTGAGAGTCACTGCTGTGCCGCTTTGGCTTGGCCTTCATCTTTCACCTGGTCACATGGCATACGATTCATACGATTCATATGATTATGATGATATATGATGCATGTTGTGCGACTTCCGGGGCGAAACGGTGTTTTCCCAAATGGAGTGATTGTTCATTGTTTCACATGCCGCCCAGTCGACACCATGCGTTGGTGTCTGTTGAAAGTCGGGAGGCGTTGAGACAAGGTCGTGGCTAATTGGTGGTCTATCATGGTTCATCCATGTCTATTTAAAAAGTTTCTGAAGGAGGCCTTGATGATAGCTGCAGCTCTTGTGAGCTCTTGTGGTTGTTCTACTAGTTCTCCACCTGCACCACTATCCAGTCTCGCCTGAATTCGAGCGGGTCCTATCCCACAGCATTCCACGCCAGCACATCACTACAACTGCCAACATCACTACAATTCGCAACTGTTTGCTCACGGCGTCGGCAGTGGGGAGTGTAGGACATTTCCAAAAGTAGGTAGGAGGCGAGAATTCGGCGACGCATCTCACATGCTGAATTGTAGAGACAGGTCCTCGTGAATTCATTCTCTTTACTTTCTTAAAAGTGAGTACTCGCTTGAACCTCGCAAGCTCTCACCAGAGAAAGTGAGAACGTAGCAGAATTTGGGTAGGTTGGCGGAATTCTTGCGGAATTCTTAGAAGATATGAATGCGTTATATGCGTTACAAATGTGACAAACATCTGAATCTACTCAGGCCGGGCCCAGCAACCTGCAAGATGATGTAAAATACTTCTGGAGAGCCCTATGTCAACGGAACATGTTGGAACATGTCGGTCGGAACCGCTAACCTGATGCGTGCAGCCCTCCCAGTCTGATTTGGGGCAATGGTGTAAAAAGATGATGCTTTTGGCTTTTGCCTTCAGCCATGTCAGCACATTGGCCTATGAATGACATGAGTTTGCACTGGAAGAACTCATCAATGGCGAACGAAGCATTTGGCTCATGTCTTGGCACGATGTTGTGATGGCGGTAACATAAAGGCCTGGAGGGTGATGTTGAGACTGGCCAGTCCACTTAAATGCAACGAGAGAACTTTTTTTCTTCCTCTCCTCCTCCTCCTCAGCACAGAACAATTTGCAGAATATTGCGAAACTGTATTGCGTCATACTTTGTCATACTTTGCCATATTTCGTCCCTTGGATCAGGGGCCTTTGGCAATTTGGCCCCACTTGCTGCTCTTTTTCTTGCAGCTGTTTGGCTGGAATAGTGGCTTCAGGAGTGGTGCAGAATCCTGCTATTCCTAAGTTGTCACACTGGAGTTTCACTTCGGCTCACCCGACAACTGCCTGACCCAAGAGTTTCGACTTGAGAAAAATTGTTTGACTGTAAATTGGTGTAAAAATTGCATTGCCGCATGGCCCGTACATTTTTCAGTTTGCTTCACTGTCGGCCAGTGGATAGTGGATGATAGTGGAAACAGCAGTGGATCCTTTTGTGTTGCCACAACTGATCTGATCTGTTCCTGCAGTGCTGTGCCATGGTATCCATGGTATGACCTCCAGAGATGGCGCGCGGCAATTGGATGCGACTTGATGGTCGGAACGAGGGCGGACAGGTGGTCTCTCGGCGAAGCAGGTCCGTGAGGCGGCCATAGGCGGCCATAGGCTTCCTTTGCGAAAGGCATCGAAAGATATCGAACGAGATGATCACAGATGATCACAGATGATCACAGATGATCACAGATGACCACAGTATATTTTCGAGTTTTAGGACTTGTCCAACACTTGTTCTCACACACGCCATGGAGAGATCTGAGGTGTGCCTGCTGCTTCTGCTTGTGTTGATTGCCGTCGCTTGTGGATGTGCTTTGGCGTGGCCTGGCTCACATGCGACAGGTGATAGTGATAGTGGAGCAGTGGAGCAACTGGCAGGGTGAATCGTCTGAAGAGTCCCTAACCGTCGCCCACATTGGGCCCACATTGGGCCCACATGTTGCATCACTGTCTTTGATTCTGCAGATGTTGCATCTAATGAATCTAATGTGCATGTGCTGCATGTGATTTGCATCTCAGGACATTTGCTACTGCAGCAGATGCACCAAAACCCGTGGGGATATTGCAGTCGAACTCCTCATGGAGGGGAACTGCTCACTCAGTGGTTGCTGGTCTTCAGATGGAGAGCCTCCATAGCTGTAGTAAGAGGTGCTTCCAGACTCTCAGATCAGACTCTGTGCAGCTCATAGGTGCTCCATGATCTCCATGTCATGCAGTGTTTCAGGTCCAGTTGCCCAACTTCACAATGGTTCTTCCAGCTGGCACAGTGGGAGATGACTTTGTCTTCCTCGGGCATGGCAGCTGCATCAATCAGCAACTTCGGCTAAGACAGTATCAATTAGGCTTTCTGGGCTGAAGTTCAACACAGGGCACAGCATGGCACATTGCTGCATTCTGGTATTCTGGTGCTGTACAACATATCGTGATTAGCCTCGTGATGCAGAGGCAGGGGGAGAGATTCTTCGGTCCTGTCTTGGACTACGCATCAACTCCCAGAGCTGATGGCACAAGCCCAGAATGCACGAAGCTGTGCCAGATGGTACCATCGTGCAGCGGGTATGAGGCACTGTTGGACGGGATTGGACGGGGCCTTTTTCGTTCTGAAACAGACCGTAGAGGATCTGGGCGGACATGAATACATACAGATATCATATCGGCAGAAAAGTTAACGGTAGCTAGCTGGTAGCTAGCTGGTAGCTAGCTGAAGTTTATCTTGCTTTAGCAAGGGGGGACGCTGAGACCAACGCAGTGGATTTTTCACTTAAACACACCTCATTCATGTAATTTTATGTATGTTTGTTCCAACCAAACCAATTTTACTTTTTGACGACCTCTAATTGCTTTTGGCAATTCATTCCATTTCTCTTTCCCTCGTTTCTCGCTGCCTACGACCAATTCTTCTTCTTTCCTGTTTCCATCATCTTTCTCCCTGCTTTTCTGCTCTTGCTCACACCTCTTCCTTACGCATAGCTTTCGTCCATCCTCCTTAGGCGTCAAGTATCTATACATGCAAATGTGCGCACACACACAATTTCGCGTTTTTTTTTCACGTGTCTTATTGGCATAGAACTATATATATATATTTATAATATTATCTATGCATTAAAGAGGCGCTTTTTTTGCCGGTGCATCCAGAATCGGTGGCAAGGTGCGAGGGAACGCTACTATGGAGAAGTGCTTCATCTTCGCAGATGGAATATTTCATCCCAGCGCTGCTCGCGGTGGTGTCGATGTCAAATGTTTCTGGAAGCATCCCATTGCCAAAGACACCCAGATGCCTGGATTCCAATTTGAGACGACCAACTAGGCTAGAACAATTCCGTAAGTTTCTCCCCTACCGCTTCGGGCTTTCACATTTGAGAGGTTGCAGATGTCAAAGGGTTGCCGTTTGGTAAGGACAGCCTACAGTGATTTGCTGCTGCCAGTCCCAAAGATTATCTGGAGCTTTTGGAAGACGCTGCCGGGATCACCAAAGGCTTGGTAGATTGCTCTGACATTGTGTGAAATTATGATGAAATTATGGTGGCATTGATTTGTGTTGATATGTCGCCATAGTTTGACCATAATACCACCATGATGCCATAATTGTCACCACACCTCATTCTGTCTTAGTGCAAGGTGCTGCAGCTCTTCGTGGATGCTTGTTTGGCATCCTGGAAAGCACTGAATCCTGAATACGAGATTCGAGTTCTGGATGATGAGACAGTCCACGAGTTCTTAACAGCTGAGGACCTGCGGTTATCTTGTCTTAAAAGTACAAAAGTGGTAGGATTTTTACAATTTTTTTCGCATCAAATATAATATGCCCCGCACTTAAAAGCCTTTTCTTGAAGGATTTGCCACAGACTTTTGATTTCCTGACCATCCAGCACAAGTCGGATGCAATCAGATGCTTGCCAGGCAAAAATATGGGGAAGAGCTTCGGAAAAGCTGTTAGTTCATGGTAGCTAACGGTAGCTCATGCTTTTCACTGAGGACTAGCATTGCTCCTGAAATATGGTGGCGTGTGGCTGGACACGACAACGTTGATGACACATTCTCTCGAGAGCCTTTTGGGCACCGATCTGGCGGTGCGGACCTTTTTCTCGTTGCCACCGATCTGGGAGGATCAGACGCTCCGGGCCAATGCAACTTGGAACCAAAATGGACGTTGGAAAAACGAGACAAAGGTGGCATTTTGGTGAAAATAAAAACCACTTCGTCGAGACACTGCACCAAGAGTGTGTTTGAAGTTTGAAGTTGCTTCTTTGCTGCCCTTGCCTTCATACCCAGTCATACCCTTCATCCCTCGCCTTCATACCCTTCATGCACAACATACCGAAACAAGTTCCGCAAGGTTCCAAACACAAATTGCTGGTGCAACGAAAGACAAATCCACTGCACCAACGCGCCAGCTACAAGCCATAGCAGCTGCATAGCAGCTGCTAGCTTTAAGTATCCTTTCACTATATTAAATATGTTTCAATTGTTTCAATATCCTCATCCTGCCCAGGACACTCGTGTGAGCTGGAAAGACCATGCCTACAATTGGTTCTTGGAGTCACCTCCCGGTGATCTCTTCATGCAACGAGTCAAAGAATGTGCCTGGCAGTTCCTCAATGGAGTCTCGTGCTCAGATCGGCCAGATCGGCCATAGCAATGCCCTGCTGGCATTTAAGCAAGGCAATTAGGTACTGTGCGTACGGTATGTATATTTATATATATATATATATACACAAGCAGGACATAAATACAACAAATACACATATAAATACATATAAATGCATATAAATACGGCATAAATCGCTTCAACATGTGAATTCCACCCAGCCATTGCGGTTGTGGCCGCCCGTCAGACTGTGTGCTATGAGGTGAGTCGACATGACTTGCGACTCACGGGGATGTTTACCCCGCAACAACTGGAGATCATGAATCGCCTGGGGATTCGGACATACCTCTCCTCGGATGCCTGCATCTTCAGGACGTACAGAATTGCTGCGTACAGGGCCTAGCTGGGCCTAGCTGGGCCTAGCTGGGCCTAGCTGGGCCTAGCTGGGCCGTGGAAGTTGCCTCAATGATTGATGTGTTTGATGTTGTTGGGTGATGTTGAAATAATATAACTCATGGTAACTCATGGTAACTCATGTAACTCAATGACACAATATGATCCCCTCTGTCATCTCATGTGCAGATATGGCACTGTTCGAGAGGACCATCTTTGAAGACCGTGCGCTCTGGACGTGGTTTCACAGTGATCGAGTGAGGATCCACGACCCCACGGGCAAACTTGGCTTCGGATGGATGGCAACTTGACAGAGCACCGATGTGGAGATGGTTTGGAAATGGTTTGGGATGGGCCTATGCCAACCTGTATCAACCTGTGGTAGATGATGGTAGATCCATAGTCCAACTATATCGTCTATATCCAATGTATTCATACGTTATCATGACCACATGTTCCCGCTTGACTGCTAAAAACTAAGGCGTAGTAGCCTAGTCCTGCAGAGCTCTGGGATTGCCATCCAACTTACTTTGGTAAATGCAAGAAAACTGTGGATGGGCCTGAAACTTGTGAAACAACATTTTGCTGCATCTTTCCAGGTTTAGCATAATCGACTTAGTCCACTTAGTCGACTTAGTCGACTTGCTGCTGTGATTTGTAGGATCTGTTTTTGAGTCAAACATGCCTCGGTTTCGTGTACATCCTCTGCATCCTCTGGCAATTTGAGGCCAACATGACTCACCTCGGGGTGCGAATCTTTAATCGTGTCGACCATGAGCTGGCAGATGAGTTTATCAATGACAAGGGTTTGTTCATGAAATATACTTCGGACATGCGCAAGGCTGGGTACTGCTGGGTACTGCTGGGTGAAGCTGTGGAGTGGTTACTGTGAGCTGATGCGAGTTCTTTTTCGATCTGGTATGACCTTGAGAAAGTTTCGCAACTGGCAGGCTATGGTGCTTATTATGGAGCCTGAAGTAATTTGGTGTCGACAAAACACGTTCCGCCTGGTCATGGATGCCATCGGCGTCGACTCAGCCAGCCGCTGCCACAGCGTTTCAGAAGTCACCGCGCCCAATGCGTAGACATGGGCGAGGGCGGTGTTTCCACAGTCCAAAGCGGCTGGTACGTTTCATGCGAGGAAACCCAACAGCGGTTGAGACACCACCAGTTGGCCTTGAAAACAAAATGATGAAGCAGCCATTCTGGCTGAGGCACCCTTGTGGACTACAAACACTGGATTTTCCCCAAAGAGTAAAACACATCCCGCTTGCGATGAAATTTTGGATTGCTCAGGGCATGTTTGGTGCTGTCCCATGCTCAGTGGCGGAAATCACGAATGATCTTGAGGGATGTGTGACACAATCGCCCAGTGGCCCCGTGGATTCCCCATTGGGTTCTTTGGAAACCGAGGATGGGCGGCTGGGCGTGCCGAGTCACTGCCTGAAATGGGTTTTGAATTGTTTTGATGCGCGAGATCTGAAGAGTTTTGGCATGGTGTGGTAGCACGAGACCACTCGCTATGGCCAGGTGCGGTAGTTAGGCCCATGTTGGCGTTGGCCTCAAGTCTTTTGTGTAAGATTCTTCAATATCATTCAATATCATTCAACATCTATAAATTTATGCCATTCTATACCTAGTCTTGCACTATGACTTTCCGGAACTGGTTGCCATCCTAAAGCCTCGAAATCTCCTTTCCCTCGCCGCGATGAGGTGCCGGGCGCCATGCCTCCAGTGATGACGTTTGTGACTTAGAACAGGGATGAACAGGGCAGATATTGAAAGATCTTGACAGATAACCAGGAGAGGCGATGGAGGTTTCACAGGTTTAACAGGTTCAACAGGTTTGATTTGTTTCTCATGAGTTCACCTGTCATGGTCTTCCTGAGTCTTCCTAGATGTTCCTGGGTGCTTTTGACTGAGTGCTTGGAATGTTGATAACATTGAGCTGGATGCATTTCAGGATCCCGCCAATGATGCAGGCACTGAGGGGAACGACCGAACGACCCAACTTCCGAGTGGGCCGAGACATGTCACCACAGCATTTGAACGCATTTCGTGGCTCCTGGACTCCTGGACACCTGGACACCTGGACTCCTGACCTTCTATTAGAGCTTGAGAATGCTTGAGATGTGCAGGCCTTCCCTGGGGCTCCTGCCTTATGGGGAGAGCGATGATGACTGGTTAGTCTTGATATGTATTGATTAGAGCGTCGCTGTGGGCGTTCTTTCTCCGGGCGTGCCTAAGGGGCTGCCAATGGTGCAGGACATGCACTCAGCAAGTGGTTCACAGAGAATGCCATTCTTTGATTGTGCTCTTCACATCTCTGGACGACCAGCAAAACTCTTCTCCCGTTCATCGTGTGGTGCTAAGGGTCTGCCAATGCCAGCTCCACGTCCAGTGCCCGACTTCGCTTCAAACCTGGTTTCTGCCTGCCTGGCCCGGTTGGAGCTGAGACATTGGTCGAATATGAATTAATGTGGTCTAACCGACTAACCGTCCGTCTAACCATCTAACCTTGCTGTTGTGCCACTGCGCAAATGGTGCCAGGCCTTGCAGGGCCATGTGCCGACTGTAAGTCAGGTGCGTGTGGAAACATGTGGAAACCAGCTTCAACATGTCGAGATTTCAAGGGTCCGAGACCTGATTCCCTAGACCCGCAATCTTTTCCAGGCCCCAGCGGATGGCCTGCAGTCGCAACTGCTCGTGCACAACTCAACTCTTTGATGACTGATAGAGACTGGCATTTGCCCAGATCCATGTAGATCCCAGCCTCAGTAGGCCGGTAGGCTCTGACCTCACTGATCTGAGCCAGTCTTGAGGCTTCGCTCACCAAACATACGCACAGATCTTAAGAGTCTTAAGATTACTTGCGCATCCGGCATTGTCATCATTGTCGGCAGTCGCATTATTTTCCCATCGATCTGCCTAGTTGGCCAGCATCCATCCAAACAAGGGTTCAGGGGGCAAATATGCTTCATGATGCTTGTATTCTACTGATTTCTATTGCAGCGGTGCTTTCCTCGCTTGGGGGGACTGTTTCCATGCTGTGAAGTTCTGATCTAGGCCCAATGACCTTGGGAGTTCCAGTGAAACGCTGCTTGGACGAATGCTAGTTAGCTGCTAGTAGGAGAGTGCAGATTCCACTTTTGCGGTGACTTTTGTGTTTTGTGTTCTGTAATGTTTGATGATTTGTGCATGTCAGTATGTCATACAGTCATACATGTCATGTGCCTGGAATGACCTCTCATTTCATTCATTTTCATTCCATTCTTTCCCTGCCGTTCCAGAACTGTTTCAGTAAGTTGCCGAGGCAAGAGCTTTTTCGCATGGTCTGCCCACCCCTTTGCCCTGTGTTGAGCTGTCATCCTGTTACCAAGAAGCATTCGATGTTTCTCTGCACTTGGCCTGAACGGCTTCGAATCAGGAGATGGATATTTACATGATATTTACCATATTTAGCACAGCCCCTATGATGATTGAATAAGTCCAAGGATATTTCAGAAGTGTCTTAGCTGCCCCAGAGCATGGCAATGTCATAGAACAACATGGCTATGTATGGGTTGGGCTCAAAGCTGGGCTCGCAACTGACGAGCTCGGCAGCAAAATGAAGATGGCTGCCACAGCCATGGTCACTCGACCCAAATTGTCCTAGGAGAAAAGAGTGCAGAGAATTCGTTGGAGTGTGCTTAACTTGTTAATGTTTTTTTCCGCTGATTTTTGGTTTTGATGTATTGAATGCATTTTAATTTTAATGCGGTATTTTCTACCCTACCGCAAATTCCTTCAAGTCAGCACCAGCTCAAGCTGTGCTATGGGCACTTTTTCGTTTCAGTTGCTCCCAGGTGCGGGGCCTGCTGATTGCCTGCCTGCTGGCACAGGCCCTCCCGTTGCCTCCCGTTGCCGGTTTCCAGTGGAATTATCCAATGGTCGGCATTCCCAGATGCCAGACGCCAGGCAAGCGGCCTGGTCGCACGCGAACATGAGACTGCCTTGCAGGTGCAAAAGAGATTGCAAAAGACTGTGCCACGAATGCCATGGGCCAGTGGTCACCCCCAAATTGCATGACTTACACAAGTTTTGCATTCAACACACACACACACACATATATATATATATAACATATTGAATATGAATAAGGAGGGTTCATGGATGCCTGAGTTTTTCAGCCAGATGGACCGCGTTCAATTCATGGTCAGTGGGATCGCCAGGCACCTCAACCACCTCAAGCACCTCAACCTCCAGCTGCACCCGCTCCAGCACCAAAGGCAGCTGTGTTGAAATTCAGTGTCCCGTGAAGCTCAAAATGGTGTGATCTCTTGCGGATGATCTTTGCTATCAGCGTTTCACGTTGTCACGATGTTTCACGTTTCATTTTTATTCATTTTTACCTTACCTTTGCCTTACCTAATGGGGCTCAGGCCGAGCCAACCTATGCACCAGCTCCAACCCCGATGCCCATGATCACAAGGATCTTGAGGGCTGGAAGCAGTGGGTAGGATGTGAAATTATTTGTGGTGGCCACATGAGATTTGAAGCTGTGGGACGTTTTCCTTTGCCCATGTCAGGGTAACTTGAGATTCACAAATGTTTTCCCACGCTCTTCCAGCTTTTTGGGCGGTGATTGTTGGCATTTTGCTTCCCAAGTGCCAGGATGTTGAAACCGATCCTTGGGAATCGAGTTGCTGGCATGGGACAACACCAGTGCCTCAATCGCACTTGGCTGTGGCAGTTTCGTGGCATTGTGGATGAGCTGAGCAGCTGAGGTGGTGGGTGGTGATCCGCACTGCCATTGGCTGGGCGGTTTTGCTCTATGGACCCCTGGCAGATCTGGCGAGATAAAAAATGTGATATGATGTGATATGTCAGTTGAGTCGGTTGAGTTTGAAAGGGATGGCGGCTTCGAAGCGAGGAATTTGGATGTGGACTTGGTGGCTTCCATCTCTTTATTTTCGTATGTATGATGCCTATGAGAAGGAGATGGCGCGAGACGATACAAGATTGCTGAGGGGTCAACAGTGCCCGACCTTGACTGCGTAGGAGAACATTGATGGCCGCACCTTCAAGCAGTACCTCACCTATCATTTCAACTATTGGATGGCCTCAGGCAGGGGTCGTAGTGACGTCGTAGTGTATTCCTTAGAAATCCAGGTGGCACAAGTAGCTTCCCTGGTGAAGCTCCAGGGCTGTGGGCTGTGGGCCTTCAGGTGGGATCTCTGCGATGTTTCAACTTCTGGTCATTGGCATCCTGACACTGTTGACCTTGGGTTTCGCGCCCAGCTGCTTTCAGAATCTTTCAGCTTTGCTTCTGTTGGTTCAGCTGTTCCTCTCTGAAATGGCGCCATTGTCAGCAACTAAGGTGCTTTCATTTATGCCATCATGATGCAGGAGAGTAACAAAAAAAGCAAAACCGGTGCCAGCATAGCATTACTCTATATTACTCTATCGCTGAAATTACTGTATATAGTAGAGCCATTGTAAACAAAGCCTCTTAGTTAGTATATATAACTCTTGCGGCGTCATGTTCAACGGTTCCTGCCTCCCTGGTTGCTGGGCATTTCATGGTTCGGCGCAGGACTCTCCAGTGCGCGGTCTGTGGCTGTGCACCGTTTGGGCTTCTGCTGCCTCTGTGGATCCTGCAGTGACGGCAATGGAAGGTGTGAACTCAGTGTCAAGAGAGCAACGTGTTTCAGTATCTTTCAGATATTTTGCTCGTTCTTCCTGTGCGAAGATAGGGTTGCTGACTCATTGAGCGTAGGTAGACAGGTAGCGCAAGGCAGGTATGAATTGTAGCCTGTTGCACACCCTCTTCACGTGCACCTTGATCTTTGCGAGGTGGTGTGGGAATGATTGCTACGTTCGGTGGACTGGTGCTGCTGGCCGTTCTGCTGACCACTATTTCGGACCGCCTTTCTTTTTTTTTCTCTCCGCAACGCCGCACTATTTCCATTTAATTTGTTCCCATTTGTTTCCTTCTGATGTCCCGGCAATTCTTAAGCTCCGGACTCATCATGCTCTTGCAATCTCTTCGTCAATCTCTTGCACCTCGGTTTCCCACTTGTCCATCGGACCCACGACGCGACGTGCAGGACTTCTTTGCCGAGCAGCAGCGGAAGTCCAACGAGGGCAGGGATCCCATCGTGGAGGCGCAGCGGGCGCAGCGGGCGCAGCGGGAGGGTTGGCCGATGTTGGCCAATGTTGGCCGGTGGTACATGCCACGATGGCACGATGCCACGGTGGTTCCATGATGTTCCATGACTTCGACGACAGGGTGGGCACCTGGTGTTGCTGGGCCTCTCATCGCAGACCAAGCAGTTCTTGGAGGAGTTGCTTGGTCCATGTTGGTCCCAGCTGGCATCTGGCAGCTTTGCGTATTTCTGTGTCAGGTTCCTGGGATATCACATGAGATATCCCGTGGCTAATGATAATGCTTGGCTCAGGTTGGCGATTTGTGAGGCAAACAATGCTCCAAAGACCGTGGCCATTCTTGACACCATGCCGAAGTCGGAGCTCCTCGGTTCAACGAGTTGCGAGAGCCGCGAGTTGGTATGATGGCACGTGCTGCCTTGCGAAAATTGCTACGCCTCGGCGCCACATCCAAGGATTGAAGAGGAGATAAAGAGACAAAATACCAAGACAGGTGACTTGAAGTCTCGTGGCAGCATGGGAAGAAAGTTGAAGAAAGGCTTAAAAGCACCCCGTCTTTGGACCTGTTACTTTTCGCCATACCTGCTGTTTGTGCGAGGATTGTTTGCCGAAATGGTTTGCCGTCTTCGGCTGCAGACCTCTGGAAGGTTGGCGCAGATGTGTGCAGCAGGAGCCAAGTTCCGCTTCACCCTCCGAAGTCCTGAATAAAGATCCGGGATATTCCGTTGGACATTCCGTTGGACATTCCGTTGGACATTCCGTTGGACATGCCATGGATATCAAAAAGATTCACGAAGCGAAGTTAAGCGAAGTGTCGTGTGTCATTGGAGCCCAGTGCCCCATAGATCCTTCGCATCCTTCGCCTGGCATCGTTGGCGATTCGTTGCATCGAGGATTGTGATCCTGGACGAGCCTTCGCTGCCGCGTGACGAGGCAGATGCCATCACGTTCGGCACCCTCTTGACGCTGCGAGGCCGGCCATGGCCAATCGGCCAACTGTTCAAAAACACAAAACGCCTCAGAAGATCCACGCATTTTCAGATCTTTGCAGGTCAGGGCAACTGCGGCTGGCCGCATGGTGGGCATATTGCAGTTCAGTTCCTCGTCGCAAGATTGGCTGAATTGAATTGGCTGACGGCTGATGTAGGGTGATGATTGCAGGGTGCTGCCCCAGTGCTGACATGAACTTGTTAGCGACATGAGTCGAAATGAGGTGTTGCCTTGGGAAAAATGTGACCTTCATGAACAACCTTTATCCTGGCTGCTTGGCATTCGCGGTCAATTGGCGCAGGGTCCCCTCAGGGCTTGAATAGCATCAACAGTTTTATCAAAAGGATTCAAAAGGACATTCCCAGCTTATACCTTCCAATGTCACATGTCGGAGAATTTCAATGATGCACAGATGATGCACAGATGATGCACAGACATCATCAGGCATCCAGAAAAAACAAATGAAAAACAGATGAAAAACAGATGAACAACAGATGGAAGACCGCCTAAGACCGCGCATCGGATGCATCGCATTTCCCTTTCGATGAGGCAAGACCTTTGTCCTGAGCGGTGAGCGTTTGGGCCGTCTCATGGTTCAGAGTGCACAAGATCAGGCATGGAAAACCCGAAAAAAAACATGAAAAACCGTGTTCTTTCCATATCTTTCCTACCTTGGTTCACATCCGCGCTAGGACTCAGGACCATGCTTTGCAGGCATTTGTTACCTTGAGTTTCTCATAGGAGAGGGACCATGATCAACTATGGATCGTTACCCACAAGATCCCACAAGTATGTGTGCATGTATGTACGCACACAATTGCATAGATCGAAATGGCTAGCGGCATCTAGCGGCTTGTAACTCAAGCTCTTCCTACTTTCATGCTTTTGCAGCCCGCTCCGTATATCCTAGCTTGCTCTGCAGGGCCTGTGCCCCATCTTCAACGCACCCGACTCAGTAATTCCAACAGAGACCGGAGAGATTGAAGGGTGGCCAAATCAGCAACGCAGCAACATACTTTCTTGCACATGATGCCAATGATGCCAATCTCTTTTGTAGAGGTTTCTGACTCAACATGACTCAACAAGTCGCTGTGCTATGAGGCCATCATTGGATTTGAAGGTGATGAGTTCTACAGCTCCAAAGCCGGCGATCTGGGCCTGGCTGGAAAGTCATTTCAGGAGCTGGTGGCTGGTGCTCCAACTCACAACTCATCGTGACAGTGAGCAGGATTAGACACGAGGAAACTGAGGAAACTGAGGAAACTGAGGAAAAAAAGTCTTGCTTTCGAGCTCATCAGGATTTCATATGGAATCGAGCCGAAAGCAAAGTGTTTGATCAGAAATCCCCATCTTTCACGGCTTGTGGCCACGGTCAAACTGTCCAGCCAGGAAGCGCCTTTCTGGTGTGAGCATACCGTTCCCATTGGAATCCGCGACAGTAGCGGAACCTATCACATCAACCCCGAAAAATCCTACAAGATGAAGAAGGCAATGGGAAACCCGGGAAGTGATCACTTTGCCGCGACAGATTCGACTTTGTCTTGTTACGGGAATGCATTACTCCGGGGTCTTTAGAGATCAGGTGGGGTTGCTGCGGTTGCTGCGGTTGCATGCTTGGCGGGCCGGATGTTAGAATCTGAAGCGGCCCGGCCATGGCAGGACGACGAAGTCATTCTGCTGGCAGAGGTGTGCAGCCGCTTGCGCTTTGCAAACAATTCCGGTTGCAGCCGGTGACACGTCGTGCACATCAGGACGATGATGCATTGGTGCCACTGTCAAAGCCAATGATGGACTTCGAAGCCTGGAAGATGAAGCTTCATGGCATGCGCAAATATGCGCAACCGGCGCAACCCTACAGTATTTGCAGTGGATGTTTGATTTTGACAAGGCTGTTCTATGCTGTTCTACCTAATGCTGGAACATGCTGGAACCTATCCATCTAATTCTATTCATCCATCTGCCCATTTGAGAGGAGTAGGTGCTTTCTGATTACGACAACCCTGGACCTATTCTCGATCAGTTCTGCCTTCAAAAGCATTCAAAAGCAGCCTCATCACGTCTCATCAGGTTTGGTTCGGCAAAATTCGAGGAAGCGGACCCTAACGACAACGAGACTGGGCAAAAAGAGGAAGATGTAAGATCTGCCATTCAAGACTTTACCATCAGGATCAGGGCTTGTTGTAGATTGTAGCATTGTAGCATTTGTGTGATTTCCTGCTTGGCTCCCAAGAGCATTGCTTTCCACAGCCACGTTTTGGCTCAGCTTAACTTGTACACCTGGGACAGTCCCTTTGCAGCTTTGCAGATTTTGCAGCACCGCACCATGTTCCGGATCGGTCTGATCCTGTCAGGTCTGTCAGGTCTTGTTTTGTTGGCAGCCGACACCGTGGATTTCGAGCAGGCTGGGGCCAAAGCAGATGACTCCTCGGAGGCTGTGGAATGGTCGAACGGAGCTTTGCTGAACCAGACCCTGGGGAAGTTGCGCCCCGGCGATCGCTTGGTGATCAGCAAAACTTTCCATGTGATGGGTGGCATCCAGGCAATGAATTTGGCAGATGTGGTCATCCAGCTCGATGGCAAGTTGATCTTTTCCTCCAGGACTAAGGTTTGGCCAAGAACCGCCACTGGTGGAGTGTTAGGCTGCATGCACTTTCAGAACCTCACCAATGTGACTTTCACATCCTCAAGTCGTGGCACTATTGATGGACAAGGTGCTGTATGGTGGGGCTTCATCCGGTACCTTAAAAACGTGGAAAACCGTCCGAAACTCTGGCAGATTGATGGTGCCAAGGATGTGTTAATTGAACACCTCCTGTTGACCAACTCACCTTATTGGACCACTTGGTTCAATGGAGTGGATGGCTTGGAGATCCGCTACTCTGACATCATGAATCGACGCACGGACCACCCAGGCCACGATGTCTACAACCTTGGAGCTCTCAATACCGATGGCTGGGACATCGCAGGCACCAATGTGTGGGTGCACCACAGCAAGGTGTGGAACCAGGATGATTGTTTCACGGTGAAAGGCAGCTCCAGCAACATGCTCTTTGAGAACATTGAAGCAAGTGGATTGGGCTTGACCATTGGGTCTGAGGGAGGCGGTGATGTCGTCTCGAACATCACCTTCCGAAATGTCTACATGGATCGCACTTTCAAAGGTGTCTACATGAAGTTCAGAGAGGTCGGCCCCGGTCAGGTCTCCATCATCCAAAACGTGACCTATGAAAACATTTACATGAAGGAACCCGAACAGTGGGGCATTTGGATCGGCCCTGCTCAGCAATCAGATTCTCGTGAGTTTTGGAAAGGTCATCCTTGCTCTCTGTTTTGGCCAAAGTTTCCTGGAGCTGAGTGCAAGGCTGCTGACAGGGGCATCTATCGCAACATCTTGTTGCGGAATATCACCATTGACAACCCCAAAGATCAACCAGGTGTCATTTGGGCCGACAAAGCCAACCCAATGAAGAATGTGACCTTTGATTCTGTGCGTGTAATCAATTGGAAGGGCCCACAGAAGAAGCTCCAGTACAAGGTTTGTGACGGCGTTGACTCTAACTCAGCCATTGCCACTGGCTCAACTTCTCCAATTCCATCGTGTTTCCACCAGGGAACATCGGGAGTGGCAGATCCTGAGGAACTGCTCGTTTGAAACGCTCCCATTGGTCTCATACTTCGCTGACTCCCGCTGTGGGGGTGGGCTGAGCGAAGGTTGACCCCTTTTGCGATTTGCACATATTTGTACAACAATTTCTGACTGGCAGCGTGGCCGCAGATGCAACAAAAAGTAGTTGCAGTCGTTGATGCAGACATTTTTACTTGCGGATGTGTATGTTCATACATTTAAACACCTAAGATCCACATTGCTGAGGGCGACCCATGAACTTTGATAGATTTTGGAACTTGGGCCCCGGTCATGTCAAGTGTTAACGAACTGTTAACGACCTCTTTTCTCAGGAAGTGGTGCGCGTGCTAATTTGCAACTTCACCGAAAGAGGACCGCCTGCAAGTTGATCATGTTGACAACGTTTTGATGCAATGCGCTAGTGGAATCGGGTTCCTGGATCTTCAGTAGATTAGCCGCATTAGCCCAGTTTACTTGTGATACTTGTGCAAGAGTGCAAGGCTATGGTTGTGCCATCCTCTTCGCCCTTGATGAGCACCTCGGACCGTATTTCGGGACAGGTGGTTGTTTTAGACCTTGTAGCTCTCGCCGGGCCAACATGGGCCAACAACCCTGTGAGAAATGCTCGTTTTGAGTCGAGAGGCATCATGCCAATTGGAGGGTTGGAGCTGCAACATTTTTTTCTATCTTGTTCTGCCAGCGTCCGCCACTGAGGATGTGTGGTGCCGGATCAGCAGCTCGAACTGCAGGGGAAGCCGGGGTGAAGGCTTCAGGTCTCTTCAGGTCTCTTCAGGTCTCAGAGTAGAATTGCATGTGTCCACATGTCCTCTATCATCCTCTATCATCTCTATCATCCTCGATCCAAGGAGTGCGACATCTTCTGCTCTCTTTCTGAAACTGGGCGCAGTTGCATTTCTGGTATGGTGAAGCTGGGAAGGTTGATACTTGTGGATACCTGCGGCCAAGAAACGATGGGCTGGCAACTTGCTCAAGTGGAGTGGTTTTCCTCCCAGCACAGGAGGAGGACGTGATGTCCATCATCAAAAATGCTGAAGAGGAGACCGAGCGTTGCTTGAAGAACCTCAAGGTGGCCCATGGTGCTCCAGCTAATGATAATTATTGATATTTATAGTTTATGTTATTTATATGACATATGTATATATAATTATATTTAAGCTAACTGGCTGTTGCTGTTTTTTTCTTGGCAGGTGAAGCACATCCACACTGTGCCTCAGCACCAGATGACCTCCCGGCACAAGATCAACATTCTGCAGTTGAAGTGCGCTGTCCCAGTCGGGGTTCAGCACTAAGCGCATCAGGATGATGTGCACCAACTCACAGACGCAGTCATGCACATCAACTCCAATGATGTTATGATGAATTGATAAATGAATTGATAAATGAATTGATAAATGAATTGATAAATGAATTGATAAATGAATTGATAAATGAATTGATAAATGCTAAATATTTCTTTGTTATTTTTTTGTTATCGGACTGATCAGATGGGCACTCCCATCCACGAATTTGCGCTGAAACAGTGGGGCTGGAAATCCATGGAGCGATGTCAGATGAATGATTAAACAAAGATACTGGGTCGTAACAAAGGATCTGAAAGCATAAAACATCATAAAACATCATAAAACGTCATGAAACGTCATAAAACCCGCTAAAAAAGACTTACAGATCTTACAGTGGTCTTACAGTATTCAAACTGGAGATCACTCTGCGGGGTCTTTCAAAATACCACTGTGAGCTGAAACTTCAATTCAATTTTTTTGTTTCTTTTTTCTCCTTCATTTTCTATCCACTTTGAGCGGAAACACCACCTCGCCCCATTTCCAGGGAATACCACTTCCAATTTGTCCTCGCTGATGCGGCCCTTGGATTTCAGAAGGACGGGAAAAACAAAAATGGATTTTGCAGCAAAGGGCATCAAAGGCTGTCAATTTTTGTTCCTTGTAGCTTGAACCTGCCAAGATTCCATCTACTTTATGATGCTCAAAACGTAAAGCGAGAATAGAGATCCATGTGTCCAACTTCAACGGATTTGTCTGATCTTAGAGACCCGCCCTTCGCGATCTTCGTTTTTCTCAGGCAGACGAGCAAACTGTTGCAATGATCATCCAGATGAAGACCTTGCTGCAGGTAGGCAAGCTTCAATCTCGTTTTTTGTGGCAACATGTGGCAACATGTGGCAACATGTGGCAACCTGGCAATACTCGTGCAGGCTGTACTACTATATACTGCTATCCGCCACCGCACATGCTTTACAAGCTCATGGTTGTTGATTGAGGTAGAGCACTTGCTAACCGTTGAAAGATGTTGAATTTAAATATTTGAAATACATTGTCAGATGGTTGCACCTCGCACCCGAATCTGTCCTCGATCACCGTGGACCTGTGGTGGGCTCTTTCGCGGTTCCCTGCCTCAAGGAGAGCTCGCCTGATGTGAAATTTGAGCCGCTGGCGGAGTTCTCAGCAGAGAAACCATGAGAGACTCTCTGAGAGACCCCTCACAAGCTGCAGAACATGTGTGACATGTGTGTAAATTAAATGTCTGCCTGTGTGGCCGTCATCATCCAAGACGCTCATGGCCATGATCATATTTTCCTTTGCTTCAAGCAATCTGAGGGTAAACACAGTAAACACAATGTAAAGACCTGGTTTGGACAAAGCTCAACTTATGAAACTTCAGATTTGGTGCGCTGTGCGACCAGAGGTGGAAGTTTGCACTCCAAACGCGACGCTGCAGCTGGAGCTGTGTGGCATCAAGTGCCTCGGCTGAATCTGTCGCATCCTGTGGCATCCTGCGGCATCCTGTGGCCTGCGTGAGGAATACCATCAATACCATCTCAATGATGTCGAAAGCCATGGCCTCCTGGCTGAAATTCATTGATTTCATTCTTTGGACATCTGTGTGTTTCTTCAATTCTTCTGGCTGGTGTTGATGTGTCTGATAGTCATTGATGGTCATAGATGGTTATTGATAGCTGATAGCTGGTGCGGAGATCCCTGGAGCTGAAGGGATTGGGAAACGAGGCGCTTGTGGCAATTGACACATTGGCGCACGGAGTGCTTTCTGATTTGTTGTCGGCGACGGGCAACAACATGGACATCACGCTCCTTGCACCAAACATGGGGTCAACTGAGTCAACTCAAGTGTTTTGGAGGTTGGAATCCTCTCATATCCTCTCGGCACTGCTTCCAAGGTTCTTGCAAGACTACCTGGGCAAGCAGCCGCTTCCCACACAGCCGCTTCGTTGCAGCCATCTGTGCGGTGGTCCAACGCATGGTTGCATGGTTACACTGCTGTTTGGGTCAGGATGTTTCAGGTCACCCTTGGTATCCCTTGATCAAATGATAGAAAGATGACGCAAGATATAGATAGTGAATGAAGTGAATGAAAGTGAATGAAAGTGAACCAGTGTGGCAGTACCGGGTACCATCGGGTACCATATTGCAACAATCATTTTCGCCGGAGGCTACGAACGCCGAACCCCCAACCCCCTGAGGATCACCTTTGTGGAGGTGGCTGCCATGGTGAATCGTGCCGCTCAACAGGTGGTCATTGGCTGGTCAGAGAGTCTCTCGGTTGGTGCCCTGATGAATCACTGACAGAAATCAACAAGAATCAACAGAAATCAGCAGAATCAAGGCAAACAGATCGAAAACAAATCGAAAACAATTGATGATTTTGACTCATTTTGACGCTTCAACACCACTGTCGAACTCGCTCTTTGGTTCCAACGCGTGTTGAGGGATGACCTTTGTGTTAAGTTCGGCACGCACCTGGTCTTGAGGGATCTACGGTGGTCTCACTGAGAGTCTAGTTGAAACATGTTGAAACATGTTGAAACTGTGCGCCAAGGGAACGAGGAGGGCGAGCAGGCGGCTTGAGCACTGAACGGGTTGGGTGAAGTCTTGGAGGTATTCCGGTGCTGATCTCTGCACCCAGACTTCGACGCTCCTGCACACATTTTTTTTGAATGCGGCACATGGATTATATAAAAGAACTTCGCAGCGTTATGCCGTTATGCAGCTGTAAATCTCGCACTGGTTCAGGTGTGGGTGGTGAATCCAAAGAACAAGGTGCAACCACGTGCGTGGACAGCCGAAGACAAGATCGTCGTGATCAAGGAACTGAGCTCACCAAGCTGCTGCTGCCAAGCCAGAGGCAAAACATCGTAGGACTAATATGAAAAACCATGAAAAATCAAATGACAAATGAACAGCCGGACCCTTTTTTTTTTTAATTGAATATGATACTATAATTCTACGACAATAACTATATATAGATATATATATACATAATGCATCAGAATACTTGAGGATAATCTTGCTACATTTTGCTCATCCTGCCCATCTTACCCAAACTGCTGATTTGGACGTGCCACTTTATGGGCTTGTCAGGACGTGTGAGCTGCCAACCTTGACTCCAGCTGAGCATGGCTGAAAAGGTTTTTGCATGAATTTGCCATCGTAGGCCCCATTTTCTTCGTAACTTCGATGCAATCATTTTGTCTCCAAACTCTCGGGCACTCCACTTCTTCCCGGCTCAAAGTTCTTGACTGAAGCAACAAATGATGTGGCGGAGGAAGTCAGGCTGATGTTCTTGGCGGCTGGAAACATTTGAAAACAGCTCTGTCAGTGGGAGTGCTTGCAAATACTGTAGCCTACCAATGAGTAGGAATGGGGCATTTGATTAGCTGATTAGCTTCGCCATTTTGGCAATTTTCACTTTCCAGACTTTGAAAACATGTGTGAAACATGTGCTTGGCTGCTTGCCCTCCCGAGTTGGAATGAAGTAGGTGAGGGGGTCAAAAGGCTGGAAAGCTTTGCGCTTTGCGGAGTCAAACATTTGCCATGCCGCCATGCCTGCATGATCCTGGATGTCCAGATGTCCAGCAATGAGGCCGGGGTTGGTGCTAGGTGCTTCTAGCAATGGTCCAGCGGAAGGCAAAGGCCACCGTCCATGTTTTTCGGGGGTTGCATTTCTCCGTTGGCAGGTGAAACGGCCTCGGCATGAGCTACCTGTCTTCGTGTGTGAGTACCACAATGAGGTGGGACCCCTGTGAAACGTATATTTTTGAAGCATCAGAACTGGCATTTGCAGATTCTCCAGCCATGGGGCATCAGGCTTTGCGATGTCTGCATTTCGGCATCCGACGGCACAAGGCTGACGTGAAGCTGGCACTAAACCCGCAATGCTAAACAGCCGTGCAATGCAGTGCGATGCCATGCAATGCCGTGCAACTTTATCGAAAGATATTGAAAGTGTCAAAGTCCGCAGCTGCAGCGTGGCAGGTGCCCTTTGAAGGTCTCACCATGGTTCACTTAGATGCCCATCCTGACCTGTCGGCATCGACCACTATGCCCGCCCAGCTGATTATGGAGGAACCACATCAGGTGGACTCAAGTTCGTCATAAGCTTAGGTACGTCAAGAACCCCCCAAAAAATAAGAGAAGCCCACAAATCCACATAAATCCACATAAATCCACATAAATCCACATAAATCCACATAAATCCACAACGATACCAAACCAAGCGTGCCATGCCCTTTCCGGTTCTCCCCAGTTACCGGTTGAATTCCGCAGGCCTACGGTGTACTTCGGGATGATCCAGCAGGCATTGCCCAATGGATTTTGCCGGCAGCATATGCAGGACATGTGAATTGTGTTTGGTGCCTTGGCGAATCTTGGCGAATCTTGGCGACTGGATATAAGATGAGATAACATTGATAACATGAGATAATTGAGGAGGATTAAGGAGGATTAAGGAGGATTGGTGATTGGTGAGAATGAACTTAGCTGAAGGTTGGCGACGTTGGCGACCAGTTGGTCAGGTTACACCCCATCTGGAAACTCAATGCGTTCACTTGCTTTGTTGCGTTTAGTTGGGGGGAAAGATTTCTGGAAGTCGGTGCGTCCTGCGTCCAGCTGGTGTTTTGGAAGACATGGTTTGGACAATTGATATTTTTACCTGCGTTCTTGGTGGTTCGGAATTTCCCTAATGTGTCAGTTCCATTGGGAATAATTGGATTGTGTATCCCCGTGCCAATTTCAACTACAAACATGCTTGCCTTGAGGCCTATACAAAATGCTGTGGGAGCTGGATTTTGTAAGAAAAATGTACCTCAGACCCCTAACTTTTGTAGATAGACCATTTTACAAACTAGAAGATAGCATCAATTGACTTTTGTAGGGACATGTTGCTGAGACTTTTTGGGACATGTTAAAATCCCAGCGAACTTTTGTAGGGAAACCAATTTGGGGTTCATGAGGTCATGACACTTCATGATCGATTTTTGTAGGGAGGAAACCGCGCCAGCATTTGGCAGCCATTTTGTGCTTGCTCAACAATCTCCATTCTGATCCCCGTTTAGATTTCCTCTACGTGTTGAGGGGGCTTGGGTCCCGTATAAAGCTGAAAAAACTAGCTGTTTTATAGAGAAAAATGGGGCTGGTTCCCAGTCATTGTAGACAAATAGTGGTATGTATAAATCATGTTGGATGCACTCGCTTTTTGTAGAGAGGTCATTTTGGAGCAGTTTTTCGGTCATGTAAAAATGCAATCAGCTTTTTGTAGAGGACTTCATTTTGAGGCTTGAGCAGCCATGTCAGAGTGCTGAAGACCTGGGAACTCATTTTATAGAGGATTCATTTTATAGAGTGTTTGCATGTAGTTTTTTGATCGGGGATAGGAAATCGCCTACAGAAAGGGGAGGACTTGGGCTACGCTACAAACCGCCAGGTAGGGTCGTTTTGTCGAAAAACAAAGAACTTGTGCCAAGGTTTTTGTAGTCTTCTTCAAACGGGTTAACCGACTTTTTGCAAGGAACCTGCGACGCCGCGGCTCTTTTTGCAAACCTTGTAAAATGGCATTCACTGAAAGTAAAGGATGTGCAAGATGAAATCCTTGGGTTTGAGGTTTGTAATGTGGGGCAGTGGTTCAGGAAGGGTTTCTCCCAGGGGTGAAAATTGGGAGAAAGCACCCATGTGCCTTTTTTGTAGAGGATCAACTTGGTGCCAGCACTTTGTAGTGGGTGAACACTCTGCCAGTGCGTAACCTGTAATTATGTTGAGCCCATTGCCAATATATAACCTGCAATTGAACCTGCTACGACTACCTAACCTGTAATTGAACATGGTGCTAGTGCGTAACCTGTAATTATTGTGAACCCGCTGCCAATACGCAACTTGTAAGGATTTATACATTAAAGCCTTCTTTCTCTACAAAATGCCCAAGGTTCGAAGGGACCCAACCTCCTGAGAGCAATCCTCTACAAAAAGGATAGGGAAAAATCCAGCTGGATGATTGATGGTGCTTTTAAGTTAACTATGTGGGTTGAGCAACCTTCTGGTAGAGCTGATTTAGCTCGGTTCTTGGCATGGTGCCTAAAGTTGGCACTAGCTTTTTGTAGTCCCAAGGTTTTTGCAGGTGATTGCTTTTTGTAGACACTAGGGTTGGTCCCCAGTGATTTGTAACGACGCAGAGGGGGGTCCAACCCCCCCCCTATTTCAAACGAGTATCCAGTTTGGAGAAAATGCCGTGTCCACAAGGATGTCCCACTATGTGCCCTGTGACTTCTCTGTGTGGGCAAGCAATGGAGCCTCCAGTATGGGATAGAAAGAGATACTGTTGGTCCCAAGAGCATAGCCTAGCTGTGCATGGTACCGCTTGAGGGCGAAGAAGCGTCGAAAGGGTGGGTGGAAAAAACTTCCAACCAGTACTTTGCAAGAGCATCCTCTATAAAAATGGGATCCAAGGTCGGCAAAACTGGGATGGAGATTAAGATGGCAACATGTTAACCATCTTGACCGACCCTGAGTTCCATTTTTGTAGGAGCAACATTTCCTGGATCTTATGAGGCTGGATCCCAGTTTTGTAGTGGGAAGGCTGTGAGGTTGGGTACCACTTTTGTAGGTTTCCAGCTTCAGGGACTGCAAACTGTACCCTACAAACATGGGCTTCAACCCACTGCTTTCAATACTCAGGGGGGTGATTGTGTTGAGTTTTCCCCGTTTGAAATTTGGAGATGTGGTTGTGTTGGAATGATGAGGGGGATTGGTGGCGAGGGGTTCCTTTTTCCCATTTTAGGGTATCGCGGGGGTATCGCCAGAGTATTGCCGGAAATAAGTGAGTTGTCTTGCCTGGTCTTGTCTTGTCGCTGCTGCTGCTGCTGCTACTGCCGCTACTGCTGCTGGTTCTGCTGGTCCTGCTGCTGCTGTTGCTGCTGCTTACCTTCCCACTACCGAGCTGCGTGCGCCACAAGGGGTTGCACCTGTATCTTTGGTTGGTCGCTTCACTTTGACTGTAGTTGCGGTGAGACTTGCGTCCCATTGCGTTTTTCAACAAAATCGTTGAAAATAACCTAAAACAGTGACTGCATAGATGCAGCGTCCGCAATAAATTTTAGAGCCATAAAACAACACGGAACATTAAACGAAATAGATGATTACGGGCGCACAGCGTCCCATGCTGATTTGCATAATTTTGCACTGACTTCATTCTGTGACTTCCTGAATGTGCAGCGTCCCATTGTGATTTGTTTTCAAACAGACCGTGCACTGACTTTCCCGACTGGGTGTAGCTGGACTTCAACAGTTGGTGTTAATTACAACAGCTTTGGCCGATGCCAAGGTGGCTGCGACCTGCGTGGGCACAGCAGATTGCCGACGGTGACTACCGCCACTTGCCTGACAAATTCTTAAAACTGGTGCCGTGACGAATTGTCAATGACTTGTCTGCCGTTGCAATGCAGTTTCATGAGCCTCTGCGCAAGCTACAAAATAGCTATGCGATGCTGTGGAAAAATCATACGTGATACAGTATATAATAGACGGACAAATATTCAAACCCTGCAACACGCACTATGTTGAACCCCTGCAACCCCAAATCTCAATGTTTCAGCGCGCGTGCTGCCAAAAGTGATGCTAGGGGTTTGATTTCTTTCGTCCATTGCGGCTAGGGCATTTCAGATGACATTAACATTGAACTTTGGAGGCGAGGGGGTTGTACCAGATAGAAGGGGTTTGAAAAGTTCGTCCATCTACGGTACCAACTGGTGTGTGTGCGCATGCCGCGTACCCCAGTTGGAACTGTCTCGCTCTCTGGTGTTTTCACTTCTTTTTGGTCTCCAAACTCTGTTGTGGAAACATCGCTCTGCATGCTGCTGATCTTGTTCCAAACTGCGCGAAACATTGCCTTTTCATAAGTGGAGGCCTCCTGTCTGTCTCCCGTCCCATTTTTTCCATTCCCTAATTCGCAACTGATTCCAAGCTGCAGGAAACGTTGTGTTTTCACAGGTAAGTGCAACCTTTGTGCTTCCCGTCCCAGGGTTTTCTATTCTCTAAGTCGCAACTTTTTCCAAACTGCAAAAATCCATTGGCAGGGCCACGTCGAATGAATTATATAATCGTGAATTAGCGAATAGGAAAAATGGGACGAGAGAGACATGCAGCGTGGACCTGTGAAAGCAGAATGTTGTTTTGCAGTTTGGAATAAGTTACGAATTAGAGAATAGAAAAGCATGGGACGGGAAGCGCAAAGGTTGCACTTACCTGTGAAAACACAACGTTTCCTGCAGCTTGGAATCAGTTTGGAATTAGGGAATGGAAAAAATGGGACGGGAGACAGACAGGAGGCCTTCACTTATGAAAAGGCAATGTTTCGCGCAGTTTGGAACAAGATCAGCAGCATGCAGAGCGATGTTTCCACAACAGAGTTTGGAGACCAAAAGATTTGAAAACATCAGAGAGCGAGACAGTAGATGGACAAAATATCCAAACCCTGCAACACGCACTATGTTGAACCCCCGCAGCCCCAAATCTCAATGTTTCAGCGCGCGTGCTGCCAAAAGTGATGCTAGGGGTTTGATTTCTTTCGTCCATTGCGGCTAGGGCATTTCAGATGACATTAACAGTGAACTTTGGGGGCGAGGGGGTTGTACCGGATAGAAGGGGTTTGAATATTTCGTCCATCTACGGTGTCAGGAGAAACCATGTCAATGTGATATCATGCGATATCATCCACGTGCTGTGCTCAACTCTGCTCCAAGGCGTTCACGTGGGCCATGCCCTTGCTCCGGCTGCCCCCGCCCAGTCGTCTCGGGATGCCAGCAGGGTGCGAGGCCTGCTGCGAGCGAAAGATGTTGATTCAAACTTTCTTTAATTACTTATCTTTAATATATTATGAAAGCCGGCCGACAGGCAGGGCTGAGTCGTTGTTTAGTGAGTATTAGGGGGTCTGGGGGGGTAGCTGTGGCAATTGCCCCTCTGGAGTGGGTAACTTTTTCCGACCACAGAAGGACTTTTCCCAGGCCATGTGCCAGGTGGCAATTCAGTGACGGTAGGGCTTCGATTCGACGGGCAAACCGTGGGGCTGGGCAGGAAGGGTTCTGATGTGAGATGAACCTGATCTGGTCTGGTGGGCTTCGCAGTGAAGATGCTTCAACCTTTTTGTCCGAATTGCATGAAGCTTCTGATGGATGAAGCGCTGCGGGTGATATGGCCTGAGAGGAAGAGCCGTGTTGAACCTGAACGGCTGATCCGGTCCGGTGGGCTTCGCATTGAAGATGCTTCAACCTTTTTGTCGGATTAGGGTGAAACTTCTGATGGATGAAGCGCTGCGGGTGATAGGGCCTGAGGGGAAGAGCCACGCTTAACCTCAACGGCTGATCTGGTCTGGTGGGCTTCGCGTTGAAGATGCTTGATCATGTTTGGTTTTTTGTCCGGCACTGAAAATGTGTAAATTTTAAACCACATGCGATGCAGTCATGTTTAGGGGGCGTAGCGATGCAGATGCGAGGGGGTGAGAGACCACCTCGAGTTGCTTGCCGCATGCGCGGTACATTGGCCCACACATGTTTTTTGCAACAGGTTGGCGGTAGAATTTAACTGTTATCAGTATTGGGAACATCAAAGAAATGCACATGCGGATCTTACTTCCCTTCCCGGGAAAACAGTTGGAGGACGCTTTGACACCGGTGTTTGCATGCACGTTCAACCCTCGCTGGCTGTCGTTCTCTCCTTCTCAAGTTTCAATGATTTTAAAGTCTACATTTTTAAAAAATGCTACATGCCTCTCCGCATGGTCCTGGAGATGTCTACGGCATCATCCATTAGTGCGTTGCTTTCGAATGTTGACATGCAGTTGCATCATCCTTAGAAACTTCGGCTGAGTGTGAACGAAGATTCTTTGGACCTTCGGGGCATCCTAGTGGTGTTTCCACTACAGGCTCTGCAGTCCCTGTGTCCGAAGACGCGGAGGCACGCATCTACTTGGGTGAACTTGGGTGCCGATCGCTTGAACACTTGTCCCTATTCATGTCCATAGATACCTCATGTTCGTATGCAGCAGAAGCACTATTTTCCCAAAGAAAAATGCTAGGGACCCAGGGATCGACACTGATCATTATATCGTATCGGTATCTTTTCTATGCAGCCTTGCATAATTTGAGTACAATATATAAACACACATATATATAAGTTATGTTATAAGTTATATCATATTCTTTTTCTATTTTAAAATTAGTATTACATTATGTTGTATTATATTAAAATTTATTCTATTTTATTGTTTTTTTGAATGATATTATACAATATTATTATATATTATGTTATTTTATATTATGTTAGATTAGATTAGTTTTTAAATATTATATTATGTTTTTTTAAGTGTATTATATTATATGATGTGGTATGATTTCATATTAGTTTATTTTATATTAAATTAAATGATGCTATATTTTGATTATGTTGAGTTATGTTATATTATATTATTTCTTGTCAATTGAATTAAACTATTCTATTAGTATGATATGCAATGAAATGATATGACATCATATTCTTTTATTTTATCATACTAACTTATATGAAATTATTTTATGTTTGAATCATATTAAATTATATTATGCTAAATGATGTTTTATGATATGATATCAATTTATTTATTTTATATTAAATTAAATTACATATATATATATATTTTGGTTTATATTGTATGCTATGATATGATATTATGTTATTTTAGTTTATGCCAAATTGAATTAGACTTTATTATATTCTATGATATGATAACATAATCTTTTATTTTATTATACCAAATTATATTAGATTATTCTGTTTTTAAATTATATTAAGATGTATTATTTTATAATATATGGTATTATATGATATGATATTTACTTATTTTATATTATATTAAATTAAATTATTATATATATATATATTGTTTTTTTATTGTATGCTATGATATGATATTGTGTTATTTTAATTTATGTTAAATTGAATTAAATTTATTATATTGTATCATTTTTCGTGATTTTTTCCTTCACTCATTTCATTTCGTGTGGAAAGGTGGAGTCGGTGAAGATCAGCTGCGCGGAGCCTTACTTTGTGGAGGATGACATCTTCCGACCCCTGGAGGAATTGAAAGCCAAACGGCCCTTGCGACTGGTGGTGTGTCTCAGCTGAGGTTTTCATATTTTTCGTTTTTTTTCTCCACATTTTTAATTAATAATTGTTTTCAAGCTTGTAGCTGGAAACGGCCATCGTTGATAATTTTGGATGTTTTGAACATTTTGGGAGTTGGGAGGGCTGGAGATACTATCTGAACACATAGAACATGTGCAGATACACTTTAATCTTGTGACGTACTTGCAAAATTCGTGACACTCACGTCATTGGCGCAGCTGTAGGTCTTTGCTGCCAGAAGCAACTTCATTGCTGCACCTGGGCACATCGTATGCAGAGATTTGGGCCAGAATTTCACTCCAGGGTGACCTTAGATGACGTGGAGAATGCAGCATTGAAGGCTTCGTTCAGTTGGAAAGTGGATGAAAGTGGCATTGAAATCTGAAGACTCAGGTGTTGGATCGCCTTGGATATTGGATGTGCCATGGCTCAAATCAGCTACCGTGATTTGTGGTCACCATTTTGCACTTGCAGCACTCCACCTCACACAAATTTTCTTCTGGCGGATGGGCAATTCATGGGGTCATTTTGCACATCACCATGGATCTTTTGAGTGACAAATTCCACAAGATGAGGTTTGCTTGGACTTCTTTGCCTGTGGAAACCCTTTCTTGGTGCAGGCTGGGTGACCGTGGTGACAGGGTGTGACCTGCTGCAACTTTGCCACCGCTCGCAGTTTGTCCCAGGTGCGTCCGGAGATAGCACGACCCTTCGCAGATGTGGTGAACTCTGCCAACTTCCGGAAAGGCTGGTGGTCACATGTGGTGACTGGTGGCATGTGCCAATGCCTTGGGGTGTGACAAATTGTGGATATGGATGTCGTATGATGTCGTCCTATGTCGTTGTTGCTGTCGGCGCACAGAGAGGCTCCGTGTCGGATGTGCCGAAGTTTTTGGAAGAAAAAGAGGCCTTTGACGCAGCCTATGACGAGCTCCTGTTGCAGGCAGAGTGCATCGATGGGAAACTGGAGGAAACTTGCTCAAGTGGATTCAAGTGGCACCGAATGGCACAGTATGGCACATTTGCCAACAGAAAACGGGTGTAACGGTGCAACCCAGCTGACAAGTATTGATTGCCTATTGCCAGCGGTCTGCATATGTGTTCCTGTGCCATTCATTCCGGGAGTTTGAGGATTTTGAGGTCTGTCTTTCAATCTTCGCCTTGGCTCAAGCTTCGAGAATAGACAATTATTCTTGACATGTATGAAACCGGCCCAGATTCGAAGGCTTGGGTGAAAGTGCCTCCATTTCTGCTTTACCCCAAACATATTTTTTCCCCAGCATTTTAGGTGCTGTTGAACACAGATTAATAAAAGCCACAACACGCTGCAGAGAATGACTTCAAACTTCTCAAGTTCTCCAGTTCTTGTGCACCTTCTTGATCCTTATTGAAGCCTTATTGAAGCCTTATTGCACCTTCACGACTCTTTACGATGTTGGGCAAAGTAGGCGCCGGCGAAGGGCCAAAGGCAGACCCAGAGCTGGACGACACGATGCGGTATCAGCTCAAGGCCAGAGTCTCGTCGACTCGCCGATCAGGAACTATCAGGAACTATCAGGAACTATATATCAGACATATCAGGAACATTCCGGATCTGGCTGATGATGGCTGATGCCACCTGACTGACCTTACCGTTTACCCGGTCCAGGTTTATTGTTGTCAGTTAACATCCACACACATGATGTTACATAAAAAACAACAGTGCCGATACAGTGCCTTAGCACGCCATAGTCCGTCCCTAAACACCTGCGTGGATGCTTGAGAGTATGGGGTGAAGTTTATCAAGTTTATCGGGTTTGTCAATGATCAGGCGGTTTTGCAGTTCCTACAAGAGAAAGAGCTGATTGAAACTCTGGTAGCCCTGGAGTGCGAGACCGGATTGAAATATGTGGATTCTTTGGTGGCATAGAATGGCACAGACAGGAGTTCGAGGATGCGGGTTTGGTGACGTGGCTCATGCCTTGTTGATATCGACGATCATAGACGTGTTTCTCATATCATTTGTAGCTCTGGAACGAAGATGTCATGCTATTTTTTCTGCATGAATTTATTGATCGTGTATATACGTGTTTTCCTCGGTATTTGATGATTTTGGAGCAAATCTGTCGTATCAGGACGGCGACTTGCCAGTGGCAGGCGTCCTCCAGTCGAGCTTGGACATGTACGGGAGGCTTGGGAGCGATATGAAGGAGGAGGCTTCTGATGCCAAGGCTGGAAGCATCTGGAAGCATCTGGAAGCATCTGGAAATGGACAGCAGAAAAACGTCGTGGTTCTAGTTCTGAATCATTCGCGATTGGCGACTATGTCATGCTTTGATCCTGTCATAGGTAACAGTTCAATGATTCAAGGGCAGCTCAAGGATTATTTCTTGCACTTCAATGTCCATTTTGATGCTCCCTAGACAGATCATGAAACTTCCGGAAGAAAGTCTGCGAGTGCCTTCCTCACGGTCAGAAGTTCTGACTTCTGGCACATTCTGTCAGCCTCCCGTCAGGTGACTGAAGAGGCCTTACAAGCCTTATCTGACGGTGTGTGTTGCACCGGGTCCTGCGAAACCATTCCAGGTGCTACAAATCCATCACATGTCAAAAGATGTCACAAGATGTCACAAGGGTGTCAAGGGTGTCATTCTCCAATTTCTCCACCGGATGGGTCTTAGGAGTGGCACCGTTCTCTGCCAACGTTACGGCAGTGAAATGGGCCGCAAGCGTTGGAGAGCACTTGGCCTTGGTGGCTACGGCTGACCGCAAATTGCGAGCCACAGCTGAAAAGGTTCGATCCAGACCAGAGCTGACCAGCGCTGACCAGAGCTGACCAGAGCTGACCAGCTTGGAATACTCCGGAAAGGGGAAACTCCCAACATCTCCCAACTGTAGGGGTTACAGATGGTTACAGATGGTCACAGGCTACTCTCTGTTTTCTGACAGCGATGCCAAGGATTGCTGTATCCCGAGGGCGTTCTGGAATACACAGATCTTGCATCTCCGCCCTTGGCTTTGGATGCGTTTGAGCAAGATGTGCTGGTGTCCCTCGGCTGCCTTTTTGTCCACCCACGCTTGTCGCTACAGCGCACAGAAGTGCAAACAAGGACGAAGAAACGATATATAAACGATGGTATTTGCAGCACTTCGTCAACACCATCGTTTCAAGATGTTTCAAAAATATATCGGGTGCAGGTTTTTAACCTACCTATGCCCTACACCCCACTCATAGAAAACAGCTTTCAGAAATTAGCTCGAACAACTGAAGGGTCTCATGCTCCATCATCTTCCATTGTTAATATGGACCCTGGGCATTGAGTGCAGGACCACCATGGGTGGCGAAGCTCATGTCTTGCGCATTTCCACTTCGGAATGCAGTGGCTTTGAGCTTCGGCAACTGCAGAGTTTCAAAGATCACCAGAAGCAGGTGGGGCCGGTGGGGCCGGTGGGGCCGGTGGGGTTTGCACGAGGTTGCAGCATGTTGCAGCCAGAGCGGCCCATTGAACATGAAATCTTTACCCGATCTCAGAAGTTCTTCAGACTTAGATGGCTGGATGTGCTGTGGTGTTGATACCTGTCTCATCTTGCCCCAAAGAATGGCAAGAACCGGGGCCAAAAAAGCAAAGACACCAGAACAATCAATCGCAACAACCCAAAGCACAGTCAGAACGAAACAGCGAGATAGAAAACAAGGAATATCATGAAATATCCACGGAATATCATGGAATATCCATGAATCGTGAAGTGACTGGTGAAGTGAATCGTGAAGTGTTCCCAGCGCCCAACAAGCGATTTCCAAGGTCGCCTGTGGCCGTTTCGCTCCGGGTGGCGCAAACTTTGTGACCATCTCCAGAGATCACAGCGCCAACGTCTATGTCCGATGCTCCGCTTATTTCGCCTGTGCTTAGAGAAACCACTCCACAGAATTGCTATGACAAGTATTAAAGAACATCATGAATATCAAAGAAAAATGCATATGAACCAGAACAATCCAGAACATGTTACTAGATCATGCCGACGGTCCCAGGAGATGCGAAAAACTCGGATTTCACCTTGTTGGGGACTTGGAAATTGGCGGGAGAGGCACGGAGATGCGGATCATTCAGACTTGGGACTTGCTGCAGCCTATGTACTTCCACCAGGGTGTGAGTCGTGGGCATAAGTCGGAGAAACTTATTCAATTATAAATCTGTAAGCTCATAGAATAATATAGAATTCTTATTCTTAGCAATTAAAACGGATATTTGCCAATATCATCGAATCACGCAACCTCGAAGCTGCAACTGCTGAATCCGATCAATTTGGATCAGGTCACTGCCTGTTGTTGGTTGGACGCGTCCACTCTGATCCTGGCGGCTCGCGATGATCACGAGTTGCACTACTTGGACGTTGCGGCTGACGGGCTCAAGGACGAAAACGTTACCTGCATCATTTGTTCTTGATCAAATAGCAACAGAGATAACGGAGCAACATTTAGCATCATTTAGCACACTGAAACCCAGGATATCTTTAGAAGTGTACGAGAAGAGAGACATTCAATGACATTCGGTGACATTAGGCATGCAGCCAATTTGGCATCTGCCACGAATTGGCTCAAGCTGTGCCTGATTAAATCAGGCACTCAGAAAGGTAGAAAGATTCAGGTAGAGTACTCACCATTAGCACCATCCAAGTTCTTCAAGTCAAATTCGACACTCGAACCAACGGATGCATCATGCAGCATGTGACATTAGGGAATCAAATGCAGAAGCTATCCAAGTCTGAAGATTCTCAAGACCACAGTTTGGTAAGACTCTTGCCAAGTGCCAGGCGTGAAAGGCTGTGAAAGGTGATTTCTGCACCATTTTTTGGTGTTTTGGAGTTTTTTGGAGTTTTGGCCATGCCAGAGTTTCGCTCGGTGGTGCCGGAACCGGAGTCGCTTGCGTCGGCTTCACAGGCCTCGCGCAGTGAAGCCTTTGGCTCCAGCAGCGAGGAAGAAGCAGCGGAGGAAGAGCCATCAAAACCGCCGGTGCAAGCCAGCAAGAGTCACTCTTCCCGAGCAGTAGACATTCCCATTTTTTTGAAATTCTGAATTTATCCGAGCTTTTCAATACTTTTCATAACACGTCTTCAGTATCTTTGGTTTGATTCTGTCCCCGGTCTGATTCTGTCCGGAATTCATGGCCGAAGCTTTTCCCATCACTTCACCACATCTAAGGTGAATTCTCTTCCAGTAGTGAAGAGCTAGAGGAGAAAGTTGAAGATGCAAATGCGCGCAACGATAACAACGATCCCAGGCCATCACAAGTAGCTGCCGAGAAGAGTGGTTTTTCATCCTCTTCCTCCTCATCAGAGGAAGAGGAGAAGACCAAGATCAACAAACAGGAGCTGCGTCCTGAACTGATGGGTTTGAGTCCTCAGAAAGCTTCAGCTGCAGACTCTGCTGCCATGGTGGCAAATGCTGTGCGCCGTGGCTCGGTGAGTGTGGCTGCCAAGAATAAGGCAGCACCGTCCCTGAGACAATTTAACGATGCGAAGAAGAAAGAGAAGGGTCATGACAAAGGACACAGGAGAAACTCCAGAGTCATAGTCATGGAAGATGAGCCTGGTGGTGCGGCGGAAAAGATTGAGAGGCAATGGCAAGGGCCGGCAAGGGGAAGGGGAAAGATTTCAAGATTTCCCTTTGGCGCAGCCCACAATTTTTTGCTCTCTGTTGTTCGTTGCCATACGTAGTTTCGCTTTTGATGAAATCTAACTTCATCTTACTTTGCATGTGCTATTGCTGTAGTAGGTTGCAGCAGCAGATGCTTTTTCCCGAATAGCAGCACTCGAAATGTTGCATATGCGGCATATCCAATTACTTAACGGTTTTGCTCTGGGCAATTTTGCCTGTCACATTTGTGTAGTGATATGATTAGTGTAAATATAGGTTAATGCAGTGAAGTTTGACTTATTTGACTTCGGTGTGGCCGGTTGTGGCATTGCAGGCAGCGGCGGATGAGCAACTTGCGCTTGCCAGACCAGCCCAAGGGATCCATCTCCGGGACTCCGTCTCCATCGCCCTCTGGAGTCGTTGGAAGTCCTTCAGGCCCATCAGGCGCACCAAGTGTCGTACCCTCTGGGTCCTTGAGACCCAGCGTGTCCTCTGCACCGGGTGATGCAGTTGAGATAGACTCAACCGACCCGGCCTCACCGGCCTCACCAGTCATGAAGTCGGGTGGTTTGTTGGAACCGCCGCCCATTGGAACACCAGGACCACCTGGAGAGCATTCGCAAAGTGTCTTAATGACACCCCTTACAACTGGCCCACAGCCCAGCCGCAGTGAAGTTCCGCAAACGACCCCGAGTCGGCGGACCAGCAATGTGCCGGTTCCCAAACTCAGTGTAGAGTCAGACAGCGTTGGGCCGCGAACCCGGTGGCAATACATCAAGGAAGAAGCTGTTCCAACGTGTCGGCAGATCAATCGAAGTAAGGCTTTCCTGCTCATCATGTTTGTTGCACTACTTTTCGCACTTTTCTTTCCAGATCTTTGGATTTTGGTGGACCGGCCAACAAACGTGGACCTGGATGTGCTACTTACACTAGTCTTCCTGATGTTTGTCTTCGAATTTGCAGTGCAGTGCATAGCAGGGCGACACACCTATGTTGGTTCCTTTTTCTTCTACATGGATATCCTTGGTGGGCTTTCCCTCCTGCTGGATCTGAACTATATAGGGATCCAGGCCTTGATCCAAAGTGCTGGAGATGTTGGCAACCAGGCCGGAGATCATCCGAGATCTATAGCCACTAGAGTCAAACTCTAGTACTATAGTACTATAGTTACTATAGCCTCAAAGACTCTCAAAGCTTCAAAACTGAAAGGCTTAGTTTCCAACCTTGCCTACCTGGTGGGTGATTTCCACGTTGCTTCGTTTCCATGGTTATTTCAGGTGTAGTCGGTGTAGTTCACTTCTCTTGGGATCATGCGGCCGTGTTTGGAGGTGATCATCGCGCGTGCTGCGCGCATTGCGAAGCTTGGTGCCCGCGTGGGGCGCTTCACGAAGATGGTGAAGATGTTGCGCTTTCTGCCTGGGATGGGTGGTGAGAAGGCTCAAGGCAGTGCGAAGGCGCAGCAAATTGTACTAAAATGACCCACTGCAGTGAGATGTGGTGCGGTGGGTATCACAAAAGGACACACGCATTCAACATTTTAACATATTTTAACCATTCTTACAATGTGCTAGAGTCTGCTAGAGTCTGCTAGAGTCTGCTAGAGTCTGCTAGAGCATGTTGCCCAGCATGTGGCAGGTCATCAACAGTCGACTCACTCATTCACTCTCGACATGGGTCTCCTGCTTGATCATCCTGCTGGTGCTTATCATCCCTATGCCCCTCAGCTAATCAAGGGCGCAGGCAGATGGTAGAATCCTGGTAGAAGTTCGCATGCCAGGTTAGTGACATGGGTTATTCTCATTGGTATCCACATGGTATCTGCTGCCAATGGCTGCCAACAACATGTTCACCAATTTTTACAACTTTTATGAGTGGCCTATTTTGACAGATGGCAGATTGGGTCAATACCAGCCCTCAGGGATTTCCATGGTTTCTTCAAGTTCCTTCGCTTTTTCTGCAGGTTCTCCATGTGGAGCTTCCCACAAACGGATCAATCCCTGCTGAGCTGGGCGCAGCGTTTGGATGATGTTTCCTACGCGAGGCCTGATGTCTTGACCAGAGAGCTGGAGAAGTTTGATGCATTTTACACCACCATGAATTATTTTCCTTACAAAGTGGATGTCAAGGATGGCGTGACTTGATTGAGAATGGCGCCCTGGGATATGGGGTGCACCCATAAAAATAGTGGATGATGGTAGAAGTAGGTTCTGGGAGGTATTGAGTGGTGTCTCGCTTAGCTTCTTCTGTTTCTCTCAGCCGGACTCTGCCTTTGACATCCGTTGACCTTGTTTTTTCCACCTTTTTCCTTTGATTCGTCTAAGTTTCTAAATCCCTTCCCCCCTGTGTTCACTTGCATTTTCATAAGGCAGTGATTTTGCAAATTCCGCATGTCTTCTTACCTAAACAAGGCGACATCTTCTCATTTGGGAACTGTTGCGGATCTCATAGTTCGTATATTTTACGCTCTGCCCAATCCCTTAAAAGAGCAGAACATCGTGATATATTTGCGAGTGATGAGTGATAAAAAGGAGTGATGCAAAAGTTATGAGCATTTTTTGCCATCACAATCACCACAGGAAGAGCCTCCACCTTCCAGCCTCAGTAGCGCGTCTGAGGTTACTGTCCTCCCAACCGCCACTCTGACCATTTTGCCGTGGAATGGTCGAAGTGCCCCTTCTCGGAGCGATGGAGTTCAGATACATGAGAGCGATTCTAGGTTGTGTATGGTTGTGTTTTGTGAAATGTTGCCTCTGTTTTTGCGTTCTTCTATTTCTCCAGCGAGGGAATCTTGCCTGTGGGCAGATCTGTACTAAACGGAGTGGAAGCATGTTAAGTTGCATCAAATTGAAGTACATCATATGAAATCCAGATTGCAGACTTTGCAGACTTTGCTGCATACTTGATTGGGAAGCAGTGTGAGCAACCCATTGCAACCAGGATTATTTGAGCATCAGCTTCAACTTCACCGGTCCAAATCAGACGGACTCGGGCATGAATTTGCTCCTGCTTTTATTTGTGATGATTTTGATGGTGAGCTTTTCCATGGTGCTGCAAAAGACCACCTCCAAGATGATCTTGCATCCCATTGAGAAGTTGTTGACCCAGGTGAAGGACACGGCCTCGAGTATTTTTGAAAGTGTCCCGGATTTGGGCGGACCAGGGGAAGAGGAGGAGGACTCCAGTGATGATGAGAACAATGAAGATGGCACTTGGAAGGCTGCAAACTTCAAGGCGCAAGGGAGGGAGGATGGGGAGGGTATGACGAGGGAGGTTGAGGCTAAGGCTGCTAAGGCGTTAAGGGATGATAAGAGCCTAAGTTTTATCAAAAGAACAACAGTTTTTGCTCCAGAAAACACTTAGAAGAGTCTAGTCGCCTGTCCGTACTCGGTGTATCCTTCTCCACACATCCGCCAGTTTTTCCAGGAGGAAATTCATTTGTTGGACAAAGTGGTGCAAAAGGTCACCGACCTCCAAAAACGAGAGGATAAGACGGACAGTTCAGCTGGACAGTGGGTCGGTGCTCGAACCGAAGGCGATGAGACTCAAGGCAAGAAGAAGGGTGGTCGTATGGCTGGAAGCATTTTCCAGGCCCAGAGTGGTGAAAAGGAGCCAGAAACCGATACCATGACCATGGTACAAACCCAATACAAGCTATTGGAAGATGCTGGTTTGTCCGTGGAGGCCCTGAGTACTTGGAAGTTGAGCCCCTTGGAATTTGATCCAATCATGAACCGAGCCGCTGCAGCTTTCATCATTGGCCCAGCCAACCATGGTATTCGGTGTGAAGGATTCTTGCAAGCCTTTGTAGAAGAGGTGGAGACGAGTTACAGCCGATCCAATGCTTACCACAACTGGTTCCATGCTGTCGACGTGGCGCATGCCACTTGGAGACTAGCAAATCTCTGCAATGTCATCGACTTCTTGGATTACCATGAGACCTTTGCTGTGCTGGTTGCTTCCCTGGCACACGATTTAGGCCACCCAGGGGTCAATGCTCGATTTTTGATTGAGACCAAGCACACCCTGGCCATGACGTACAACGACAGGCAGGGCAGCCCGACGGTCTTTCAAAGCCTCCCATCATTTTGCTTACGATGACTATGAGTCTACTTCATTTCTTGGAAGGGGACCTGGTTGGAATTGTCTGTAATCTAATAATGCAACACATGTACGGGGTGTAATCACCAATCACTAGATGAAAACCTGGGATTATGCATCGTCCTGGCCCTGGTCGTGGCACATCCTGACACATCCTGGCAGGTCTCCTTTGCAGCAGATGAGCAGCTCCAAGCTGTTTGAGATCACGAAGAAGCCGAACTGTGGAATTTTCTCGGTGCTGTCACGGAATCATTACATGGCTGCCCGGAAGGCTTGCATTCAAGCCATCCTTGCGACGGACACAGCGTTGCACTTCCAAAATGTCAAGAAGGCAGGAGGGTCACTACCGCGACGACAGTAGACTAAGAACATGGTGAACATGGTGAACATGATGATGATGATGATGATGATGATGATGATGATGACGACGAGGAGGAGGAGGAGCAGGAGGAGGAGGAGGAGGAACGATGAACAAAGAGGGGTGATGGCCTTGCGTTGGAACATATTGTGTTGGTTACATGCATGAAGGGAACAAATCACCTCTCAAATGTCTCACATCTCCAAGCTGTTGCCTCCAAAATAGCTGCACGTTTTCCAACTACCAAATTCGGAAATTCAGGGTCTTTTCTATTTGAAACATGATGTGACTGATGTGGTAAACTTAAAAGAAAATCTGCACTTGGGGTTGGTTCGTACTATTTTGTACCATCCATGTGTGCTGTGTTTAGAGATGATCTCGATCCCTTTTCGAGCTTATGTTGTAGATGTTACTAGTTTCTATCTATTAGTTATGAGATGTTATTGGTAGTTATACAATGTAATTGAGTAGCAGTCAGTAACAGTCAGTACTAGTTTATCGCGGTCTTTGGCATCTTTGGCATCTTTGGCATCCGTCGCGTAGGTGCAGATGCTCTACGAGATGAACAGCGAGGTCCTGGACCATGCGGCGGAAATCTTCCGCGATTCACGGGATGAGGATGAAGAGCCCAACTTTCCAATTCCCGAAGTCGTGGATGTTTTCAAAGAGCCGAGCACCAAACAAACATTGATGGATTTGATGGTGACTTGATTCATCTTGATTCACTTGATTTTGGAAAAACTTGATAAATATATCATATATCTTGATTGGAGTGAGTCTGGGAGGTGGAACACTTTGATGATGTATGCGAGGGTGTAAAAACATGTGTTTTTCCTGTTGTTTCTTTACAATTAATACGTACAAATAGTATGTATATATGGATATTATATACATAAGCACAAAAATAATAGATAGATGGATGGATAGATAGATAAGTAGATAGGTAGATGGATAGATAGATAGATAGGTAGATAGGTAGGTAGATAGATAGAATCGATAGATCGATAGATCGATAGATCGATAGATCGATAGATCGATAGATAGATAGATAGATAGGTAGGTAGGTAGGTAGGTAGATGGATAGGATAGGATAGATAGATAGGATAGATAGATAGATAGATAGATAGGATAGATAGGATAGATAGGATAGATAGGATAGATAGGATAGATAGGATAGATAGGATAGATAGGATAGATAGGATAGATAGGATAGATAGGATAGATAGGATAGATAGGATAGATAGGATAGATAGGATAGATAGGATAGACAGGATAGATAGGATAGATAGGATAGATAGGATAGATAGGATAGATAGGATAGATAGGATAGATAGGATAGATAGGGATAGATAGGATAGATAGGATAGATAGGATAGGATAGGATAGATAGGATAGATAGGATAGATAGGATAGATAGGATAGATAGGATAGATAGGATAGATAGGATAGATAGGATAGATAGGATAGATAGGATAGATAGGATAGATAGGATAGATAGGATAGATAGGATAAGATAGGATAGATAGATAGATAGATAGATATAGATAGATAGATAGATAGATATAGATAGATATAGATAGATATAGATAGATATAGATAGATATAGATAGATATAGATAGATATAGATAGATAGATAGATATAGATAGATATAGATAGAGATATAGATAGATATAGATAGATATAGATAGATATAGATAGATATAGATAGATATAGATAGATATAGATAGATATAGATAGATATAGATAGATATAGATAGATATAGATAGATATAGATAGATATAGATAGATATAATATATAGATAGATATAGATAGATATAGATAGATATAATATATAGATAGATATAATATATAGATAGATATAGATAGATATAATATATAGATAGACCTAGATAGATATAGATAGATATAGATAGATATAGATAGATATAGATAGATATAGATAGATATAGATAGATATGGATAGATATAGATAGATATAGATAGATAGATAGATAGATAGATAGGTAGGTAGGTAGATCGATAGATAGATAGATAGATAGAACCACAGATAGACATACACACACATATATATATATATACATATATATACACATATATATACATATATATATATATGTATAGGGCGTTTGATGGTTTCTGAAGCGTCCTTCCAATCTTCCGGAAGCATTTCTGCATTGAGGTTCATGCAGCCGACACTTCCAACCCTACGAAGCCCTGGAGGACGGTAGGCAAGGTAGGCTGTGATATGATGTGATGCCACTTCTAGCCATTGACAAATTGCATGTTTTCTTCTGCAACCAAAGTCCGATCCAGAGTCCATGCGCAGCTCTGATGACAATCTGAATCTCACTTGTCTAATTTGGTCTTACCTGGTGTAACCACTCAAATTAAAGACAATTAAGGTATTAGAGTTTAATCCAATCTTCTTTTGTCAATTTCAAACCGCGAGAGCACACATTTTTGAGGCTGGAGGCATTTGTTGACCCTTTCGAAAACGTCCACTTAATAGACTCTGATAGAGAATGGACTCACCAATGTCTCACCGCCTCAAGGGTTGTCTCAACGGTTGTCTCTATGGGTTGCTGGATGTTGAGCGCCCGCTGTGGCCGTAGTTACCGTAGTTACCCTAGTTGTAGGGCTGTTGCTGTTAGCAGCTCCAGCAGCTCCAGGATTTGCCAAATCTGGGTCCAGAAGGCCATGGAGGAGAACTTTCTGCAGGGCGACGAAGAGAAGTTGTTGGGTCTTCCGGTGCACGCCCTGAATGACCGCGAGAAGGCCAACTTGCCCTATGGCCAGATTGGTTTCATCGAGTACTTGGTTGCTCCTTTTCTCCTGACCGTCACCAAGGTGTGGGGACAGCTGGGCATTTCACTGACATGTCTAAACTAGTCCAAACACTTCGACTTGAAGTGGTTGAAGTTTGCAACATTTTTCAACACTTGCAAGCTTGCGACATTTCATGACATTTCGACTCATTTTTCACATTTGCTCACTTTGAAGTTTTACTGTTTTACCATGTTGAAAACATGATGTTTTTCCAGGGGCATCCGAGGGCCCCTCGGGCTGGGAGCCGCGCCATTTGGCTGTTTTGGCAGGTGCTGCCGCCGGCCGAGGATATGCTGATGCAGCTGATGCTGAATCTCAAGAGTTGGCACAAACGTTGGGAGGTGCATCAATTGCATACTGAGTGGAACGCAGTGGAACACTAAAAAATACGGTGAAACTATTTTGAACGGGGTGCAGATGCCAAAACTTATTGAACCATTGGCAAATTGGTGAATTTCCATTTTATCCCGTTCCATTCGCTGCACTTGTGGCTTTTCCATGGTGAAAGAGATGCGAAGCGCTCAGGGATCGTTGGTTTGACCAGGCAGAGTGCTCGCCCCGCGAAGAAGAGCGCATTGCCATGCGTGGACGTCTTGCTGAAGTGATCCGGTCCTTCAGAGAAAGCAGGTGAGCCGAAACCGCTGTCGTTTCTGTTCGGTTTCTTTCAACATTCACATCATTCACATCATTCACTAGAGTAGGGATGAGTAGGGGCCACTATAGGAAAAGCTTCCCTGGAGCTGAAGCGATGCAAGAATGGCAATACGGATCTTAGTCTGATCAGTTTGATCAGTTTCTATCCTCCCCTCATCCCTCATATATTTGCCATGACCAGGCCAAAGTGAGAGCGACACCTAGCTCCAAGCTGGAACCACGCTTTTCCTGTGTACACGTAGCGAACGAGAAACAGAGGCCTTCCAATTTTAGTGTGGCCAGATCATACGCAAAGGTAGAGACAAGGAGTTTCAGACCTGCAAGTCATGCTCTTGGCTGTTTGACATTACGCGATTCTTACCGATGTTCTTGCATTTTGCTTAGAGGAGTTTGCAAAGACAAAGTCCGTCTTTGCAAGCCAATCGATTTGGAAGGCTCATTCTAGTAGCTCTTCTCTGCAGAAATGACACGGTCTTAAGCCTTAAGCTTGTTCCTCTTTTGATGGTACTAGTACATCTTATACAACATGATAACATGATTATAAAGGGCCAGGGCCCTTGCAAACCAGTCGTGCAGTCGTGCAGTCCACTCGGCATGAATTGCGCCTTTTTGTGGGGAAGGGAGCGGAGATGATGCAAGTTTCACTCAGATGGGCTCTGCGTTTAATGCGATGCCATTGTACAAGACTTCCACGCTGCACGCCCCTGCGAAGTGTTCTCAAGGTCAGCGGGGCAGCGCATGAAACGTTTCGAGGCAGAATTTCCTGCCTGAACCTCTTTTCCAGTGCCTGTGGCACTGGAATCAACCAGCACAGGTTGCAAGATAGAAAATAGATGGCCAGCATCACTGGCTCCTGCTTCAGCAGCTCATTTGAGTCGAGGTACCAACGTGTAAAAAGATGTGCATTCAAATTGCAGCTGCACAGTACAGGAGTCTATGCGTGTGAATCTGAATGCCTTGGGCGACCGGGTCGTTTCCTTCGCGGTGTTGGCATTAAGTGTATCCCCAAACGGCTCCATGGTGGCAGCATGCACGGACCGGTCCAGGGTCATTGTGCTGCAGGTGCCACAGCGACAGATATGTAACACAAAGAGTCAGAAATGATAGAAAACCATAGAAAACATGGGTCAACGATGGTCAACCTCTGTTAGCTTCATTTTCAATTTTCAGTGTGGCATCAGGCGCGCAGCAGCCGTCAACTTCGAAACTTGTATGGTGCTTCGGTGAACGACGCTCACGGCAAAGATTTGCAAACAAGCTTCAACTGCAAACAGCGCACAGATCACGACAGATCACGACAGATCATGACAGATCATGACAGATCATGACAGTGCACAACCGTTTTGAACAGTTACAGTATGTTACAGTACTGGGATGCGATGCTGGGTGTGGTGGTCCACGTCTCAGGAGTACGACCTGCCAAGTGTTTGCTTCTCCTTGGATAGTTGCTTTCTTTACGTCTCCTCCTCATTGCCGCAGCCAAGAGAGGAGGCCGGACATCCGGACATGGTCGGACAATGCTGGAAGTGGAATGAAGATGAATGAAGATGAATGAAGTAGATAATTTGTAGTGATGACCTAGGCTTCTTGACCTGCAGAGTTGGCCGAAGGCAAATGTTGATGGGTTTGATTCAGTTTAGTTGGAGGGCACTCACGAGATACTCGGAGAACAGAAAAAACGTGTTTTGCTCGTTTTTGCCACTGGAAGGTGAAGGTTCTTTGTGGGCAGCTGGCGATCTTTGAGCTGCGCAGTGCCCGACTGGTGCTGCAGCTGCCTTGCCACGAGAAAGCGGTGCGTGGCCCGACGTTAGCCCGGCATATGGGGAGAACATCGGGGGAACATGCAGGGGACATGCAGGGGACATGCAGGGGACATGGTGACGTCATAGTCGTCATAGTCCAAGGTTGCTTCGATCGTCATCCCTTCACTGAGATGCTGGTGACTGGCTCCTTCGACAAGACTGTCAAGTTTTGGAGCTGATAGCGCTCAGCTGCTGTAGCCAGATGTCAGCCTCAAGTTTTGGATGATTTGAAGCTGCTCGTAGCTTCAATCTCGGAACTGTACATAGACCTGCGATCGTTGTCACACCAGCAGTGGTCCCGTTCAGCGTTTCGAAGTGCCCACTTAGTAGGGCAACTCAGTGCTGTGTTTGCAGCTTGCGGTCAATGCAAAAGCCTGGCAATATCGGGTGCTGCAGATGGCGATGGAGAGGGAGAGAGAGAGAGAGATCGCGTGCCATGGCATAATGATGAAGCTCCATGAAACTCCATGAAGCTCCACCATATGATTGAATATTGTGATATCACATCAACATACATAGACACACATAGAACATCAATGAATCAATGAACATGACAGATCATGACCATATCATGAGCATATCATGAGCATATCATAGATTTTCCGATATCTTCACAGGCCGAGAACCAACTGGAGAACCTGGAGACCTTGGGCGCCTTGGGCGCGTTCCTTCCAGCCGAACGAAGGGAGGCGCCCGGGAGCACCGGGAGCACCGGGAGCGTTGCTCCGCTTTAAGGTGAACTCGGTAACGTCTCAACTTCTGCGTTAGGTGTTTCTGCGTTCATCAATTCTTCCGCTTGTTCCACTTGTTCCACTTCCTGTATGTTTCAACAGCATGTTTTGTTGATAGTTTCATGTTCCGGAATCGAAGGAGCTCCTGACTGCGCTGGCCAATGCCTTGGCTGCTGCACGCGACTCCGAGTTGGAAGCCCTGAAGGACGCACATGACATGGCAGCACTGCCGCGCCTTGGACATGTCGACAGGAACTGGCTTTGAGTCAATTTCAGGATTTGCATTGCAGAAATGTTGCCGAAATTGAACTGCAATCATGTGCAATCTGAGACAATCTGCTTCGAGGCTCAACAAGACCGCTGTTTCATCTCTTCGTTTTTGTTGTATTTTGTCGTGTTTTCCAGATTTGTTCGAGGTTCTTTGCGCCCACTGAAGAAGAGGTGAGAGACCGCCTGGCAGAGTTCGAGGCCTTTGTGGCACGTCTACCTGACAGGTCGGAGCACTGGATGCCCTGGGAACGTGTGTCATGTGCGTTTTGTGCTTTCCAAAGACCCCCAGACTGCCCTGGAATGCTCTAGATATATCATTGTATATATATATATATATCGATATCGGATATAGAATGAACAGTGGGATATGGACAATTCTGATATTTGTAGCGGACCCTTTTGAGAAGCGCTTGGCCGCCATAATATGATGTGGTTTGAGATGTTTTGCGTTTTACTCCTGTTCACTCCTGTCACTTGACGGAACTTTCTTCGGACCCGTCGCTGCACAGGCCAAAAATGGTCACCCTGGCACGCTCTGTGGTCGATGGCTTTTGCCCTATGCGGTGGCTTTGCTTGCTGGAAACCCACATTTTGGAGGCCACTAAGCTGCCCCGGCGATGGCAAGAATCTGAGAGAATTGAATAGTAGATATTTTAATTTGTGTAATAGAAGCCGTATGATTTTACACTGCTTCGATTTTGGTTTCTGAAGATGAAAGAAAGCACAGAGATATCATAGATTGAGCTATTGAGCACTTTCCGACGCCCAGCTGCAAGGTGCTGAAAAAGCTTTATGGCCCGCTTGATGTGGTCTACACTGATGAACTTGATGCTGCCGAGATGGCGTCCGCATCCAACTGGGGGAAGATCAAAAAGTGCGCGCAAAAGTGCTGCCAATTTCATGCAACGATCCTGTTTTCGGAGTGGCATTATGCCATTATGCATCCAAATTCTGATTTGTCCAGGCTATCTGGTCCCATGACAGTGTGCGGAAATGAAAAACATAGAAGCTAGGACTCTCATTCTATTTCAAAGGTTGCGTGCGCATTTCAAGGGAACTACTGTACTTTCTTTGGTGCAACTGAAAGCGTGAGCCTATGCACGAGATTTTCTGCTAAGTACTACTTGTATTATGTGTGACATAAACTTGCTTTGGTTGGGATATGTTGGGATGAATCTACCTTCTCTTCCTACCTAGGCACGAGCGAGTTCAGGCAAACACAGACCTTGCAATATTGGAAAACGATGCAGCTGTGTGGAGATTTGTGGAGAATATCTTTTTCGGCCGTTTCAAAGACGGGTCAGGAACAGCCACAGGATGCTGTCCGGCAAGCCACCCCCCACCGTCACGGCGAAGCCCAGAGCTGCCTCCGATGGTATCGATACGACTGGAGTGCAACCAGTGCAACCAGTGAAACACATCGTCCTTTGGTCCTTTGATTTCATGGGGCCCATGGGGTTCCTGGGTTCCGGGCCCAAAGCCCTCAACATTCTCACAGTTCCAGCTGGATGAACTGGGGTCTCCGTGCAAGGGAGCCTACCATGCATTTGTATGTTTCAATTTGATTCAATTTGTATGTCTTGGTCCAGTGCACCCCCCACTCAGAAAAGGCATGTATCATGGTCGATCTAAATGCATCCGATCTAGAACTTTGTATTGGTACAGTATTTTTTGCATCTCTTGGTAGCACAGGCGGGAGAACTCGAGTTACACAGTACAGCTTTCAGCTGCATCTCACCTGAACCCCACCAACACTCAGCAATATAAACATACTACACATATTGAAAGCACTGGAAGATGCTGCAACAACTCTTAACGATGCTACCCACAATAAATGCATACAACTACATCACACGCACACATGTCACATATAATATATGTATATATATATATATATATATCATTGTAGTCTCTCTCTCTCTCTCTGTCTCTGTAGGCACATGGGAACATATACACACGCAAGTTCTGCAGGATATATATCCTCTTGCAATGCCTTTGCGCACACACACACACATCAACATAGCGGAATTCGATTCTCGACTCACGCCAGGTCGTCCATTCCCAAATGGGACATTGGCTTGATTTTGATCGGTTCCATCTTGAATCGACACAGTTTCAGCCACGGAATTTCCACTGCAAGACATGACGATCTATTGTGATTACAGTTGGTGTATGGATGTGCATGGTGTGTGATTCACATATGATTCACTACGCATTGTGATCACTGTTTGGCCGGCTTAGTTGGGAACTTTGCTGCGCACAGCCCAGGTCTTTCAGACCTTCAACCTCAATGGGCTTCCAGATCGTGCTTTGGGTCGTGTCAACACGTCCTCCCCGCACGTGGCTGGCTTCAGCGACTCTCCAGTAGTTTATCGTCTTCCCGGAGACCAGCCGCAACGCTTCTTCCAGTGCAGTGAGTGAGGCTTGGGATAGTTGGGCTCATTTTAGGATCGGTTCATAAAGTGAAAAGATGCTCTAAGCTCTAAGCTAGATGTTCAATGATACCCCGCAATCCCGCAAATGGAGGTCCCACCACTTGATATCTGAGAGGGGCATCAACTGATAGCGTCTGATAGCCCTATTGGCAATGTTCTGGCAAAATTGAAGGAACTGGTGGTTTGGGAATGTGGACAATGAATGAACATTAGTTTGTTAAACAGAACTTCGTCTGGGGTCAGGCCCAAGGGTTTGGCGGGGTGCCAGATTTCAGCAGATCCAACAGGGGCTTCATTTTTGAATTATTGATGGGACCTCCGAATTTCTGCCACTCTCTGTTTCTGGGTTGTTTTTTTTCCCCGAATCTCACTATTTGGCAGCCAATGGCCGAGGACATACATGGCTGAGCGGATCGGGTGTGTCCAGTGCGCGTGGCTGCAATGCTTTTTTGTATGAGCTTTGATACGCTGCCACCGTTTCCACGGCTGCCATCTCTTTTGACTGGTGAGTCCGAGACCTGCTTACCCCATAGCAACCAGGTGGCAACCAAAAGTTGACAACCACCAGGTCGCAAAAAATGATGACACATCCAGTGATCCACAGGGTGCCTCAGACTGACAAGAACAGTGGAAATCTGTACAATTCAGAGATAATATGAGATAACCCTAGCTGAGTTGGGAATGCCTCCCGGAATAGCTTCACGGCGAGTAGCTTCACTCAACATCCCTGATCAATAATTCAATTATTTTTCTCCATTTGCAAAGGGAACACTTGTATGTCTCAAAGTGGCTTGGATCTAGCAATTTTGGCTCCAACATGGTGCTGAAGTTCTGAAGCTGCTAAAAATTGTCATGGTTGCAATGTCAAGATGGTCACAGATCCTTGCCAACCAAAGGAGTTTCAGAGCTGCTTGAGAACTGACGAATAGAATGGACCTTTCTTAGTCTTTGCATTTTTGGCACGTCCACAGTTCACGTGCGCCAGAATCATTCTTTTTGTAGGGGTCTACATGCAGATGATGTGACATGAAGACTTGTCACTGGGATGACCGAAGACAATAGTATACAGTAGTGAAAATTAGAATCATACTAGTCGTGACCAATTATCATTATCCAACTTGCCATGTGCAAAGATGGGCGGCACCTTGTGAACTGTGGACCGTTCCTTTCGTGACGTGTGCAGAGGTTCAGAAGTTGCAATTATTTTCCCGTGACACTTGAGTCTTCAGAAAGGTACGCGTTACAGGCCCCGTTTGAGAATAGATTGATCTCGGCTTCTCCTTTGAGGACAAGTATGTAGATGAACAACGATTTAAACTTTTGGCTTCTAAGTGGGGGTCGAAAAAGATCTGACCCCAAACTTCTGAGCAATAAGATTGCATTGAGATTGCTAAATTTGTGATGTCCATCCAGTAACTTCTTTTCGAGGCCTACCTGAGGAGCAAGCTGCTTCATACGCCTTCATCATTGACGTGGCCATTGTGCTCTCACAAAGGTGTTCGGGGTGTCTAGTGACAGTCCAGGCTGCAGGCTCCAAACAATAATCCAACTTCAACCAAAGTCAGCATCTAAACATATCTAAACTATCTACAGCTGAATTACGTGAAAACATGAGGCCCGTAGCGCGTTCCACTCCGCAGTTTTCTGTCACTTCGAATCGCCTCGTCCATACCCAAGCCACTTCCATGGCCGCAAGCAATATTAAGCCACCAAAAATGAGGAGTGCGCGAAAGCCCCATGAGCAGCACATGAGCTCAAGAAGCAACTACATGTGGTTGGCGTGGTTCAGACATGTTCAGACAAACACAAGTTTCCTCATGACCACTGTGACCCCTTGGCATTTGTTGATCTAAATTCTAAATCACACTAAGATGGTATCTCAGTAAGCTTATGTGCTCCATCGAAAGGGTTACATCCCACTTTGAACTCTTTCACTTTGCCCAGCTCATGAAGAAGGTGATGCAATGGAGAGACCCTCGTGCCCACTTCATGTGCTGAACCATTTCTGGCCTTCGGCGCGGTCTTGGCTCCAGATTTAAAGCAACTGCCAGGTTTTGGACAAGGGCCCACACTGTGTGATTGATGTTTAGTTCCCAAACATCCCCACGGATAGCAGTACTTCAGCTCAGTCAAGACTTTTCCCTCAGCGGCCTGCCATTTTAACGACATTCTACTACTTTTCTGCTAGTTTTTATGCATTTGTGTGGCTCATCTCTATCCCTGAAAGATAGTTTGACATTTTGGAGCGCCAGAGCAGATATTTTTGTTGGCACTGTCCGAAGCTTGGCGCAATGGAACTGGTCGAGATGGCTGCGTTGGGCTTCGGAGCTGCTTGGGGATCTTGGTGGGCTTGATCACGTTGATCATGTCAGGGTTGAAGCCTAACCACCGCCATCCGAAAGGTTTGGCCAGGGGCCTTGCGCAAATCAGTTTGTTCTTGGTTTGTTCCTGGTTTGGAGTCATTTGTGAATTCACTGCTTGGATGAAGTCGGGCAGGAGCGCCTTCCCTCACAGACTTAGCACGTGAAGTGCTTCATCGGGAGGCCCCGGTGCCGTGCCCAGAAACACACCGGGTACCAGGCAGCATCACTAAGCATTTGAGGGGGCCTAGTAGGGCCTAGTGATGCCTAGTGTATTTTGTGGTTCAAATATCTCCAAATTGCATTTGAAATATTTGAATCGAAAGCACCCGAGGCTGCGTCGAAAAGGATGCAGAAGCCCCCCGGATCTGCGGCTTGGCAGCAGGTCAAGTTGTGCTATTTGGTGGAGTGATTCACAGTGATTGCATGTGGAGATGCATAGGCCTCGTGGCATCTCTTTGGCTGTTTTCGATGTTCCTTGAAAATGTAAGTTTATGTTGTGGAAGTGTGCTGGTGGACTTGCACCGTGAAGTATGTTATTCTACGCCGCTTGACGCGCGATGGCTCAAGCATCGCCCCATGCTGCCGTTCCAGTAGGTATCACGCGCGGTTGCTTCGCCGGGGATGGGCAAGAAAAGAAAAGACAGTGACGACGACAAGAAAAAGAAGAAAGACAAAGACAAAAAGAAGAAGAAAGACAAAGATAAGAAAAAGAAGGATAAGAAAAAATCCAAAAAAGCAAAGAAAAGTTCTTCTGATTCATCTGACAGCACTAGCGAGGAAGCTGAAGCCCCAAAGGCCAAGGAGGCCAAGGAGGCCAAGGAGGAAGTCAAGCTTCAGAAGGTGGCTCCGGTGGAGGAAGCGCCGGTGAACTTGGACTCTTTGCCTCCCGTTGAGGAAGGCATTCTCCGTTTCGAGTTTAGCACTGAGGAGCAGGGACCTTTGGGTCTTCGTTTCTCTGGTGGTTCTCCACCTATGATCCTTTCAGTCGCTCCTGACTCCTTCGCAAAGAAGAAGGGGATCCCTCAGAATCATGAGGTTCATGCCATCAATGGCCTAGCTTTGCTTCCACAGAACCAGCAACGTGTGATGCAGTTTTTGAAAGGTCGGCCTTTGGTGTTGGATGTGAGACCTTTGGGTTGGAAACCACCTGAGAAAGTGAAGGAATTGAAACGGAAACAGGCCCAAGAGGAGGCGGAGAGACAAGCCAAGATGGCAGTGGAGAAGAAACGACGAGAACAGGTGGCGAAAGAAGCTGCAGAGGAGGCACAGCGACAAGCTGCTGAAAGAGCTGTCAGAGAAGAAAAAGAGAGACAAGAACGCGAGGAGATGTTAGCCAGAGCCCGCGAAGCTCACAAGGAGCAGAGGGAGAAAGAAGAAGAGTTCCGCAAGGCTCTGGAGAGTGAACCTCCTGAATTTCGCAAAGCTGCGGATGAAATCATGGAGGCAGACTATGGCAGTGAGATCAAAGTGGAGGGTCGAAAGGGTTTGCCTCTGCGGCTCCTGACGAGACGTAAGGAGGTCGCTTGGATTTGGGCAGGAGAGGCGCAGGAGATCATTGGAGGAGGGGCTCCAGATGACACCTTCACACAGTGAGCTGCACAGTCAAAAGTCGAATAGCTGCAGCCCAATGAGGCCAGCGACGGCAGATGGTTTTGTGGCTTAATATGTTATGGGGATATCCAGGATATGGCAGTCCCTGGCTTGGCAAAAAAAGGACAGGGAACCTGCAACGAAGGCAGATATTTTTTTTGATCGAAAGGTGGGAGTCATCACGACACAGCTTGACCATCCTTGACATTGGAACCATTCTAATACCATGCCAGACCCAAGTGGCGAGTGAGGTCAACACCAAAAACTCCACGAATCCAAGGTGTGGGCCTCAGCTGGGACGTATTTCTCCATCAGGTGACACCAGCTTTTGTTGCAACCAGTTGCAACTAGCGACCACAACGAGGATTGGTCGTATCGGACATCTCCTCACTTGGATTGCCCCTTGCCAGCACTGGTTGTGCCGTGAGTTTACTGGTTCACATTGGTTCACTGTTCATTCTGACACTGGGCATTCCGCGCGATAATTTGACAAGTCAAAAGCTCGAAAATGTTCGAGCACTTGAGTTCAAGGACGCGAACTCCTGGCCACTAGCAGTGGCCATGGTGTGCTTTGCACCAAGGGCACGGAGGTTCCCAACGGAAGTGGCGGGAACTGATTTTTGGACCTTGAAGAGTAGCCCACTATTTTTGAGTATTCCTCTGCCACAGCCATGTTTAGGGTGAGGTGAAACAGACCAACTCATGGATCTTCATGTTTTAGCCACAAAGTGGTGGATTTTCCGGTGGATTTTCCCACTGGAAACATCCCAGACACCCAGCTTGCTGCGAGGCGTCACACGCTTCAGCGGAGCCACCGACGGCGGCAAGAGCTGTCAAGTGCAGCAGAAGAGACAGGGCTCGGTTGGCGGCTGAGATGTGGACATGGATGATAATCCTGCGCCTGGCTTCAGCTTAAACCGTAACCACCTCAGTCCTGAAACATCTTGAAACATCTTGAAACATCTTGAAACATCTTGAAACATCTTGAAACATCTCGAAACATCTTGAAACATCTCGAAATGTCTTGAAATGTCTCAAGTATCTTCTGGCCCGGCAGTGCCAAGCTTTTACTGCAAGGCTTCACGATCCGAAGGATTGTTCAACTACTGAGGACGCTGTATGGTTCGCTTGGCCTTGCCCACCATCCAAGAGGAGCTCGAAGTCTTGCAGAGTGAAGATTTTCTGAATCTCAAAGATGGGAATTCCTTGTTGTATAATTCATGACTGATGAGATTAATGAGTGATCAGCATCTTGCTTCCTCTTTCTGTGATGCTATCCTGCCTGCTCATCATTCTTTGCTAAATGATGTGAAGGAGAGCTCCTCGATCAATACATCCATCGAGCCATCACCACGGGAGGAGGAAGCAGGCGATGCGATGCCGATGCCATGCATACATTCATACTGCCAGTAGCTAAAAGTAGCTCAAAGTAGGTCAAAATATGTCAAAATGGGATGGGTCAACACCCATGGGACCATCTCTAGAGAATTTGAACATCCAGAAGTATCTGTAAGAGTCTGTGAGAGAGGACCATTTTGGTATTCCAGCTACATCGGATGCAGCGCAGGTAGAGCTGCTAAGCAGCCATTGGAGGTGCACCCAGAGGACTGCTCCAATCTCAGCACAGGAGCCGGCAAGTAGTCCAAGTCCGCCTCCCTCCCCGAACAAAGAAGGTGTGAAGATGTGGAGATGTGATTCATTGGATATAGTTATTCGAATTCGTGCTTGGATACTCGATTTTTATCACTTTTTCTGCAAACTGTCATTGTATGAATTTGCTGTTCAATTTCAATCTGTTGTTTTTCTTGTAACGCCTCACAGCTTCGCTGCCAGGCAACTTGCCAATGGACTTCGCTCTGGCGAACGCGCAGGACGTTTTTGCTTGCAGACTGCCTTTTGCAGTGGCTTCGGATGGCTTTTGATGGCTTCGGCATTTTTCAATTGCCAACATGGTCAGGAGACTCTCATCGCAGAGGCTGGCATTTTTCCGCTCGGTAAGGGCTCTGAGGGCTGCAAAGTGAACTTCCACTTGTTTTCTTCTTGGGAATTTCTGAGCTTTAAATAGTTTTGTGGACATGCTTTGCTCTTTACTTACTTAGTATTACTTTTGATACTTTGATGCCATTGATTCAGTGCCAGATGGCAAAGAATGAGCCTCTGCCACTCCCGACTATTTCGCAATCTTTTGCTCCTCAACTGCATTGATGCCTTCATTTGGGTGGTGCATGGTTGGTGGCTTCTTGTGCTTGTGATTGAACAACAAACAAACCTCAGTGTGCCAAGGCTTCTACCAACTCTTCGGTTGAGGCGACAGCCCGGCAGTTGCAACTGAAAGTGCAGGTGTGTTCCCACTTGGGAACTAAAATATAAATGTGAAGGCGTTTCCGAGTCCCAACTCAGGATGGAAGACCATGGTACTGAACATTGGATGATAAATATCAGCCTTTTTTTGGCAGGATCATGAAAATCGCGAAATATACGAAATCCGAAGCTCTGTGAGACTTACCTTGGATCTGACCAGATTTGACCGAAGGCTGTCCCTGTTCTCGCGCCCGCGCCCGCGCGGGCAACGTCCGCGCCAGGGTTTCAACGAGAGGCCGGGACCAGTATCCAGTTGGGTGACGTGAGAGCGATATGTGACTAGTAAGGTCCCACACACGTGGCATTATCGCATTCATATTTAATTCTGCTAATGAAAGCATGTTGAACCAATGTTGAACCACTATGCCATCACTATGACACTACAGTATGCCATTCTTACACATTCTTACACATTCCCATCCAGTGGCCAGCTTTGGATGAACATCCAAAGCCTGGTGGTTGGTAGAGGCGCGAGCACCGCTCTCGAGAGAGGAGGCATTGAGGACAGTCACAGTGTTCACTGAACTGCTTGTTACTGCTTGTTTTCGGGTGTTTCCAGGTTGTCCAGACCTGCTGTTACGACTTCATGTCAGGAGGTTGAACCAGTTGAAACCCCAAGAGCCATGGACTCAATTTGCTAGATTCTTGACATTTTAGAATTTTTGACCTTCAAATCCCTCCAATTAGTAGTATATAGCATTGAAGATCGTTGAAGCCTCCAAGTCTCCCAATTACTCTTGTTAGTATTACATAGATTTCGATGTATTGACATATGTATCCATTATAAATTAAGTTATATATATATATATTTGGATAGTTCCACGGCTGTGCACCTTGAGGCGAGGAACCCGACCTCTCTTCAGCGCAGCTGAGCTGGTACCTTTCTTCGAGGCGGGGGCGCCGTGGACGCTGTGGACGCTGTGGACGACGTGGACGACGTGGACGACTGCACCAGCTGCCGGCTGTGCTGCGCCAGGAGCCCGCACCGCGATTACAGCGGCTTTTGGAAGAGGGATCTTCTGGGGACTCGGAAGCAGATCCGTGGGAGACGTCACAACCTCAAAGATTCGAGGGTGAACATGTGGAGACATGTGGAGAGCAAACTTAGGCCTTAGGCTCTTCTGGAATTGACTTCGCCATAGGTCATTCGTAGTTGATGTTAGTTGGCTCTAAGGTTCTTCTTGGAGGAGGATGATGATGCGCTCGCCCCGGAGTGGGAGCACTTCCAGACCCTTTTGGCGAAGTCTGTAAAAGAGATGTGGGAGCAAAAATCTCGATTTCGGTGAGGAATCTGGATCGGCGATGATCGGCGTATAGTATTCACAACCACACACCCTTACACACAAATATAAATATATATGTGTGTATAATATACGGTCCAACCGGAGCTTTCGGGTTCAGGGGGCCTCAGCATTCTCCACCCTTCCACCATCTATGGCAGCTATGGAGTCCTGAAATCAGCCCCGAGGCTGTCGGCGCCGGCAGCAGCATCGGCAATGCATTCCGAAGTGCCTTTGGCCACTCATCAGTCAAGCAGCTTGGCTGCAAAGCTTGGCAAAGCTTGGACAGCTTGGCTGCAGACGTTCCATGACGTTCCCCAAGCCACTCTGCAGGAGAGGCTGTTTGCCATGGCTGGTGCAGTTGTCGCCCCCTTCTTCAAGGTGCTTGGGAGTTGGTCTATTGCATGAAAGCAAAATTCTTGGAGCATGTTTTTGATGGAAAACTGACTGACAGATGGGGTACCCAAAGGCACCTTATGAAACACATGGGAGTCCCTTTTGTTTCAGAAGGAACTCCGCACATTGCCGCACCGTTTGGAAAACAGTGGGTGTTGGCAAATCTCAGCAAAATTGTTCCGCACCTGATGTCAGGTGTATGTCGCCTAGCCGCGAGTCCACTTGTGTTCCTGAGGTGTGGGTGATAGCGCCATGTCACAACTGAGATACCCAAGGGGCATCCTTGGATCGCATTCAGCATTTTTGCAAAACATTTAGCAACACTTGGCTTTTTGATGTTTTGCAACTTTTCCCCCTTGATGGTCAATTGACCGGACGCCTCCACGCAGCTGACTGAGCCCCATGGCCAGGAATCCTTGCCAAAGAGTGCATGGCCGCTGGGCAAAGACATGGTTTACAAGGGTTGGATTACCTACAACGAGTTTCTTTGGTGCGGGTTTCTTATTTTTGTGGGACTTGAATTCCATGCCCTTACATATACTTGTACACACATTTTCCCACACAAAAAGGGGCCTGTAACATCACTGGTGCATTGGTGATGAGTTTGATTTCATTGATGATTGCAGCAGAGAAAGCGATGAGGGTCAGCATTGGGATGAAGATGGTATCATTACCACCTTATGATTTCAGAGAATTGCTCCGATGCAATGAAGATCTGGGTGCGAAGTTATAAAACGGGGTCATGACATTTTTTTTGGCTCGCAGGAAGCTTAGGCGGCCGGCCTTTCTGTTGCGGCCTTCCCTTGTTTTTAAACACTGACGCTTTCCATACGCTTGGGCAGTTCTCATGAGTTGTTTGCTGACAGGAGCTTCACATTGTCACACCCGTTCAGGAGGCAGATTCATCTTAGGGATGACCTTCGTTTCATGGTTTTCCCCACTTGCGCTAATGCGAGTAAACAGAGTAAACAATAGTAAACAAGTAAAAGAGAAACCTTGTCGCGCGCACCTTCTGTCGTGCCATAGAGATAGCCCACCAGAAGCCTCACCTTCTCAGACACTCGCAGCCTCACACTCAGCATAGCTCTCCTGAGCCCCTGCTATCTGTCATTTCCCGGGGCTCGCGGCCATGGCTGCAACATAGTCATGTTGTTGTACTACAACAAGTGCCTTGGCAGCTTTGGGAAGTGGTGCTCTTTTCACTTTTTCCCTCTTTAATATCTCTAGATGTCCCTGCTTTCGAATTGCTCACAAAGCCTGAGATCTCTTGGTTTGAACACAATTGCACTCAGTTGCTCTGGATCACAGGAGCTGTTTGGGGCTTCTATACTTGGAGCGCCGCGGTAGCGTCTTCTATCGCTTAGACTCGCTCTTTGGTGGTCTGCTGGTCGCGACTTTGGGTGGTCTGGTGCAATACAGCAGGGACCACGGCTGGGAGTGGCTCGGTTTGACAACCACCATAATGAATGAGGATCCGGATGAGGATGATGTTGATGATGTTGATGATGATGATGATGAGGATGAGGACGAGGATGGTGATGATGATGGTGATGATGATGATGATGATGGTGATGATGATGATGATGATGATGAGGAGGAGGAGGAGGACGAGGAGGACGAGGAGGACGAGGAGGACGAGGAGGACGAGGAGGACGAGGAGGACGAGGAGGACGAGGAGGAGGACGAGGAGGACGAGGAGGAGGACGAGGAGGACGAGGAGGAGGAGGAGGAGGAGGACGCGTAATAAGGGACAGATTTCGATTTCTTGTGCTGACCGGGTTCGTGGGAGCAGAACGCTGATGTGCAAGCCATCACATCAGCAGTTCTTCGAGCTTTGCCTTTGGATGAACTGTGATGCGCATCAACGCGCCATGCTCTTGGAAGCCCCGTGAATGCACGCACCAATGTTGGCTACAGGCAGAGAGCATTGACCTCTCACCTGAAAGGAGGCAATGCAGAGTGAGAAGATGCACAGTGATCAGACTGTAGCAAGAATTAGCAAGAATTAGTAAGATCAGCAGGCTTAGCTACAGCAAAAGAACACTTAAAACATAAAAAAAATAGGATAAGTAGGTAACCAAAGAGGAAGACTTGCTCGGCTATCTCGGCTAACTCGGCTGCGCTGCAGGTATGCGCCAGATATCCATCATCACTATGGTTTCCAGGCCCTGGCGGCCGGAGTGACCTTTGCCATCGTTTTCCGGACGCAGCTGGCGTGGAACAGGCACGGGAGTTCCCGGGAGCTCCCCGGGAGCTCTGTGCTTTGTTTCTTTTTGCTTCCCAGGGTAGCCTCAGAAGTCTCAATGAGATGGGCAGAATTCTTCAGATGTCTTTAATTTTCACGCGTTGGGTACATGTGGTAGATTATGTTGGTTCTCAATGCTTATCGTTCAGAGGATGTCCAATTTGACCACTGGGAATTTCAGTGAATTCGTGTATTACATGAAATTCCATGACCAGGTACTGGGAGGCGGTGACGCAGCTGCACTTCATGTACAGCAAATATGCTGACGCCTACCAGCAGTTCTATGCCTTCGCAGAGGTACGGTGAAGTGCCGTACTGGGATGTGAGGGGGTGGGCAAGGCATAGCAAGGCATGGCAAGGCATGGAAAGGCATGGCAAGGCATGGCAAGGCATGGAAAGGCATGGCAAGGCACCTGCTCCGCAGCCCTTTGGAGGTTACCAAACATCATGCCCGAAAGAACAACGACGAGGAGAAAGTCGAAATGATCGAGGAGAAGCAGCGAAGACTTCGAGCCAATTTTGCATTGTTGAGCAGCTTGGCTTTGAAGGGGAAAGCAGGGATGTGAACAACAACTCCGTCCTGCTGAATTATGTGATCAATCAAAGGGAGAAGAGCACTTTTCCTCAATTATAGTGAATCGAGAGATCTAGTACATAGACATAGATGACATCCACCACATTTTTACGCAGGAAATTAGAATCAGTCGCTTGTTGTCCACACACACACACACCCACACACCTATAATCACCTATATATATATATATCTATATATATATCTATATCTATATCTTTATCTATATCTATACGGATATACATAAATACCTATATATATACACCTGTATCTATATCTATATCTATATATCTATATCTACATATCCATATCTCTTGTTTATATTTATATGTAGATCTATATCTATCTATATATGAATATATATGTATATATATATATACACATACATGTGTGTAATATGTAATATGGCTACATTCTTCGATGTTGTTTCATGTAGTGTGATTTCAGATGGCGCCCTTGCCGTGACGTGACTTTCCTGCCTCATCCTAAAAAAAATCTCAGTTCCGTGAGGCACTTTTTCAGCGGACCGGCTGAGCAACGGTGACAACCAGCGCATGGAAGAGTTGCATGCCCACCGGATCCGCTCGAGAGCTGCAATGCGAGTGGACAAAGAATGGAAAGGCCCAACATGGCCCTGGGATTTGAAACATGGAAATATAGAAGTGGACACTTGTCATTTGTGTTTCACTATGTCCTGTGTGTGCATATGCAGGATTATATGTATATATATATATATACATTTATTTAAATAAATAAATAAATAAATAAATATATATATATATGTGCGTAAAAATGTATAAGTGAGATATCAGTTGTCTTAAAGATATGTTGAACCATGTAGCACATGTAGTACCATAGTACCAATACATGGGATGGCCAGGGGTCAATGTTGCCACTTCAATCTACTTCCATGGTTGTTTCAGCAGGGAAGAACCTTGCTTGTTCTCTAGACAATTGTTCCAAGAGTAACCTAAAACTGGTGGGTCTTGGATTCTTAGTCTAAGCATTGGCCAATTGTTTCAAATTTTCTTGTTTCAGGTCCATTCAGATCCTGTTTGGTCCTTTCAGGGCAGACAGCCTCTTTTCCCACAGGTTTTCAGCTGCCAGAGATGGTTGAGCGAGGAGAATTTCAACGCTCACAGATCGATGGCCAGGCACGGAGATCACGGAGATGGGAGGGGATAATCTTTTCATTCTTTGATCATTCCGGTTTCTCCGGTTTCCCCGGTTTCTCTTCTGTGTTGTTCTCCAGTTTGCCTTTCGATTTGATCTGTGTTCGTCTTCCGATTTTGAGAGGCAGACCTTGCGACCGTGTATCACATTGAAACATATTGGATCCTCTTCCCATGTTCGCCGATCCTGCTGAGGCCTTTGTGGTTTTTGAGAGACCCACTAGAGAGCAGATACAAGTGCTGTCTCGTACATTCGTCGCTTGGCAGCCCTAAAGACATCCCCACACTTCTGTCACTATGACTTTCCCAGGCGTTTTCGTTTCACCTCCCGCCTGAAGGAGTTCACAGTTGCTATGCTAAGGATGCGGTCTCCACCGTGATGTATTGGATCATTTGGGACTTGGTGGACTGCATTAAGGATCTCGATGTGCCTCCGCCAATCCAATCCAGGCGTTGGGAGGGACCGAAGTGGATCCGCTCCGTAGATCTCTGTAGTAGATGTAGTAGGCTGTGAATCAACTATAATGTAACATAATGTAACATAATGTAACCATGTATGAATTGAAGGGTATTCCCCGTCGTATTCCCCAAACTTGGACTTGTCACCACCTTCATATCTGGGCATGCCACTGAAAAGACCCCGACAGGATGTATCAGGAGTTATCCAATGGCATGCTTGGCTTCTATAACTGCCTGAAGATTGCAGACGTACCGTTTCCGCTGCCATATGCGCAGCTTCTGGGACTGTTACTCATTGCATTCTCCTGCCTCATCCCATTTTATGCAGCTTGGATGCAAGATCCACGGTCCAAGAGTCAAATTGGGGTGTCACCTGCAATGGTGACATGATGGTGGAAGTGTTTTAATGGGCAATTGACCCTAAAAACTTTAGTGGATCCCAATTTCAGCCAGACAGTTTTTAATGTTTCTTCTACCCAGGTTGCTTGTCATGAACCTGCTTGTTTTGAGGAGAATCCTACATTTTCATTTTCACAATGTTGCTCTACTTGAATGCTATGTCGTTTGAGCGACTTACGTGTTCTTTGACTCGTTTTACTTCCCTGCTTGTTGAAGGTTAGGTCTGCCAGAGAACATAGGTTCAGAATGGGCCAGAGCTTTTGGTAGGGCAGGCTTTGGTGGAGATGCCTTCCACTTGCCTGCGTTACCACTTTGATCCCCTGCAAAAGTTGCACGTACTAAGGAAGTTTTTACGTTTCTTTTTCATTTTTCTTAGGGTGGCCCAAATTTTGGGAACAAACAGGCCATAGAGAAGATTGGTCTACGCAACAGGTTGTGCTGGCTTCAACTGAGGTGATCATTTTCACAAGCTCAGCCGTGATTGGCCCCATCCTTTGCTTCTTCCTCTTTGAGAGTCTTTGGTGTCTCAATGAGGTGCTCCAACTGTGGAACTTGTGCAGATGTTCATATTCTTGCTTTGTGCCATTGAACTATGCAAACTTTGGCTGATGTTTGATCTTCGCACATGTTTGTTGATGTGGGACGTTGCGGGACTGGCAGGTCGCAAAGGAGCTGGAGAATCCTTTCGGGCAGGACTGTCTGCGTGGATTTGCACAAGTTGCGGCCGTTGCGGCCGTTGCTGCTGTTGCTGCGTTTGCTGGCAGTGTCCGGTCCTTTGGCTTGCCACCTGTGACATATGTGTTGCCACTGGATTTGCACAGGTGACACAGGTGACTTGAAGACTTGCACAGATTCAGGGCGTCCTGCCAGGACCTGAATGACATCTCGGTGTTGGACTTCCACATTCGTTTTGTGGACGTCCTGGAGGATGTTGGACTCAGCGAGCAAAACCTTGTGCTCTGGCCTCACTCGCCAGGACTGTGCGGAATGGAATTTTTACTCAGGATCAAAATGATCAAAGAGGGGTGTCAGATAGGGGCGACCCATGTTACGCGTCACGATGCGTCACGATGCGTCACGATGCGTCACGCTTGAAGGAGTCAGCGGTTGCAAAGAGCTGGTCATATCGTGACGGTGCGGCTCAGGCCTGGCTCGGTCCTGGCTCGGTCCTGGCTCGGTGGATGTTGAATTTGTTGAGTCTTATGACCTGCAGCGCTTTTGGCAAACCCATGGCAAGTACAATGATTCCAATGGTTTACATCTATCTGATCTATCATGAATTTATGAACATTTTTATAGTCACTATCATTATTGTTGTTGCACAGTCCTAGTGTAGATACCACCGTTTTCACCTCTACGTATTGTATGCTTTGGCTCAAGAAACATTGCTGCGGCAGGGTGTAGCTACTATATATTATTTGTGGTACATATCGGCTAGTTACCCGTTTCTACAGGTTATCAGCCGTATCGCCAAGCGATCGCTGGTTTCCTTTGTTTCACACTTTTCGTTCTCCTCTGACTTTCGCCATGTCAACACCCCCAGCGCTCCCTGCCCCGGGCGGGAACGCCTCGGCTGCCTTGACTTTGACGAATGTCACGCAACCGGAGGAGGTGGTGATCCACTCAGGCGCGGCAACAACTGAAGGTGACATGAGTTACCTGGATGAAGAGTTTGACCCATGCCGTCAAGATCCACGCAGGAACATGCCAGGTGTCTTGGATTCAAACATTGACATCAGTCAACTCAACACCATCAATTTTAATAGTGTTGATCAGCGCACCGCCCACGTGGCAGTGGTACAACAAGGCATTGATCCAAACCTGGCGAACCAACTCATGGCTGCACAGCAGCAGGCATTGCAGAGTGAGGCAAATGTACGTCACTCTGAGGTCATGGAACGTCAACGAATGGAGCTTGTGAGTGAAGCTCGAGATCAACTTGCAAGCGTCGAACAACAAGCAGCCGAAGAGATTTCCAGGAAGAACCTTTCGTTGAACGAGCAAGCCGCCCAGGCGATGAGCGAGCAGAAGTCTGCTCAACTGCAGGTCACAGCGCAGGATCATCGCATCAGGGAACTGAGTGCCGAACTGACCCATGTTGTCAACAGTGCAGGTGTCTTGACATCGTCTGCGGAGAAGTCCAACGCTGATCTGCAGGCAGCCCGTTCGGAACTTGCCGAGTACCGCACTCAGATTGATGCAATGAATCAACACGCTTTGAACATGCAGAAGCTGGCCGAATCTCAGAAGAAGGACTTCGAGGCAGAGATTGAGAAGCTTCGGAAGGAGCAGAAAGAGCTCATTCGGAACCTAAAGTCTCAACCTCTGCAGGGAACTCCTGGACTCATGATTCGTTATGGACCCGGAAAACCCGTTCCACAATCCTCGAAGCCCACAGGTCCCATCATTGAGGAGTTAGCTTCGGGAAGCAAGAAGCCTCAGCATTCGTCAGATGCAGACGATGAGCATTTATTGGCAGAACCTTCGAAGCCGCCGGGACTTCCTGGTGGTGGACCTCCAGGAGATGATGACGATGACGAGGACTTCAACGACAAGAAAAGTCGCAAAGATAAGAAGGACAAGAAAAAGGATCGAAAAACCAGTCGTGGTAGATCAAGACGACGACATCGAAGAGATCCTTCGCCATCACCTTCTTCGTCTTCATCCCCTGCGACGTCAAGTTCGGATTCTGAGAGTTCCTTTGCACGAAAGGTCAAAAGGGCCTTAGAGCGTTCTAGGACTACTGATCATAAGGCCAAAGAGTCTGATAGGATCCTAGTACCTAAGTTCCCTCAACCCGAAAATTATAGGAATTGGAGAATCCGAGTAAGGGATGCCATAATTGCTGCTTCTGCCAAACCCGACCTAGCTTTTCAGTGGGTAGAAGAAGTTTTCAGGACAGACCAGTCTGTTGATGCCTTGAAGGACTCAGGTAAATTCGTGACCCTGGACGCAAAGCTCATGTCTTCGCTCACCAACATCTGCGAAGGGGACTTTGCACGGCAACTTGACATCTTTAAGGAAGAACAAGGCAAATCTGGGACACCAGCTAGGGGACGTCAAGCGTTGCTCATGATTCATAAACACTTTAGCACAAGTAGGAAACATGGTGCAGTGTACGACATTGAGGACCTCATGGCTGTTACCTTAGTCAATGATGATCTCAGAGGTTTCATCACCCGATGGGACGCTGTGATCGCTGGAATGACTTCCGAGCCTGACATGATGTGGAAGCAAGCATACTTTCACAACGCCATCAAGAATTTCAAGCCTCTCTCTCATGATCTGGCTGTGTATGATCGCACACCGGAGGGGGAACCCAACCGCTCTTATGATTTTCTCATGAAAGCTGCAAGGGACTACCTTGAGAGGAGACGTCTTGAAAAGATGCGCCAGGCTACCAAGAAGTCTGTTTCAGGCAAAAGAGACGCTACGCCAGCACCCACACGACCGCCATCTGCGGGAAAGCCCACTGGCAGTTGCTATGAGTTCCAGGCTGGCAAGTGTACCAGGGGAAAGGATTGCCGATATAAACACGAAAAGTCAGACAAAGGAAAAGGCGGAGGTAAGAAAGGCAAGTCCAGGTCCAAGTCAAGAGGCACTAGTCGGTCTTTGTCTCCAGGATCTAGGAACCAAGTGTGCAAGTTTTGGAAGGCAGGTAAGTGTCAACGAGGTAATGACTGTGCTTTCCAACACCCACCAAAGCCTGCAGCTGCATCTACAAAAGATGACAAGCGTGGAAAGAGCCAGAAAAAGAAGAAGAACAAGAAGAAGGGCGATCGCTCCAGATCGTCAAGTCGAGGTTCCAATTCCTCGAAGGGCTCACAGAGTCTCAAGGACAAAGGGGGAAAACCATCTTCCTCTGGCCCAGCCGCAGTTTGCCTGATGCGCGCTCTGATGATGGTCGCAGTCGTCAACCCTTCGACCAGCACTCATCGTGTGCCGGAAGGCATCGCCTCTCCGCATTGTCTCAACCAGCATTTTGCCATGCCAGTTACACCCAATCGCACTGTTTCATTTGGGGGCAACGATGAAATCTTCGAAGTTCCCATTGAGCAAAATTGTAATTTGCATCCGTGCCAAGCCAAACAACGGACTTTCAATCCAGTTCGCATCACCAAGGACGATCGTACTCGTAAAGATACGATCGAAGCACGAGAAAGTGATGCAATACTTGCAGCACAGATGTTGCAATCAGCTGTCTTTCGGGAGTTGCATGGTAAACTTTGCAAATGCAGCTTTGAATGTGACAGTGATATCGGCTGTCGCCACTGCATCCGTTCCGACTTGAATGCATTGCCAGGGCACATGCCATCTCAGCAGCGAAATGCATCCGCCGAAATTGCATGGATTGCTGACACTGGTAGTGCACAGGACTTAGTTTGCAGCAGGATGATTCCCGATGACATTGTGTATCACTCTCATGAACCCCTTGAATTAATCACTGCAAATGGTTCCCAATCAGCTGACCAACAAGCTTCTGTTCATATTGATTGCATCGACAAAGAAGTTCATCCATATGTTCTTCCCGATACCCCGGCTGTAATATCGGTAGGGATGAGATGTATACAAGATGGATAGGATTTTGTTTGGAAAAGCTTTAGTCGCCCGTATTTCAAGAAGAAAGATGGAACCAAGATCAAACTTGAAGTTAAAGATTTTGTTCCTTATCTACCATCCAGAGATGGCCAGGTACCCGCTGCAGTAGGGATCCCGTTTTCGTGGAACTCCGCTGCCGGGAACGGCAAGCCCATCATCTCACCTGTTCGAAGGTCTCGCATGTCAGCCGTCGGTGCAGAGTCCGATGACGAAGTCGAGGAGGTCGAAGAACCTTACGAGGCTTCCATCGCCGACGGCGATGAAATTCCCGGACAAGCTATCGACGAACTCGAGGAATTCTTTCCTGGTGAACTTGCACCAGGACCGCCAGCCGCCATGACACCCGACGTTGTCGGAGGTTCGGAAGATGAAGCCGAAGCTCCTGAAGAACCAGTTGACGGTCGACTTCAGTTGCCTGAACCCAAGGCGATCGATCGTGGTGAAGCTGCACTTCGAGAAGAGGCCAGGACCCTTAGGCACATGATGACACATACCCCAAAGAACCCTTTTTGCGAAACATGCAAATGTGCAAAGATGTACAAACCAACTAAACGCAGTAAGGGGGAGTCTTTGACTGTGGAATCCAACAAGTTTGGGGATCACATCACTGGGGACCATCTTGTGACTAGGGATGCCAACGAACAATCTATTGATGGTGACAGGGTTGCCATGGTCATGAAAGATGTCGCTACAAATTTTCGTTGGATTTATCCTTCAGCGAGAAGTCATGCCAAAGATTGTGTTTTAGCTTTTAGACATTTCATCGCACCTGGTGAAGAAGTCGGAGTGTTTTACTCCGATGCAGCGCCATCCATCAAGCTCGCTTGTCGGGAAGTTGGGTGGAGACAGAACACTAGTGTTGCTTATGTCTCTAAGTCGAACGCAGTCGCCGAGAGGAATCTCAGGTCCGTACTTGAAGGGACTAGAGTAAACCTTGAACAGGCAGGGCTTCACCATTCCTATTGGAGTTATGCTGCACGACATTGGTGTATGGCACACAACATCCAGGACCACCCTGAAATCTTATCTCCGTGGGAGCTTCGTTTTGGGGAAAAGTTCAAAGGACCCAACATTCCTTTTGGGGCTCGCATTGACTATTGGACTGGACCGAAACTCAAACCCAAGAAAGATTTGCGTTTTGACCCAACTTCAAATCCAGGTGTCTTTTTGGGATATGCCATGCAACCAGGTTTCGTTTGGAGAAATGAATTTCTTGTAGCATCATTGAAGGACCTCATGGAGAAGGAATTCAACGAATCAGTTCAGGTCGTTCGTGTCAACCAACTCACTGTACCTGATGGACCGTTTATTTACCCTTTGAAAGGTAGGTACAAGGCCATTAGGGAAGGTTTATATGAATCTCTTAGCCTTGATGCTCCACCAGATCCAAAGAAGATGGACGCTCAAACAATTGAAGACTTGGTTGCTCCAAGGAAAGCCGTTGAGCCAGGACCGGTGGAGGGCGAAGAGGAGTTCGAACAGTTGATGCGTGAAGCTGGACTTGAATCTAATGACATCGAAGTTATTGACCCCAAAACTGGCAAGTCAGAATTTATCTCAAAGGATGACCCTTCATACTACGATGCTAGTGGTTTTAAGGGAAGACGATATAAAGGTTCCTCCAAACCAAAGGACATTCCAACATTTCTTTGGCGGGGGGCCTCCAAAGCGGCTAGAGAAAGGGCCAAACGTGAAGCCTTGTTGAAAGAGGCAGCTGAAAAGCATGATGCTGCAGTTGCCAAAGAACGTAAGTATAACATGGTTATAGGTCGTTTTGCCACTTCAGCTGTCAAAGAATCTAAGAGTGACGAACCATCAAATGATTTCATTCCCGCAATGCCAGTCACCTGCAATCCGGGGGGCTCGCATGGTGGAAACCATTGCCATCGAGACAAGCTCAGGGATCAATCAGAGCTCATGTGCTTTCATTTTTCCAACGCGCTCGTGGCCAGACCCGTTGGACAGAAGGAGATCAACAACACTCCAGCTGCCCAAGCTGCACTCGATAAGGAATGGAATAACCTTACTAGTAAGGGTGCATGGGATTATTCCACTGTTAGGGAATGGGATGATGTTTCAAGGGAAGCCATCAAGAACAAAACCAAAGTTCATGTAGGCAAAATCTTCGAGATTTGTGTCGAAAAGGGGAGTGAGCTACCGCAGGGTGACCCCATGCGCAAGTTTAAGGGTCGCACCGTGTTTCAAGGAAACAACGTCAAGGACGAAGCGGCAGATGTTGCTTTGTTCGCGGAGCTCGGAAGTTCGCCGGCTAACATGGAGGCAGGGAAAGCATTGCATGCTTATGGCTCCATGCCGGGGAACCGGACATCACAAGGTGATGGTAAGCAAGCTTACACCCAAGCATTGATGCAAGGAATTCTAACTTGGATTAGATTACCAAGAAATCGATGGCCGAAGGAATGGGTTGGTGTGTACAAAGATCCGGTTGTACTTCTTGTTTTGGCATTGTATGGTCACCCTGATTCGGGGGGTCTATGGCAACGTCATTGTGAGAAAGCCCTTTATGCAGTCGGATTTCACCCACTCTACCCTGAATGCTGGCCTTCAATGTTTTGGCATCCGAAATTGAAGTTGTTACTTGGTGTTTATGTTGACGACTTCAAGATGTCAGGACCTTCCAAGAACATTGATGAAGGGTTGAAGTTAATTTCTTCTCAGATCGACATGGATACTCCAGAAGATGCCGGCAGATATCTTGGATGTGAACATGTGTTCAAACAAAATGTCAAACTAGATGTAAGTGCTCATCCGTTTGCTCATGTCTTCGACGCCAGCATCCCAGATCCTTCTAGTAAGCCAGCCAGTCCGGCCCGCCGAACAAAGGACTACTGGGAGCACATGCCAGAGCTTGGAGTTTGTGTTCAGCATCACCTGCAACCTCGCAAGAAGTTCCAGGACAAGCCGAAGGACGATACATCCTTCCGGGCGGGAACGCACCGGCTAACCGTGTGCGAGCCTTGTCAGACCCAAGATGAACCCAAAGAATATGTTCATGATATGGAATCTCAAAACCCAACTGGACTTCCATTTTGGTGGACGGGATCAACCTACTTCGTGGACAAGTCAATCCAAGAACCCTCAAAAGTTTTGGCAGCTGCTAAGAAGATAAGAGACAAATCGGGAGCAAAGAAAGCGGCCAGGGCACAAGGATTTACTTTTCTTGATGAACTTGAGCAACAAAAATCCAAGTGCATGACAAAGAATGTCAATACAGTCGAATATGACATGCGACAATTCTTACAACAATGCATTGACCGCTACGTTGAACTAGCAGGACCAAATGTAAAGTTCAAGAAAGTTTCAACTCCTTTCCCAGATGACAAAATTGCACGTCCAATCATGGACGAAGCAGAAGCTCGGGGGGAACTCCAGCCTATAGCATCACGTGTGTTGATGAAAGTGTTGTTCGCAGCACGAATGGCTAGGTTTGATCTTCTCCGTGCTACTCAGGGATTAGCAAGTAGGGTTACAAAGTGGTCACCTGATTGCGACAAAAGTCTTCATCGATTAATGTGTTACATACACACAACCCTTGATCGTACAATTGTTGGTTTCGTTGGGGATCCACCTGAGGCTTGCAAAACATGGTTATTTGCAGATTCAGATCATGCTGGGGAACATGACAACAGATCTACAAGTGGTTGCCTCCTCGCATTAGTAGGATCAAACACATTTTATCCACTCACAGCTTTTTCAAAGAAGCAGACTTCAACGGCTATGTCATCGACAGAGGCTGAAGTCACGGCGGCGAACCTTGCTTTACGTGCTGTTGGTTTACCTTCCTCCTGCCTGTGGTCAGTCATACGTCACGCGGGGGGAGATAGCACTCAACAAAGGCCGTCCCGCAGAGTGGAAACTCGTGCCAAAAACCCCAAAAATGATTATTGGGAGCACAGTCCATTCACCAACCAAGTTACCAGAGTTCATGTCAAACCCCGGAATAAACTGTATAACCCAATTGATTCGGATTGTCCAGTGAACCTTCAGGGATTGGCAAGGCAAAGGTGCACCATCATGAAAACCAAAACTGGTGATGTTGATTTTGATTTGACATGGGACTGGACGACTCCTGACGCTGATGTTGTCAATGACTTTGAGTGGACCGGGAAAACTGTCTTTAGAATTCCTGGACCAAATGAAGTTGACTACGGGGTTGAGTCACGGGAAATCAGATCAGCATCAACTGATTTTAAGCATATTGGATCTGAAAAGCGGGGGGATGAAAGTGTGTACATGGCAGGACCCGGTAGTCTTGAGGTCATTTTCCTTGAGGACAACCAAGCAACCATTCGAATCCTTGAAAGTGGAAGGTCACCGTCATTTAGGCATACTGACAAAACCCAAAGATTGAACTTGTCATGGTTGTCTGAACAGTTCAAACGAAAACATTTCAGACTTGTCTATGTTGGTTCATCGCTTCAAGCGGCAGATATCCTCACCAAGCCTTTTACCAACTCCGAGAAGTGGGAATCAGCTCTGCGATTGATGGGTATTTCATCACAGCCCCTTCCACGGAAGGAGCCACAGAAGATGAAAGCCTGCGCAGGGGAACCTGCACCTTCGACAGTGTCGGGATCTCAGCAATGCGCAGGGGAACCTGCTTGCCCTACAGTGGCATCTCATAGCAGGGTACTCATCGAATTTTGTTGTGGACCTGATTCGAAGCTTGGTGATCGTTCAAGGAAACATTCAAAAGATTGTTATGTCATCAGATGCACCGAAGAAAGAGATGTTACAGCTAGATCAAACAGAATGGATATTCGAAATGAAGTTATTCGAGCAATTGAGAGTTCAACTGCACAACCATGTCCAGTTTTGATTTGGATCAGCATCCCTTGCACTGGTGGCACTACATGGTCATATGTGAACTTGCAACACGAATCAGCCAAACTCAAAGTTGAATATCACCGACATGTTTTTGAGAAGATATGGTCATCTATGGTCGATTTTCTCAATCTTATTCGTCATTTAAGTCCAAAGATTGCGATTGAATGGCCAGCTCATTGTATCTATTGGAAGTTTGACCGAGTTGAGAAGTTGTGTGGAAAACATCAACTCATCAGAGTCACCTTTGATGGATGCATGGTTGGTATTGTCAACAAAGATGGTGAACCTATTAAGAAACCTTGGGCTATTCAAACCGATTGTGATTCAATTGTCACTGCTTTTGATGGATTGTCATGTGATGGTAGTCATAACCATGTCCAAGGCAGAGGTCATGACTTGAAGGAAACCGAATCGTATTCTTTTCAGATGACGGGCATGATCCATCGAGCTTTTATTGCAGCGACCAGCTCAAAACACGAACTGACGACTTCCATTGCACTCTGCGCTGTTTCGCTTTCTACATCATCATCTACCATGGCTTACTTCCGTCGTTTTCCACAAGGTGAGGTCGAAGAGGCAGACTACTCTGCTGCTGCGGAGGCTGCTGGCATTCGACCCGGGGAACCGGAGTCCACTGCTGAAGATGTGACTTTGGGGCCTAATGGAAAGGCGTGGTACGCGTTGACTGGGAGCATTTTTGGCTCTGTCACGCAGTGTCGTGTGGTAAATGAAGCCGATGTCATTTCGGATTTGACATCCATCATGGGGAACACTGACCATTCGCTGTTGGCCAAAGGCTACCTCCGCGACGTCAGCCCAGAAGACGCGAAGCTCCTCGACGGCGTTTCCAGCTTCTCACTCAGAGGCATGGTTTGCCCAGGGGAACCTGAGGCCAATTTCATCTTTGCCGGAGATTCTTCGATGGCACTTGTGGACATGGTCGACGGGTACGCTTCTACGCGCAGGAACATCGGCGAGTACATCAAGGAGAAGCCGGACCTCCTCCCACCAGGCCGCAAAACGGTCTGGCACGATCTCAAATGGGGTCGTGGGCTGCCTGACATCATCAAGGGCGTCGAGCACTCTCTTGAATGTTTGCAGCGGAGGGGAACCTCTCGCCCATCTGTCATTGTCATCTCTTACGCTGGCAACGATATTTTTGGGAACTACGGCTTCCTCCATTGTGATTGGCTCGACAAGGAGATGGCATGTTACTCACAGAAGCGCCGTGACGCAGCAAACGATCTCATGGAGGAAAGGGTCAATACCCATTTCTCCGCTTTGAACGACCTCGTGAAGCTGACGACGCGTGCCGACATTGGGAACATCGTCCTTGTCATGCCCTGGTACGGCAGAGGGTACGGGTTGCACCCCGACTATGACCGTCAAATGATCCGAGAAGCCGAGGCTTTGAGGAAACGTGGACTCTGCGTCCTCGATGCCACGTCGCTTATCAAGTGTACAACACGATACGACGGCCAGCACATGGAGAATTCGGAGCATAACCGCCTCCAGTGCATTCGGTTCTACTCTGAAGCAGGCGCTCTTGTGGTTATCATCTCTTTCGACTTCGGTCGTGCAAGCCATTGATTGAGATGGCTGAGATGAAGAAGCGCCGCGAGGAATCGTTGGCCAACCCACTTCCAGAAAACAACCCGGAGTGGGAAGAGATGGAAGAAGTGTTGGTCTCCATGGACGTGGACGGTTGGGAAATCTATGTGAAGGAGACTCGACCCAAAGGGCAACGACTTCCCAATGAAGTTGATCCTGAACGTGCACAGATCCCACAGGCTCCTACGGTGCAGGATGATGCCGCTGTGGCCTCATCGAACTGGCAGCTTTTGGAGTCCGTGGATGCTGCACTGCCGGGGGAACCCGAGCACTTTGAACCACATGAGGTCAAAGAGCCGGAGATGGATGGTGAGCTCATCGACGCCATCCTCAAGCCCTTTTTGGATCGATTGCCTGGTGTTTCCGACGAGCGCGACATTGACGAGCCGGATGCCGACGAGGAGATTGTCTTCAGGGACCCCATTGTCGGCGGCTCAGCCTCAATGTTTAGCCAGCGGAAGCTGCGCTCCCATCTGATGAATAAGATCCATGCTGTGGACTTCAAATTGGATGGTTCTGGCGTAGTGAACATCTTGGACACCGACGTCACACGTGACCCTGCCAAGCTTGAACTTCGGCAGGAATCCATGCAGCAGACAGACGATGGTGCAATCATCATTCGTCGCTTCGATTTGACGGATGAGGAGAAGCATCGTCAGATGGAACGGGAGATCTTTGAGGAGCCCAAGTCCGCCGAGGAGAAACTTCGCGCGGGTGACCCTGCTGCCTCAGTCCAGATCCTGTCGAAGGCCAAATCGAAGGCGGCTTCCTCATCGGAAGCAGCATCGTCATCGAGCGGCATCGCCCAGGTGATCGGGGACACGGTCAGCCAATTCATCAAACCAAAGATGAAGGATCAGGCCACCATGATTCAGTTCAAGCCTGCTCCGCGGCTTCCAAAGGTCTCAACGGCGACGGGAACGTCTCCCATGGCGTCCCCAAAGCCAAGTCCGCCACCAACTCCGAAGAGTGCAACTGGATCCCCCAAGCCGGAGCCACCTGCACTCCCAGCGGAAGCTGCGGACCATCCTATGCCCAAAGCTTTGCCTTTCAAGGCACCACCTGCGACGTTGACAACAACCTCACCAAGGGCACCTCCTCAGAAGTCATCGGCACCTGCCGCTGCGTCTTCGTCGGAGCCTGCCCCGAAGATTGCCAAGAAGGAGCCGCCCATGGCAAGTGCTCCTCCCCCGGGAACGGGTGGACCTCAGCCTCCGGCTGAACCGCCCTTGCGACCATCGGGATACCCCAAATGGTACTTTTTCTCACCAGGAACGGGCGAGCGGAGTTCACCATCAGGTGCACTGAACTGCCTGGCCTTCGAGATCTTGGACATCTTAGCCACGACGACTTCAAGTTCTCCAAGCGGGTCACTGGGTTGTTGCGCGGCTACGACCACAAGTTTTTGGAACCCCATCACCGTCACATTCCCCCGGAATTTGACGACGAGCTCTACCTCAACTTCGAGAGCATGTACAGCTACTTGAGGAAGAGGCATCGGGCCCAGCTTTCAAGGCAGGATCTCCTGGAATTGTCGGGGAACTGACAACTATGGACATGCCGTATCGCATCACGCATGTGAAGGCCTGCCAAGGTCATGACCAGTCCCTCATCGACAAGGTGGGAACGGCTCCATTGGTCAAGCAGATCATCTCGCTTGACTACCAGTTCACGGTGGAGGATTTGAAGAAGGGATTCTACCCAAGGGTTCCCATTTATCCTCACCTGGCGGAAGCCGAGGTCCCAGAAGAGTTCAGGGTGATCTACCATTACACTTCATGGGACTCCCTCCAACAGATCATTTGCACGGGAATTTTTCCTGGGGCCACATCGTGCAAGGGTCATGTGTATATGACCCGCCATGCGCCTTGGGAAATCGAAGGCAAGGATCCTGGTGTCAGGACGAACCGACCGCTGTGCATCGCGATCGACACCGATTGCGCTCTGCACTACGGTCTTCGCCTGGTGGAAACCTTGGCCGGTGCAATCATCTCTGAGGACTGGGTGCCCAATCATTGCCTCATCTACGCATTCGATTGCGAGAAGTCGCAATACCTTTGGGCGAACCATGGCTACAACGGGGTGAAGAAGTACCTTCGGCAGAAGGCCTCCGAGAACGCTCTCACTTGGGAAGAGAACGAGGCTCGGAAGGGCACTCCCGCATATGACGAACTTGAAAGGTACGAGTGTTTGGACTTGGAAGTTTTGAAGACAATGTTTGTGAATGAGTATGACCAGTGGAAGGACGTCATCACTTTGCGCCGTCCGCTCATTTACAAGGAAGTCCCGACACCGTACGCCGTCGTCGATGAATTGCTGCCAAAGACCAGGCAGCGGCCGCTCAACTTTTTCAACCTCCTCTGTGTGGCGCGAAAACCGACGGTGACGGCAGCTGGCTTCGACATCGCCCCTGACAACGCGCGGGAACGCCGTTCTGATCGCTTCGATCAGGAGGCATTTGACCCAACCGCGGAGGGGAACCTCACGCGCTGGCGGTATGTATCTATGCTGGCTATGCCAGAATTGACATGCCCCCGGTGCAGGAAGATTTTTCCTGAGGGGATGTTGGTGTGCCTCGCATGCGGCTTGTCGCTGGCGACTATGTCCGACATGCGTCGCGCACGCCAGGTGTTCCGCTTGGAGGAACTGGCCGAGAAGCTCGGGTTCGAGCTCACCCTCGACTTGCTGGGCGACGACGATGTAGCAGGCACCACACAAGGTGCCAAGCAGATCAGATCTGCTGCTGCTCTCAAAAATCATGCCCGTTCATATATGAAACAGGCACGAAAAGCGGGGATGACTTTGCTACAGCGTCTGGGAACGGACGCCCACTACGCCTTCAACTGCGCAGTCCAAGACCTTACACCTCGGTGTATGCATTGGATTACCGTTCTGGGCAACGTGGTGCTTCCCGGCATCAAACGCACCCGCGAGGAAATCCGAACTGGAAAGATTCGGCAGTACAAAGCGCGTATGTGCCTGGTCGCATACGAGGAGGAACAGATGAAGACGATCGTCGTGGACGATCATGTACTCATCTGGTACAAGAACCGCTTTTACAGAGCCAACCAGTTCGCGGCCGCCTATGCTCTGATCCCAGTGGCTGACCGATTCGAGGTTCTGAGCGCCGCCAACACGACGTTTCAGTCCCTCGCCCTGTCCAAGCAGGATGTGTACGCCGACATTCTCAGCTATATCGACGATATCTTGCGCCCCCTCACGGAGGCAAAGGACACGGAAGGCGGAAGCCGACCCCTGCCTGCAACCAAGCAGCAGAACCCAGATGTCACCAGGTTTTCGCGTCCTGGATATGGATCACATCAGGGACCCACTCATGGCTACAGTCAGCAGGAATACTACAATCAGTGGACTGACCAGGAGTGGGAGGATTGGCGCCGTCGAAATCAAGGCCACCAATACAGGGATCGACGTTGGTCGGGCTATCGCTGAGGCACCGCGGAGGGGAACCTCTCGCCTGGTGGATTCATCTTCATCTGAGGCGGGGTAGTTTCTTTCAATGAGAGGTGTCGCACAGCGGAAGCTGTTGCCTTTTCGGATAAATTCGGTTAGGCGACTAGCTTCATTTTGCACAGGTGGGCGAGCGATTCCACCATCATTTCAAACACAAGTGTGCTAAGTCGGAATTTTTGCCAACTCATTCAAATTCACAAAATTCTCATTAACGCTTTGAATGCATATAATTTGAAGCAGGCATTTGGCACTCATCTTATTCTTGCCATGATTCCTTCTTGCATAGCACACGGCTGGTAGTTGCATGTGCCGCAGAGCGGAAGCTCTTGCCTTGCGAAGTTAAGGCAGCTTTGAAGCATTTCTAAAGGCTTCCCTGCGGGCTCACACAACACTGAATTCAGCTTTTGCCATAATTCAGATCGCTTTGCTTTGGCAAGCTCCTGGGCGACCACAAGAACTTTTGTTGCCGCGTGGAAACGCTGGCCTAGTATCGGGCCAAGACCTTTTCTTTCCACCTTGCATGTTCGACCACAAGCCCAGTCGAGCCTAAAACAAAAGCTGAATGCATCCGACCGAATTGACTTGCACTGCATCCGTCTTTCGCACAACTTGATGTTAGATTGAATGGATCGCAATCGCTGTTGCACATGTTTGTCATTGATGCATACCTGAGGTGAAAGCACAATGGACGAAGAAAGGATAGGCCGTGGACGGGTTTTGGTTTGGTTGTTGTTGTTGTTGTTGTTGTTGTTGTTGTTGTTGTTGTTGTTGTTGTTGTGTTTTAACTTGTTCTAACATAATGGCATCCCTTACTAGTTACTGGTCTGTACATAGCCTAATTTGCAGCTCCACTTCCTGTGCGGTAATTACACTGCACGGGGGGTGTTGTTGCACAGTCCTAGTGTAGATACCACCGTTTTCACCTCTACGTATTGTATGCTTTGGCTCAAGAAACATTGCTGCGGCAGGGTGTAGCTACTATATGTTATTTGTGGTACATATCGGCTAGTTACCCGTTTCTACAATTATCATCAGTATTATCAGATTGTTCCTAGGACTGCTTGTTTGAGGCACAGTTTGTTTGAGCATGATGGTCTCGATGTCACAGCCTACAGCTCTTGCGGCAGTGTGAAAACAGGCTGTTGTCCGAATACAATATATTATCATTATTTGTAATTTGGTGTATTGGTGTAATTTGTTCATTTGTATCCTCATCCAGAAGGTCCGTGAGGATTGGTCCACGACCGAGCCCAAAGCTTTGCCCGGTGGCCACCAGCCGTCGATGGCCTCAAATCAGATCCGTGTAGATCTACATAGATCTACTGTCAATCGCCAGCTACGCCAGTTCTCCGATGTTCTCCGTGTTGCACGGACCGGCGTTTGCCTCGTTTCACCTTGGTCCGGAGGTCGGAGTTGTCCAGAAAATGTTGTGGTCCACCTAAAGATGGATGATTAACGTGTGTGCCAACCTTGGTTTGATTTCGAATAGGATAAATAGATATAAATAGGTTTCCATTCCGACATGGGGCCAAGCTAAATGAGATCATGCAAAAATCAACCGTCTGGTAAAGCTCCAGGTGGTGATAGGACCGGTGTCCCCCCATCCTGGATGTGACATGTGACATGTGACAGTCAGAGGGCCAGGATTCCCAGGATGCAGGGACGTCGACACATGTAGCGTAGCAATCGTAGCAACGTTCTCTGCCAAGCAGCGTAGCGTAACATTGCTGCAGCCATTGCTGGGGACAGCATAGGAAAAGATCGAAGTAACGATCTGCTCGTGGAATGTTTGGTTTTTGAGATGTGCCTGTGTGATTCTGCATGTGTCTATAGAATCTATGGCATCTGGGTCACATTTAAGAAGACACGGCAATCTATTCTCAATGTGAAGGCAATTGTTGTGAAACTCATATCATTTGACGGGGGCATATACATTGACAAAACACAGCAGCAGACCCCAAGGTATCTGGTAGATATTTTCCAAGACGACCACGAGTCAGGTGCAGGTGAGACATCCTGCACCTGACTTACTGGTTTGTGGAGTCTTACCAATAAACTGATGAACTGATGAACTGAAACCGTTGCCAAGGACCTCAGATGAAGATGGCCGAGAGTTCTAAGCAGCAACCTTGGTGCTCTTGCAGTTGAAAATTAGCTCTTGTGTGACAGCTGTCCCACTCCACAGCCTTTGGATATTCAGATGATTCAAGACATCCAAGGGATATTCAAGGGATATTCTCGATATTCTCGGATTGAGGTTTCCGTGCGGTGCACACGCCAACGCTTGCAGATGTGAGCCGCGCGCTGAACGTTTCATGTTCCAAGTTTCCAGGGTCTGCCTCGAGGCATTGTTGTTTCAATATGTTTCATGGTAGATGAACACTTGAGGATACTTGACAACTCCAGGGTGCAACACACTCATTCACACTGTCACAACGGCAGACCCTGTTGTTTTGCCATTTGAAGGGATGGACGCATCAGTGCCGGCCGGTGCTTTGCAATGAGCAATGAGCGCACATGGCTGATGGCTGACGTGTCAGGTTGACAGGATTATTCAAATGCTAAAAAACCAACAAAAACTTCAACAAAGACTCAGACGCCAACAAATCGGTGATAGTTTCTGTTTTTGGCTCTTCTGCAAACTTCGAGCCGGGGGATTCGGTGGTGCGTCTGTCGCCGTTTTGCAGCCCGATTTCTCGAAGACATTGGATGACATTGGGCTGTTGTGCTGGAGAAGACTAATTATGTGACTAATGGTGATGCTTCAGACATTTTCAGATATTTTCAGACTCTTCCGTTGAGTGCACACCAGAAGTGTATTGCTACTGTTAGCAATAATTACCCTCATGAAGGACAGTGAACTCGGTGGGCTTCAGCACAAGAGTAGCAGGGCTCCCCCCGTGACGGGGATGGCCATCATACGTCGATCTGAAGCACATCCAGCTGAAATTGGAGTGTTCTGCTCCGAAAGTTTGGAACATGCCATGATCCAAAAATATCCAAAAATATGAGACATGAATGAGTGTGTGTCAAGTCTCTGGTCTGCCGGATGTGTCAACGGGATAAGGTGACTGCTCTCTAAAAAAAAATGGAGGCTCTTCACTATCCTGGAAGGAATGAAATGCAGTAGATAGTCGTAGCACAGGCGGTCAAGCCTTTGTATTCACAGATTTTAGAGAAGAGTCGCAGATAGCACGTGATGTGCTTGTAATTGAGACCGGGCCACAGATGGTGGCACGCACAGCCGTGAAAGGCCCGACATTTAGGAATCAATTGTCAATTCGATGGCAAAATGCAGGCAGATCTGTGCTGCAAACAGGGAATACTCCTCAGCTCGATTTGATCCACCTTCAGACAAGTCAGACAAGTCTGATCTATGACACTATGATCTTTGTGCATCTCTTGGAGTATCTTGGAGGGTTTCCGTTGGTTTCCGTTGGTTTCCCTGCGCAGGTGCAGAATCGCATCAAAGCGGAACCAACGAATCCTGTGAAGGTTGGGCAGCTGATGGAAGAGTCCGCCCTCAAACAATCCCTCAAAACAGTCGCTTTGTGCAGCTTTGGTACAACTGTGGTTTGTTTTGATATCTTCACGATATCTTCAGTTTTGAACAACGATCAAGCATATTTCATCATATTTCAATATTCAGTACTAGCAGATACTATCAGTACTGTTATCCAGTACCATTTGAGTGATTTGGGTTGTACTGCTCGGAGGTGGAGTCGGATGACCGTAGACCAGTTTTCCTTCGGGATGAGATGTAGAACGGTTGAGCTATGGAAACACGTGCTTAACTGCTTAACTTCAACATCCTTACACTAGCCACACCATGCAGGCACACTTTGCAGCGCATATTTGCACTCCAGGTGTCAACAAAACAGGACTGGACGTAACGGATTGGTTGATGTGTTGACCTTGGTGAACCAGTTGAAAGGACGTTGAAGCATGTTGAAGCCCTTCGCTGAAACAAGAACTGTGTAGCACATGCGCCGAAGTTCCATTGCTGGTGTGAGCCATGGCAGGTGCACAGTGAAAGATGGTCAGAGCAGATTGGATCCGATTTCTGTTTCAATCCAGTGGATGCCCCTGAAGTCCCACAATGTCAGCAGTGGCCAATGTCAGCCATTTCAAGGCGCATTTTTGTGACCAAATCCCGGTCCCAATGGCCCAACAGCACAGCTCCAACAGCAACAGCCTCAGCAGAACTCAATGGAACTTGCAACTCTGTCTGCTCTGTCCGCTGTCCCTGGCGTCCCTGGACAGACATAGCGGATTTGGGCAGGCACTGTCTGAGATTGGGAGGTCTTGGGGTCCCTGAAGGGCAATGGTTTTTAAGTTGGTTACGTCGGTTACGGTGGGTTGTTTAACGATTTTGATGTTCTCTTGAAATCTCCTGAGCCAAATCCAAGTGGTGTGCCATCGCTGCAGGCCAAAGTTCGGAGGAGGACTTGCTGCAGGAGCCTTTGTAACGTATGCCTGTTCCAACGTTTTGTTTTCATGCAAAAATATTGGACAACTATGGACAACTGCTGTTTGTACATGCGACGATTCTGACTTTGCAGTGTTTTCACTCCTTTTCATTGGAAGAGGACTGGCGGCATGTGCGCGCACGTGCATCACCCAAGTGTTTCGAAGAGGCCGTCAGCTTCTACCGAGCAGCTTGGCAGAAATGTCCCCAAAACTGCCCGTTGGTTTCCCACTTGGTCCATCCTGAGATTGCCCCCCTCCCAACTGTTTCCATTTGCATATCTTGCATTGGTTTCCACGGTCCAGGAGCGTGTGCACTTAGCTGCGCAACCACAGAGGACTGAGCTGCTGAATCGCCAGGAACTGTCCTGGTGGTGCCGAAAACGGACCGAAACAGGAAGGGAAAAAACGGGATGAGTCCCATCATATTTGCAATGGACAGATACTTGAATCATTGAAGATAGGTGAAGCGTGTTGAGATCGCCTGCGCTTTTGTCAAATGAGGCCCAACAAGTCTTGAGTATGTAGAAAACATGTGGGAGAATGTTGCCACTATCAGGGCTGAGACACAAACACATGGACTCAAAGAATCTCAAAGATGCACAGACACAGGCAACATCAGGCAACCATGCCCAACCACACACTGTGGCACAGGCCCGCATCGCATCGCATCGCTGATCACGCACATGCCATCATCATCCCATGGACGCATCATCCTTAGATAGCGCAATCACATCATTGATTGTATTGTGAAAAGGACAAGGCAATCGGTTTGAGTGAAAAGGCAAGATACACCACAAGAGAAAATCAAATGTTCATGTATATATTTAATGCTATTTTCATATTTGTTTTCCCATCAATAGGGAGGCTTCCAAAAACCATTCTGCAACGGGCATGGGCTCTCGCTTGCGGCGTGCCGCATTGGATGCGCGGCAGCACCGCAGTGCTTTGAGGAGGAGATGCCCAGCCGGGATGGTGAAAACGATGAAAATGATGTAGAGATATGTAGAGCAGTCAGTGAGATCAGTGAGCACATCATTCTCACACTAGCAGCACTAGCAGCACTTAGTGAGTGATGTCACATGGTGTCACATGGTGTCAGGCTATTGGCCAGCCTTGCAGAGCCCACAAGTGACGCTCGCACTGGCCAATGCATCAGTCACTTTCAGTCTGGCCAGTGGTGGCTCAACCGGTACCTAGAGTAGATGGACAAAAAAACAAAACCCTGCAGACCAAGTAGAATCCCGACACCCCAATTTTCAATGTTGAACAAAACTCTATATAGTTTCCTCTGCGTTCAGGGTTTGATTTTTTTCCCCGCACCCAAGCGTGCAGCCCGAAGACAACATCGAAATTTTCGGATGCGGGGGCGACAACGATACAGCAAGGGTTTGATTTCATCGTCCATCTGCAGTAGGAATAGGAAAAAAATGCAGGTAAGGGTTTATCAGATGCAAGATCCAAAACATCATCCAGAGAGAGAGAGAGAGAAGCTGTGGCTCAAAACATAGGGCTAATCCATACCCTAAACCCACAGGCGATCCATAGCCCCGATCCATACTCATGATCCACACATTTCTAAGGAATATGATCCACGCCCTTGATCCATACCATTCCATACCTAAGAATGACAAGTTGCACCGATACCAGGCCACTTAAAAAAAAACATGATACATCCTGATACCTTTAGGTCCGGAGTCCTTTAGATCAATCAAACCTCTACGTAACCTGGTCAGTAATTCACCGCGGAAGGATCCATCCCCGTTTTCTTTTCCGGAGCCATACCGATATACAAGACATAAACGGATATAATGTGATATATCTACACACACACACATATATATATACATATAATAGCATTATGGTTGTTACACGTTGTGTGCAGAATGTGCCATCCATGTGCGCTTCAGTGAAGTTGTATTCCGTGGCCTTGATCCAAGGAACAGCGCCTGGATCAACTTCGCGCTGCCCTCCGTGATGAGACGCAAGCGGCCTCGTCCTTGCCGTTGACCCTGCAGGCAACGAACCGAGTGTTGCGTGCAGTGGGTCTGTCTTGATTTGGATGTCTCATGATGTCTCTTCATGATCAGCTGTTGAGATAACCAAAGGATTCAGTTTCACTGGCTAGATCCCTTATGATCCCTTTAGGAAAAACGCAGGCCCACCCCAGCGAGCCAACTGGCAGCGGTACGGCAGCACGGAAACGACCCTTTGACTCGGTGGATGCAGAGGCTCAGTGTTGCACTGTGTTGCAATGTGTTGCAATATGTCATCTCCCGAAGAGAGAGTCTTTTCATCTCGTGAAGGATCCTGTCACGTTGATGGCACGCTTTCGGCTTTTGCTGCCTGAGGCCATGCCTGTGTTGTGGTCGAGTTGGCAACTATGTCGATGTCACTTATGTAAATTATGTAACATGGGCTACCACAGGGAAGTTTCATGAAAAGTAGTCCAGAGAGAAATGTTACATCCCATACATCCACATTATCTACTATTATTTGTGGTTCACAATCCTACTTCTGGATATTCGTGCTTTCAGCATCTTTCAGCATCCTTCAGCACATCCCATAGGGCCATAGGGATACGACGGATACGAAACCAATAGAAACGGTTCAGGCCCCATTGGGGTCGGCAGCTCCATGCAGCTCCCCTTGGCTCAGGAGGAGTCTTTCACCATTCTGGCCGTGGCAGCAGATCCTCAAGGTGCACAGGTGCGCTGTCGCCAGGTTTCTTCAGATTTCCTGCGGCTTTGTCTCAAAATTATTCAAAATTAACAAAATCAATTGTGTGGCTTCCTGCTGGAAACATTTGCACTTCCGACTTTGTGAACCAGCGGCCATTCCAATAGTGATCATGTTTGAGACCTTGGAGCACCTTTGATATCCTCTCACCTTTGATTTCCTGCACGCTTTGCAGGGTGTGGTGGCCGTGCTTCTGTCTTCGGGAACGTTGGAACTGTGGAAGGCGGACCCTTTCTGTTGGCACCTCGCGAGTAGCATCAAGGTGCAGCCGCCACACTGATGGCCGTTGGGCTGTTGATTATAGCCATTGGCATCCCATAGCATTGGATATTCGATAGTATTTCAGATTATCCTACCTTTACAATAATATATATATATACACACCTTTATTACCTTGATCGTCCTTTATTAACTTCTGATAAGCGCAGGTGCCACTGCTTCACTCGCGACCTCACGGAACTTTGACCTTTAGCAGGACAGATCCGAGAGGTCCAAGATCTTTGATGGCAGTGAAGTTGCATGTTGTAAGGTCAGCTGCACAAACGGTCATGAGTCATGACCATTAATTATATGTAAATAAATAAATAAATAAATATATATATATATATATTTGTAAATTGTTTTACAATTATGTGATTGAACCAGAAAGTTTCTTACGTTTGTGTGGTGTGACTGGCGTCACGTTTCTCTTCGAACTCAATATGGCGGTTTACCCCGAAAAAAACATACCTTAAGATTCAAGATGTCCCTCTGACGCAGGAGTGGGAACCACCTATGGCTTGTCACATTCGGTGAAGGACGTGACTATCATCTTCTCATGTCCGCTATTTTGGACGGCCATTCAAAATTTCCATTTCAGAGCGCATTGTCGATTGGCGTTGGTATGAGTGAAGGACAATCTAAGGAGGAATCACAGTCCAAGGAGGAATCACAGTGCATTGTAAGTGCAGTAAGTGTTGTTTTGCATCGAATATGATTTCGGGATTTCAGGTGAGTGCATTGTAAGCGCACGGGACAACATGGGACAACATGGGCAAGATTCCGTGCAAACATGATTTCAAGATTCCGGGTCGATAAATCATCTCGAAGAGTTTGATGACAGGACCGCTGCACACCCGTCTTTTCGAGTGCATGGGAGGTGCGTTTGCATGGATTCTGAACCCCCAAGTCTTGTGGTTTGAATTCGAAAAAAACTTTGCTTTTGAAGGGGATTCTTGGGATACAATCCCCATGGAGACAGTTCAATGATGAATGGATGGTTAGCATGGTTAGCATGAGTATAATTTCAGTATAATAGTATAACATAACATTTGTTCTGCCATTGACTTGCTGCCAGCTGTGGAGTTGCAGTGACACACAGTGACACACAGTGACACACAGTGACACACAGTGACACACAGTGACACACAGTTACACACAGTGACAGGTGTGCTGCGGCTGCTGGGCGTTTTGCAGGGTCCATCGCAGGCCTTACGCGGTTTGCCCGCGCTGCTGTCACCCAATGGCCTGGCCTTGGGGATGAATGAGCTGCACGTTCTCCGTTGGACAGGCGCTTTCGAAACCTTCTGGCGGTCAGGTGACAGGTGCCCCAGGTGCCCCAGGTGCCCCAGGTGCCCCGTTCTCATGACATATTTGACATAGTTGACATGTCGCGGAGGTGAAGCTCTGGAGATTGTGTCCAGCTCTCAAGCAGCTCCGAGGCTGAGTCCGTCATGTCCGTCATGGCTGACATCTGACATTGGCTTGGGAATGCTTGAGATGCGAACAAAGATGATCAAACATTTGGCATTAAAGATGGAGCAGGTAATATTTGGAGAGTGTTCATTGTTCCTACATGGATTTTATTTCCCGCATCCTTTCTATGCCTCACAGACTCACAGACTAAAACAAGACAAAGAGCTGTCACAAGAGCATCAAGAGCCAGAAACAGAATCGCTGCTGGCCTTTGCACAACACCACGGCAGGTTTCGCATTTGGCCACTGCCTCCGGTCGGTGAAGAGCCAAGCCACTGGCGACTGCTGATGCACCATGAAGGCAGGGCCCCTGGCAGTGACCAGGTCATTGCAACAATGCACCAGGTGGATGTATGTGGATGTCATGATTGAATATTCATGAAATTTCATGAATACATCACCACTTTTGAAACCATTAAATGTGAGTTTTAGAAGAGGTATGGATCTATGATCCTTTTTCCTCTGTAAAATGGAGGGGGTCAAGGCTCACCGTAAAACGTTTTCTTTATGGTTTTGGAACCGTCCAGCCAGGTGATTTTATAGAAAACAGTGTTTTTTTGTGATTTTATAGCCAAGCTCCATGTTTCTGCTATCCTGGTAGGGGGGGTCAAGGCATCTCATTTTATAGAGGCCAAATGGTGGGTGATGGTTTTTGTTTTTCACTTTTTACATGTCAAGAAAAGGTGGGGAAGGCCATACCAAAAAACCTGCCGGTGACCCAATCTCCCAAGATATCTCTATCACAGATTCTTTGCATCAGCCATTTTGGCTGAGGAACCAGCATGAAGCGGTTTGTCGGTTGGTCACAGATTTGAACATGAAGCGGCTTGCCTGCAGACATCAATCAGTGTTCGGTGGCTCAACATGCCAAGGCGCAGGTAGGTGCAGCCACCATGTAAAAATAGCTGAAAGCTGCCTTGCTTGGCAGGTTGGCACAGGAGGTCAGCTCAGGATGCGGCAAGAATGTGGAAGCAGATGGCTTGCAAAGACAGGCAGAATGGCTAAGTAGTTCTAACTAGTTCCCTGGAGCATCTTGGGGCACAGCAAAGCACAGCCACCACAGGAGCCAATGCTGCACCTCAATAAAATAGGGGTTGGCACAGGAGGTCAGCTCAGGATTCGGCAAGAATGTGGAAGAAGATGGCTTGGTAAAGACAGGCAGAATGGCTAAGTAGCTCTATAACTAGCCCCCTGGGGCATCTTGGGGCACAGCAAAGCACAGCCACCACAGGAGCCAGGAACCAAAAAATAGTTGAAGGCTGCCTTGCTTGGCAGGTTGGCACAGGAGGTCAGCTCAGGATGCGGCGAGAATGTGGAAGAAGATGACTTGGCAAAGACAGGCAGAATGGCTAAGTAGCTCTAACTAGCTCCCTGGAGCATCTTGGGGCACAGCAAAGCACAGCCACCACAGGAGCCACTGCTGCACCTCTAGAAAATGGGGCTCCCTGACTTCCTTCAGGAACCAAAAAATAGTTGAGGGCTGCCTTGCTTGGCAGGTTGGCACAGGAGGTCAGCTCAGCATGCGGCAAGAATGTGGAAGAAGATAGCTTGGCAAAGGCAGGACAGACTGGCTACGTAGCTCTAACTCCCTGGAGCATCTTGAGGCACAGCAAAGCACAGCCACCACAGGAGACAATGATGCACCTCTAGAAAATGGGGCTCCCTGACCCCCTTCAGGAACCAAAAAATAGTTGAAGGCTGCCTTGCTTGGCAGGTTGGCACAAAAGGTCAGCTCAGGATAATAAAATAGGGCTCCCTGACCCCCTTCAGGAACCAAAAACTAGTTGAAGGTTGCTTTGCTTGGCAGGTTGGCACAGGAGGTCAGCTCAGGATGCGGCAAGAATGTGGAAGAAGATGACTTGGCAAAGACAGGCAGAATGGCTAAGTAGCTCTAACTAGCTTCCTGGAGCATCTTGGGGCACAGCAAAGCACAGCCACCACAGGAGCCACTGCTGCACCTCTAGAAAATGGGGCTCCCTGACCCCCTTCAGGAACCAAAAAATAGTTGAAGGCTGCTTTGCTTGGCAGGTTGGCACAGGAGGTCAGCTCAGGATGCGGCAGGAATGTGGAAGAAGATGGCTTGGCAAAGGCAGGAAGAATGGCTAAGTAGCTCTAACTAGCTCCCTGGAGCATCTTGGGGCACAGCAAAGCACAGCCACCACAGGAGACAATGATGCACCTCTAGAAATTGGGGCTCCCTGACCCCCTTCAGGAACCAAAAAATAGTTGAAGGCTGCCTTGCTTGGCAGGTTGGCACAGGAGGTCAGCTCAGGATAATAAAATACAGGCTCCCTGACCCCATTCAAGAACCAAAAACTAGTTGAAGGTAGTTTTGCTTGGCAGGTTGGCACAGGAGGTCAGCTCAGGATGCGGCAAGAATGTGGAAGAAGATGACTTGGCAAAGATAGGCAGAATGGCTAAGTAGCTCTAACTAGCTCCCTGGAGCATCTTGTGGCACGGCAAAGCACAGCCACCACGGGGCCCCTTGACCCCCTTCAGGGACCAAAAAATAGTTGAAGGCTGCCTTGCTTGGCAGGTTGGCACAGGAGGTCAGCTCAGGATGCGGCGAGAATGTGGAAGAAGATGACTTGGCAAAGACAGGCAGAATGGCTAAGTAGCTCTAACTAGCTCCCTGGAGCATCTTGGGGCACAGCAAAGCACAGCCACCACAGGAGACAATGATGCACCTCTAGAAAATGGGGCTTCCTGACCCCCTTCAGGAACCAACAAATAGTTGAAGGCTGCCTTGCTTGGCAGGTTGGCACAGGAGGTCAGCTCAGGATGCGGCAAGAATGTGGAAGAAGATGGCTTGGCAAAGGCAGGACAGACTGGCTAAGTAGCTTTAACTAGCTCCCTGGAGCATCTTGGGGCACAGCAAAGCACAGCCACCACAGGAGCCAAGGCTGCACCTCTAGAAAATGGGGCTCCCTGACCCCCTTCAGGAACCAAAAAATAGTTGAAGGCTGCCTTGCTTGGCAGGTTGGCACAGGAGGTCAGCTCAGCATGCGGCAAGAATGTGGAAGAAGATGGCTTGGCAAAGGCAGGACAGAGCACAGCAAAGCACAGCCACCACAGGAGCCAAGGCTGCACCTCTGGAAAATGGGGCTCCCTGACCCCCTTCAGGAACCAAAAAATAGTTGAAGGCTGCCTTGCTTGGCAGGTTGGCACAGGAGGTCAGCTCAGCATGCGGCAAGAAGGAACAGACTGGCTAAGTAGCTCTAACTAGCTCCCTGGAGCATCTTGGGGTACAGCAAAGCACAGCCACCAAGGAGCCAAGGCTGCACCTCTGGAAAATGGGGCTCCCTGACCCCCTTCAGAAACCAAAAATAATTGAAGGCTGCCTTGCTTGGCAGGTTGGCACAGGAGGTCAGCTCAGCATGCGGCAAGAATGTGGAAGAAGATGGCTTGGCAAAGGCAGGACAGAATGGCTAAGATGGCTTGGCAAAGGCAGGACAGACTGGCTAAGTAGCTCTCACTAGCTCCTGGAGCATCTTGAGGCACAGCAAAGCACAGCCACCACAGGAGCCAAGGCTGCACCTCTGGAAAATGGGGCTCCCTGACCCCCTTCAGGAACCAAAAAATAGTTGAAGGCTGCCTTGCTTGGCAGGTTGGCACAGAAGATGGCTTGGCAAAGGCAGGACAGACTGGCTAAGTA